ATTAGTAAAAATATCATGACTCATTATTATGTCATATGTGCGTATAGCGTGAAGCTAATCTTCTCTACCCCTTTTAGTCTTAGTTAGGTATTATAGCGTATAATAGAAATAAAACTACTTTTTATACTTAATGTAAACCCCTACTATAAAAGTAAACTACTACTTTAAACCTATTTACAGGTATACACGAGGTCAGTTTACACCTATATAGTAAACCCCTAGCGTACCATTCTACAGTAAACAATTTTTTACCGTAGTGCTTGGGAGGGAACTACACCATGGAAAAGTGTCGTGATATGCGATTTACAACTACAAAGCCATTAGCAGAACTTTGGGGTATGAATGCTGTTTATTTCATGATATCAACCCGGAATCGAATAAAGCCCCCTCCGTCTGCATATCGGTTTTTGGCAAAACCCCTGGAAACACAACACTTGAATTTGATCGTGATCGTAACCTCAAGTTCAAATGTAAATCAGGCGATCGGTCGATCAGATGCGAATCTTCATTTCTCCACTTTGTTCGAGGCCAGCCTGGGCCAGTCGATTCCATTCGAGGTCAGTCAAGGCCTTTGCTACAAGTCGAGGCCTCTGGAAACTCATCGAGTCGAGGATGAAAACTCGACTCGACTCGACTCGACTCGATTGCTGTGCCTCACCCTATCTTGGCTGCGAGAAAGATTCCCCATGCAGAAACTCACCGTGGCGTGGGTATCTTGGGTTTCCTCCTACCATGACTTGTGTGGAAGAAAGCTAAAACGCTGGATGTATATATAGCTAGTGTATTGCATAAGTAATTACACTGGCTTATTTGAGTTGTATATAATCTTTTTCTATTATACTTTTCAATACGATATCATGTTCTACACGTAATCTATGTGTGCCTCGCTCGGAGCTTCCAATGGCCTCACCATCCTTCGAGGACTGGCGCTTGGAACTGTTGGTCTCAGTCTGGAGAGGGCGAATATGAGATCTCGTCGTATAGATATATTATATGGTATAGTTTGTACTCGTATGCTGTGTGGTGCAAAATTAGACATAGGAAAAATCAAGAAGGAAACATGCAGTTGACCACACTGACATTCATTAGAACAAGTGGGAGATGGACAATCATGAGGTGCATGGCTGAATTAGTGGACTGGGAGCTTGCACGGAAAAGGAAGGGGATCAAGTGCTGTAGTAACTCTGTGTCTTGTGCCATGCCATGCTTCGTGGAAACGACCATAATTATGTACTATAAGTTTAGGCAAATAATACTTTATTTTGGAAAAGGTATCAGAAAGTAGCACAAGTTCTCGCTTGTATCATATCATGCGGCGAGTTTCATGGACCTCACAGGAACATCATAATTGCAGAGCTTTTTCCTATACAAAGGGGCAGGGCAAATAGCGAATGCACCCCTACCTCCTCCCCCCTATATCAACCATATACTACAATAACCGGCATCGCATATGCTCCATAGATAGCAGGTACATCGTACCTAATGCTAGAGACCTCAGTTGAAGATGCGTCTATGCAGCTCAAATCCTGAATCCTACCCCAATTTCCCGAATGAGATGGATCATTTCGCATTCTGAGCCGCGCTTATCACAGTGTATCTTATACAACCTGCTCAACTGCCAGGATATTTGAGCCAGGGAGAAAGGAAGAAGGTATAAAGGATTGGGCGCTATCACTATCCAAGTGTAAAGAGTGCGGATGTGGCTTCTTTATAGGCCTTCTTGCAAGTGTTCCTCGGAAGTTTTTTCTCTCGAAGCGATGATGATGTTTGCGTTGTATTGGTTTACTTTCGTATGTCGGTAATCTGTAGATTGAGTTTGTTGACACGAGGGGCTGGAATGGGAAAAGGGAGGTGAGTTGTGTATGTGGATGGTGAAGATGGGGTAGCGAGTGGTATGAGGGAGGCTGGTTTTTCAGAGGCGGCGGAGAGGGAGAGGAGGGATGAATGGGTGTGTTTGCGAAGGAATACATCGGTAGGTTTGTGGGGAGTTGTGGAGTGTCTGATGGAAAATGACTTTCTCTTCATTCTCTAAGAATAATGCAAGCATGTGGATGGATATGTGATGAAGGATGGGTTGTTAGCTATTTGGGGAATGATTCTACAGGCGGGGCTGATTGACGATCTACGAAGGATATGAACGCTGGTGGCAGACAAGATTATGTTACAGGAGATCAGGGGAGCATAGATATGGCAACGACTAGATCGTCTCCATCAAATGCTCAAACTCATATCCCAACATCACAGGTCCAAAATACTCTCCTGATTTCCACCCATTCCAAACCACTTCAGCAAACCTCCCCACGCCGCCGTCTTCTCCCCCGGCAGTCTCACGCCCTCAATCTCCTCCTCGGTAACACCCCTCCAGTCCTCTATCGGAATCCACCCAATATAGGCGCGATCACCAAACCCACCAATCCAATACACCTCCTCGACTACCAACCTGACCCACTTACTCTGATGGATGGGATTCCCAGGCAACCACCACGCTGCATCCGGGTGCTTCTTCACATAACACGCCGTAATACCCGCCTTCTCTACCACATCGACATCAATATCCTCCAAGCGGCCGACGAGCGAGAATCGTGGAAGCGCAGCCGGACTCCGCCACTTGCTGTCTTGCGGGTGCCAGCGCAGACTGAGCGTAATGTTGGAGCCAGCGTCTACGTTCTTGAAACTCGTCGCGATGGTGATAGCGAGGATGGTAGGATTGCCTGTGTCAGGTTCGCAGTCGCCAAAGTAGTCCATTAATCCGATTGGGGCGCCAGCCACAGAGGAGGGGCGTTGCTCGAGGGCATGAGGGGTGGATGGGAAGACTGTAGATAAGGTGCCAATGTTCTCGAGGCGCAAGATGCGGCGCGCTTGAACAGCCGACTCGTGGACCGTGGGGATCTTGTAGGTCGTGGATTCGGCGGGGATGGCGGGGTTTGTGAAGAGGCGTTGCGGAGAGGGTAGGTGGGAGGCGGAGATGGTGTTGAGGGAAATGAGGCCTAGGAGGGCGCTGGTGAGGTACATTGTGGTAGGTCTAGCCTGGAGTGATGTAGTATAAAGAGTATTATGGCCTGCGAGAGGGAACAGCAGATCCTGATGCTGCTAGATGATGCTATGTTGTGACTTCAGGGTGGTTGGTTAGTGTAGTGGCGATGGCTAGCATTTGAAATGCTCGCGACAGAGCATGGACAGCAAGCATGTGCCCATCACACGATACGCGAGGGTCCTCGGTACCGGAAAGGCCCATGTTGGGTTGACCTATTATGAATAAAAGAAGCGAGATCGACCTTTTTTGTTGAGTCTTGCGGTGCGTAACAGCATCTCCCGAAGGCATGCATTGCCGTATTTTTCCATGTGAGGTTGGTGCGTGTGTAGCAGTAGGAGTGAGTAACCTATCTGCCTAAAGCAAGGACAGGGCGAGGTTCATTCTCTCTTGCATTATCTTATCTGATCGATCAAGATGGCATCTTCATGAAGTATCCGTGCGCAGCCGGAACTACAGATTCTTGAAACAGCATACTTCACGCAACCGCAACGCGACTGAAGAGCGTCCAGGAGCTGTACTGAGTAAATGTGTCTGTAATTTCACCTTGTGATTAATCTCGCTTTGTGCATTAGCTATGTTGGCAGTGGAGTTGGTACGCATGTTCTCAGGACGCGCCAAAGACAGACATGGAAATTATCACGTGATTGCGGAAGGCGGCCGGGGCACCTAACCGAGAGTCTTGGCCACGCTTTGCAGAATTACAGTCAACCACTCGACGCCGCCAGCCATCGACATCCACGACCGCAACCGCAAACTGTACGTATCTCGCCTCCTGAAAACTGCACAAATACACGCCTTCGCATTCCGAATCCCTACGGAGACGAAATTCCGCTTCCTCGCCATTCCGACTCGTGAGCAGCATAGCTAACGAGGCATTTGCCACAACAGAACAGCCTTCGTCGACAGTCACCAACTCATCAAACCCATCAACCGCAATCATGGGTAAGGTTCACGGATCCCTCGCTCGTGCCGGAAAGGTCAAGTCTCAGACTCGTAAGTTCCTGCCCGTCTTTTACGAGTGGAAGAACGATGACTAACGATTCGCAGCCAAGGTAAGCTCGCACTCGTTCCGACATTTCGTCATACTACCGATCAAACGCACTCGATTCCATCGAACCTCGCGCCTCTTGCAAGACAACAGACATTATGCAAAGATGGAGCCTATGCGCTGACACACTGGACAATAGGTTGAGCCCCAGGAGAAGAAGAAGACCCCCAAGGGCCGCGCCAAGAAGAGGCTCACTTACACCCGCCGTTTCGTCAATGTCACCATGACCGGTGGCAAGCGCAAGGTGAGTCGAGATGGAAAGTGTTGGCAATGGAGCACGTCTGACTTGAATCTAGATGAACCCCAACCCTACCTCATAAGCCAATAACAGTAGGAGGAGTTTGGAACGAGCATGATGAGCTAGACGGTTCTTTCACGAAATGGGTATCCTCTGGATGGCTATGACTCTGGATCAGAGGGAGTGGGAATCACGCCATGACGCGGACGTTGCCACGGCACGTCTTTTCGCAGCAGCAAGATCCCACACTTTGGGATGATGGGGGCATATTCATGGCGTAAATGTATATTTGGCTATTTGCACAGCTGCATTACGGAATCTAGGTGCTTCTGTCTCCATTGTGACATGTTTTCTGGCTTTGTGACTTGCATGAGTGATCTAAATTTTGTGTGGCTATCTGTTCCATGGCCATCCCTCGGGTTTGGGTGATTCTTGCCTATAATTTTAGTAGACTGCTTTATGCGACGCTCATTGCTCAATTCCAGCAATGGGAGAAGCGGAGATCGGGTTGGCTATGGATGTCTTGGGAGCAGCCTTACTCTACGATGGGGACAGGCCGAAGCGAGTGGACCTACGTCACCTCACCCCAGCTTGTCTGAGCTCTAATCGAACATCGACATTTGAAGCTCACACAAGATCTTACATGTACCTCGAAACACGGTAATCATGTTCAAGCGACTATTCGGAGAGGTAGACACGTGTTGATTCCCAATGAAACCTTCAGTACTGACAGTCCACCCAGCACGGCGCAAAAAACGTTGTCACCCTCTTCCACAAGCCCTCCAGCCAGGCATCCACCCGCGTCCTCACTCTTCTCAAGCAAACTCATGCGCAGTCCGCTGCCACCGCCACTGGCGACCAGGCCTCCTCTCATGATGCACAAAGCAAAGCAGAGCGCGCCGACTTCGAGCTTGATGTCACAGAAGCCCCGCCCACGAGCGACCAGCTCAAGAACATCATGGAGTATTTAGGCGGAGCTAGCGCAGCGAGCAAAGTCGTTACAGGAGCATCAAGTGAGATAGATGCACTGAGGAGACTACAGGCAGATGGAAACACGTTTCAGAGACCGCTCGTCGTGAATTGGAATTCGGGCAGAGCTGGTAAGTTCACGCTCACGGCCTGGCAAGACCATTGTTGATGAATGATGGCTAACTCAATGTAGTCGTTGGAGAGAATGAGTCTGAGATCTTGAGTCTACTGAAGAAGTCGGCAGAGAGTTCCTAGATTTCCTGCGATGGGCCGTAGCCACAGTGGCTCGCGACGGAAGACGACCTCAGTTCAGCAGGATTGAATTGCTCTCACCGCCCACGAATCCTTTAATGAGATATGCGGTCAAAACACGGGTAGTTGCACATGGATGCTAGCCCACCCAATCCTATGTAAAACATTCCCCTCCAGCTGTTTCTGTACTATGATGTGGGCATTCGTTCTGTTTCTTTTTCTCCATGCCATGTACGACTCCCAAATAACCTTGTTTGCAACAAGTGGCATTCCCTTTGTCTTCTCACTATCTCATGTTCTCAATTCTCACTATCTCATGTTCGCTGTGACGGTCACACTGCAAACGCACAGGCAATGGCTAGCCAGTGCGCACATTGGTCCGCCATAGCATTGAGTATTGTCACCTTCACCTACTCTCCGTGTCGAGCGCCAAGCATCGCTCCTTCCTCCCCAAGCAGCGCCGTCATAACAGTCCCACTCACTCGCAGTCGCATCGTCCAAACAATCCGATAACCTTCCATTTGCTCCTTCCCCGTCGGTCGGTCGTCTATCAGCACACCTCTTCCTTCAGTCTACTTTTGCACCCACGCTTGCTTCATCACCTTCCTCACCTCCTTATAACCAGCCACTTCCACACTGCGCATGCGTACGCGCCTTCTGAATTGAGGCAGCATTGTCAAAGCTATCGCCAGATATTCATGTCTGAATCTTCTCCTCCGCTGGCGGCCATAGCTACGGCGACGGCAGCCGAACCCCCAAGTATGACTTCAGACAACCCGCCAACTCAATACAATGGCCCAGATCAGCCCGCCACTGCGCCTGCTCAGGATGGCCCCAAATTACGAGAATTTACGCCAGGCTGCGACCTTGCAATCTTCTCGACTGAGCTGGGCACCCAGGCTAAACGTGCGCTCGAAGGCCAACTTCGTCCGCCCGTGATCGTTAGAAGCGACGGCGTATTAGGTGTGGTCGATGCAGCTCAGTACTGGCAGCGCAGGTTCAAGGTGCAATGTCTTTGCATATTCCCTGGCCAAGACTGGACGATCAGCGACCTGTGGGATCCTGTTGATATCCAGCTGGATACGTCTCCCTTCTGTCAAGAAATGTTGAAGTTCATCTCAGGCGATACCTATCATGCTGCCCGCATCTTTGCAAAGGACTTCATTCGCGCATACCCAAATCGTTTATCTGTTTTGGGGAAAGATATGTCGGAACTACACACTCCCCCTGACCCCTTTAGTATGGTCGACAAGATCTACAACGAGGGCGAACGTGGTGCATTCCCTCGTACATTCCTTTGGCACGTTGCCCACATGATGCGAGCCTCTGTGCTGGGGCTAGGACTTGTAAAACCCGTGGGAACGACTCAGGACAAGAGCTCAGCTTGTGTTCCGCGATGCGAAGACAAAAAGCAAGAAGATGTGTCCGACAGCAACCAGGATACTTTGCCCCAGACAGAACCAATCATAGCTAGTGCATCGCGTAAGAAGAACCGCAAGATAAGTCGGTCTCGTCCAAATAAGCTGACAACTATGGAAGCGCCTTCGACGATTGTTGAGGTCACTCTAAATGAACTCGCCTCGCTTGTAGCCACCGCACCCCTCCAGCCTGAACAGACACCTGTGTCATCCCACGACTTACAGGGAGCTGGAAGTCAGCACAACGAGCCTGTTGAATGTCGCATGAATCGTTCAACTGGCCATTCCGTCACGTCACCGACTGTAGCTCCTCAGAGCTTGAGACTGCCCAAGGGCCCGCCTCGTAACGTGGGAACTGGAGTCCACCCTCAACCTTTTACCTCGCATAATTGGGCCGAGAATAACTACCGCCCTGCATATGGTCAATACCCTCCTCGACAAACATCAGGTGGAATGGCCCAAATGACTTCGCCCCACTTCATGGCATCCAACATGGCAATCGGTCAGCATATGGTTCCGGCAGGCTACGTTGCACCATACCCTCAAGGTCTTCCCATGATGCCGGCGAACATGTCACAAATGCCGCATTATAACCCAGCTGTTGTACAATCTGGAATGATGGTACACCCATCGGCCATGATGCAGAACCCTCAGGCAGGTCCTGTGTACGCCCCGCAACCCCATACCGTACGCGGCTCCTCTATGGGCGATATGACCAACATTGGTTACTACGCGAATACAATGTCATCCCATAGCCTCAGCAATGCGGCATCTTCAATGCGCAGATCAAGTAACTACAATGCCAACGGCACCCTGTTCGACCCGTACAACGGCACGAACAGCAACTTCCGGGAGACGACCTCGTACAAGGGCAAGAAGCCGCATTACAATGACACACCTTACCAAGGGAATCGGCCACGCAACATGTCCAATTCAGGGTCGCGCCCCATACATGCATCATACAAAGCTGAACGTGCGATTAGCCAGCCGTACCATAGTGCGCCTCACAGTCATCGTCCTAAAACGCGCCACAACTCTGAAGATGACCCAAGTATCACCGAGAACCGCTTGACAGGATGTCATGAACAGTGGATTGGTCCCGAGAATGTGACAGTCAGTGAGCTCTTTGTCGGTGATTTGCCCTCGGATATATCCGCGGGCGAGGTGCAGAAGATGTTCGAGCAGCAGATGAGCATCCTACCTGCCCATGTCTCGGTACGCCATCCAAAGAGGACTGAAGGCTTTCCACACCATGATCGCTGCCATGCATTCGTCTCGTAAGTAGCACCTCAGGTCGTTTGATAGATCACTGACACTTCTTAGGCTTCAATCAACAGCTGATGCCAAGAAAGTCATGGGCATGCGTGAACGTAACTTTCGTCTTCGAGACGATGGACATCCAGTCTCAGTATCTGTACCTAGACGCTTCTTTCAGCTTCCGACAGAGCAGTTGCGACGCGCCTCATCAAGCTCAGGGTCATACTTTATTCCGACTCCATATGAAGATCGAAATGGCAAGGCCACTCATCTACTGACACGTGACGACAATAAGATAGTGAAACCGTCTGATGCGAGCGCAACGCTTGTGAAGGCTGTGTACTCTCCCCAGGACGCTAGAAGCGGCCCGCACAAAAAGACCGATGTGAGATCGAATACCGACGAAGATGGCACGGATGAGACTCATCGAGCCCGTAAAACGAAGCCACGACAGATCTCTCCGACCAAAAAGCAACACGCTAAGCGCGAAGGCGTCACCCCTAAGATACCATCAGCTAAAGGAGCGAAGCCTGTACATACTACAGCCAAAGACTCGACTGCCGTGACACCTTCTGGAAGCAATGATAAAAGCACTCAACGTCGAGCTCAAGACATCACGATCTCCTCGTCTCCAGCTAGCAAGAAAAAGGGTACGGCGAAGAAATCAGTTATACTGCCGACGGCAAATGCATCTCTCGCCGAAGAAACACCCCTTAGTACCACGACAAGCTCTACAGTGCCTTCACATGCAGAAGCAGCGATAGGGCCTGGTGAGAACGAATCAACAGCCGTGAAACAGTTCGAAACAAACTCGGCCCCCAGTATCAAGTTGGAGCCTACGATGACTGCAGATGTGATTGAGCAGCCCCATGAAAACACGGTTACAGAAGAAGAATCCAGTAAGACTGCAAAAGTTTCGTCCCCAAAATTACCGGAACACACCGCAGTGAACGACAAGACGCCTCGCGAGGAAGGCTCTGGAACTATGATAGAAATGCAGGCAAAGCCGATGCCCACAGAATCCAACCAAAAGAAAGTTGAGAGGCCCACCACTAGCCGTCAAGAGAAAGATGTTATCAAGGACGTTTCTGAGTTAGCGCCTCACGCAAAGTTGACAGCTGCGATAGGGACACCCCAAGCTACTAGTAGCACGGAGAGTGGCAAGGACACCGCCTCTAATGAGAAGACTGCGCCTGAAATTGGGACTGGGTCTTTGATTAAGTCTACTACTGTCTCTACTGCAGAGATTCCCGCAAAGCCTGTCGTCCAGCAGGTATCTTCTCTCCACCCTTATGCCAAGCCCAACAAGGTTCAGCAGAAAAAGGCAAAGGATGCGTTACGAAAACAACAAAAGAAGGAACAGGCCGAGAAAGCGGAGAAGGCCAAATTAGAGAAAGCAAAAGCAGAGAAGGCCAAAATAGAGAATACAAAGGTCTCCACAAGGAGGGAAGCTGCGGTGTTGACAGAAAACATTGAAAAGTCGCAAGACCTTTCCCATACTCCAATTCTACCAAACGAAACAATGGTCGAGCAAGTCGACATGTCAGGGGTCGCCAAGGGCAAACTCGCTGTATTGGCCAACGCAGCGGCACTAGCGATCGATTATGTGCTGGAGTCCGAACCCATTTCTGATGCAGCAGTGCCACCGATCCCACCAGCCGAGCGGATCCCCACAAACCAGGCCCCGGCAGGGATCAAGAAGGCGAAAGAACATGAGGTGCAGATGAAGGTAATTGCGATGGCTGCCGAAGCTTCAACAATGAAGCCCCAGATGGAGGAATCACAAGACTCCCTAATTAATGTCACGGCGAGTGAAATAGCCAATCCCGCTTCTTCCGAGCCAGCAACACCGACACCGAAGAAGAAGTCCAAGACCAAACGTAAGAAGGCAAAGGTGATACCTGCGCATGAAGAGAACAAGCAGGCAGAGGGGTATGCAAATGGTAAGCCTGATTCGCCCACCAGGGAGAGCCATTCAGTAACTCTTAAGGCGCTCAGCGAGACAGTGAGCCCGACACAACCGGGCTATATGAGAGGGTACGACGAGGCCTTGGATACGGAGGTGCGTCTTAGTAGTACCACCACCCTCCTAAGCATCAGCCCCGTAGGCCCTCTTAGCTGCGCTCAAGAGCGTGCGAGCGCCCACAGAGACTGTCCTAGTGTGGCTACACGGCAAGAGATGATACCCCCTTCTGAACAATTAGACCATAACCAGATCGACCATGAACGAGCCCTTGATACCCCTCTCTACACCCCGTCCGACTCCCAAGAACCTATTATATGTAAGTAGCCATTCATTTGCTCAGGTCGAGCGTACCCCTGGTCTGACTTTGTGGGATAGTTACCCCTCCATCCGACCACCCATCCGAGGACGAGAGCGATAACACCTTGCCGCTTTTTCCAGCGGGAGATGATGCTCACACGGATCGTCAGAATGCTTCTTCTCCATCACCAAACACATTGATCCCAAACATTGTGCAACCTAATGCTGCTGAGGTGGCAGCTTCTGCTACGGACATGCCCGCCGTAGAGACCCCTAAAAAGAAGAAGAAGAAAAATAAGAAAAAGAACAAAAACAAGTCCACAAGTAGTGCGACTGACTCTCCTGCACCTGCCAGTGCTGGCAAGCTGGAACTTCACGTCACGGCTGGCCAGTCTTCATCCAGCTCTCAAAATGCGGGTGTCCCTATGATGGATAATACGAAAGCAAGCTCAGGCCTTGAGGACCCTCTTTTGGCCCTAGCAGCAGCTGCTACCAAAGAGCAAAAGAAGGATTGGGTGGGACAGGTCACCGGGGGCAATGTCCATTACCTGATTACAACAACGAAGAATGCGTCTTTGGCTGACGTGCAAGCCGAGTATGCTGCGGCGGGCAAGAAACCAAAGGTGGAAGCGTACAAGCTAGCAGAGGGGGATAAAGTGGAAGACTTTTTGCCCAGCAAGTTGCTTCCGCAGAATATTGAAGATTACTTGCGTGACTTTGCTGCCTCCAAGGACGCGGACAAGAAGAAGGCTTGATGGTAGAGAGAGATACTTTGCGTCTCTAGTGGCGAGCAGCAGAACTCTGGGTACTTGGGTGGGTGGGATGATTGCTCTCGGGGGTCTTTGTTTTCTTTTTTGGGGGAGGGTTATCAGATGGCATGAAGGGCGGCGGGTTGTGCATGCATGGGCGGCGTACTTTGTCTCCTTCACCATGGCATCAGAGTGTAGTGTTAGCCAGGAATAAGCGACTGAGAAGATATGTCCTGATCAAAGCTCTACGATGTTGATGTGTTGTGTGATATGTGTTTTGTTGTTGTCTAGGCACGTGTGAAGGGACTGGACACCTAAAGTTCGGGCGAGGTGAGGCAAGGCCAAAGACGGCAAGACCGTAAAAAAAAAGGTGCCATGGTAGTCCCGGCGCTTGGGCCACCGCTCAAGAATAATTTCAGGGCCCTGCCCAACCACTACTAAGGCGGGCCACCCTCAACGCAACCGCGCACTTGTCTTTTCTCCTCTTCCTCCTCCTTGACACCCTTTTTTTTCTGTGTTTTTGTGTTTGCTTGTACCGTATAGACTCTCCACTCTCCCGTTTTGGAGCGTCTATTCACCCAGCACTGTCGCACTTGTTTCTTCACAGACACTTCTCAGCCCTCAGCAAAATCGCAGTCGCAATCGATAAGCAGCCCCGCCAAAAAGAAATCGCGCCAACAGAGAGCCCCCCTAAGAGGACAAAGACAGAGTTTCCCCTTCAGGAGCCAAAAGGAGCACATCGACACGGCTGTCTCTGATGCCGCACTCTGAATCTCCGCCCATGGCCCCCGCGATAGTTGTCGACAAGGCCGGCGCTGCCACGCCTCCCTCTGCAGAGGATGTCGCCGCCTTTGTCAGCAGCATCCTCACCGCAAAGACGTCGCACGCCTCGGTAGATGCTGCCTACGCCCTCACAACCCTCCTACAAAACTCGGTGGGCTTCCGTGGCCTACAAGGCTATGGCATCTTCGACGAGATCAAGAAGGCGGCTACCAACAAGAAGGATGCCGTGCGGAGAGAGGGCGCCATGAATGCCCTGGGCGCCTTCTTTGAGCGTCTTCCGCGCTCGCAAAAGATTACAGAGGCCATCTTCCTAGTCCAGGAGGAGGCGCTTGTCCCGCTGGTGCTTGATGCGCTCGCCGACAAGACGGGCTCCGTCAAGGAGTCGGCCAAGTATGCCCTCGACGCCCTATTCGAAAATTTGACGGCCGAGGCCAAGGTCTATGGCCTGCTGCCTGTGCTCTCCAAGTACTTGGGCAAGAAGTCCGGGAAGTGGCAGGGTGCTGTCGGCGCATACGAGCTGATCGGCCGTATGGCGGACAAGGCCAAGATGGGCATGGAGAGTTTCGAGGTGGAGAAGGAGAAGGACATCCTGCGCAATGCCATGGGCAAGCGGCTCGAGGGTCTCATTCCCATTGTCGAGGCCGGCATGCACGATCTCAAATCTGAGGTGAGTTCCACTCTTTCCCTGGACGGTACATTTGGCCATGACTAATAGATCAACAGGTCGCAAAACAAGCGAACAAGACCATGAACAGTCTGACCACCCTTCTCCAGAACGACGATATCGCGCCCCGGATACCTCTGCTCGTCAAGGCCATCGAGGACCCCTCTACCCAGAGTTTGCAAAAAGCGATTCACGCCCTCTCCCAGACCACCTTTGTCGCAATCGTCACATCTCCTGTCCTTGCCATGGTCACTCCTCTCCTCGAGCGTTCGTTGAACACGCCTACAACCTCACAGGAAGTCACCCGCCAGACCGTTGTCGTCGTGGAGAACTTGACCAAGTTGGTCCACGACCCTATCGAGGCCCGCGCCTTCTTGCCCAAACTCCGGCCTGGTGTCAAGGCTGTTGTCGATCGTGCTTCTCTCCCCGAGGTCCGCGAAATCGGACAGCGTGCGTTGGACGTTATTGATAAGGCTATGGAGGTCAAGGATGGCAGCGCTGATGCCAGTGCTATTGCTCGCAACCAGCCTTCCGATGTGGCCAAGACCATCGAGACGCAGCTCAATAACCACGCGAGACTCCTCAACTACCTTGGAGACGCCGAGGTTTGGGCTGTGGCCAAGGCTTACATATCCGAGATGATTGCTGAGGATCTGGACCAACGTGAGCTCACCCGCGTCACCCAGCTCATCACCCCTTACATGGAGTCGCTGGTCAATGCCGGAGATGCCGAGAAGGTCGCTGAGGCTGTCCACCAATTCTATGTGGACGAGGACCACCGCAAGTTCGGCCAGCCTGTGAAAGAGGACGACGGCGAGGTTGAGATTGTCAATGCTGTCTTCTCTCTTGGATACGGAGGTATGCTTCTGTTGTCCCACACCAACCTCAGACTTCTCAAGGGACATCGTTATGGTCTCTGTGGTCGCAACGGTGCTGGAAAGTCTACTCTGATGCGCAGTATCGCCGAGGGAAAGCTCGAGGGCTTCCCATCTCAGGATGAAGTCAAGACATGCTTCGTTGAGCACAACCAGGGTGAGGACGCCAATCTCACCATTTTGGAATACATTCTCCGCGACCCCAGATTCAAAGGAGAAAGCCGAGAGCGTATCACTGAGGTTCTGGAAGAGGTTGGCTTCACATCCGGTCCTAATGGCCGACAATCTGAGAAGGTTGGCTCGCTCTCGGGTGGATGGAAGATGAAGTTGGCGCTGGCCCGTGCTATGCTCATGCGTGCTGATGTCTTGCTTCTCGACGAACCGACCAATCACTTGGACGTCGCCAACGTCGCATGGCTGGGCAAGTACCTTAGGGAACACACCGAGATCACCAGCTTGATCGTCTCTCACGACTCCGGTTTCCTTGATGATGTCTGCACAGACATCTACCACTACGAGCAGAAGAAATTGGTCTGCTACAAGGGTAACCTTGCCGACTTCGTCAAGGTCAAGCCGGAAGCCAAGAGCTACTATACGCTTTCCGCATCCCAGGTTCAATTCAAGTTCCCCCCTCCGGGCATCCTGACCGGTGTCAAGTCAAACACCCGCTCCATTCTTCGCATGACCAACTGCACGTACTCATATCCCGGTGCCTCGAAGCCCTCGCTGGTCGATGCCTCCTGCAACTTGTCTCTCTCATCTCGTGTTGCTATTATCGGTGCCAATGGTGCTGGTAAGTCTACACTTATCAAGATGCTCACGGGCGAGACTATCCCCCAGGAAGGTACTGTCGAGAAGCACCCCAACTTGCGTATCGGATATATCAAGCAGCATGCTCTTGAGCATGTTGAGATGCACATGGAGAAGACTCCCAACCAGTACCTCCAATGGCGTTATGCCAACGGTGACGATCGCGAGGTGCTTATGAAACAGACCCGTATTCTTACCGAGGAAGACAAGAAGCAGATGGAGACACCCATCGACCTTGGTGACGGCAAGGGACCTCGCAGAATTGAGGCGTTGATTGGTCGTGCGAAGTACAAGAAGACCTACCAGTACGAGGTCAAGTGGCTCCACATGCTGCCCAAGTTCAACAGTCAGATTTCGCGTGAGACGCTTCTTGAGAAGGGTTTCCAGAAGTTGGTCCAGGAGTTCGACGATCACGAGGCGTCCCGCGAGGGTCTCGGGTACCGCGTGCTGGAACCCAAGGTCATCTCCAAGCACTTCGAAGACTTGGGCATGGACCCTGAAATCGCCAACCACAATGAGATCTCAGGTCTCTCTGGAGGCCAAAAGGTCAAGGTTGTGCTTGCCGGTGCCATGTGGAACAACCCCCATCTCCTCGTTCTCGACGAGCCCACTAACTTCTTGGATCGTGATTCCCTCGGTGGTCTCGCTGTCGCCATTCGCGACTACAAGGGTGGTGTCATTATGATTTCCCACAACGAAGAGTTTGTCGGTGCTCTCTGCCCTGAACAATGGCACGTCGCGGACGGCCGTGTCACGCACAAGGGCCATCTTGCTGTGAACATGGATCGTTTCGAGGACTCGCGTCCCGGCTCCAGCAATGTGAGCAGCAACGTGAGCTCTGCCGCGCCCAGTACAACCGGTACACCTGTTATGAGCGATGCGGAAGGCACAAGAGACGATATGAAGTTCAAGTCGAGAAAGAAGAAGAAGATGACCAAGAAGGAGCTCAAGGACCGCGAAGTCCGTAGGAGATTGAGATATATTGATTGGTTGAACAGTCCCAAGGTACGTCATTTCCCTTGCCAATCTCATTGCTATCCCAATATCGTTTGCTAATACGATTCATAGGGCACACCGCAACCCCCCAACACTGATGACGAGGCTGAATAGACCTATGACTACTACGTGTGGCGTGATGAAACTCTTAGACTTTTTGCATGGGAAAGGCGTTTGATAGAGGTGGGACTTTGTTTCTTGCACTGTGCAGTTGAGTGCACGTGAATAGAATATGAGGAGGCTATTTCCTTTCTCTTAGCTAGCATGTTTGTGCAGATCAAAAGCATTATTTACCCTTCCATGTCTTTTTCTGACTCCCATTCGTCATTTTTGCGTTTGCTAGGCTGCCACTAATCTGTCTTGTTGCATGTTGTCTCGTGTTGGACTGGATCAAGGCCACAATTTGTTGGCTCTATCAACAAGAACGCCGCTCCGTAAGCTATTGTCGAGGTCTAATGGACATTTGAAGTCTCGTACTCAAGGCATCGACCCTAGAAGACATACGTTGAGTCGTCCTTTCCCATCTCTCATCAGCTCCAATCACACTCAGAGCTGAGTCTCCCAACTGGCCTCATTTTATTTTCCCCTCACTCCAACTCACCGCTTTGCCCTCTTACATCAGTGTGTGCGGGGATTGTGCAAACGGCCCTGCGTTCGATCTAGCAGCACGTCCATCCATATAAAGTGCCCCAAGCTACGTCTCTGCCCTCCTCAATCACACCCTAACGACCGTCTTTCCCAGAAGCCTATCTTCAACCTTCTATACCCATCACACATTCACTTCCAACATCCATTGCACCCCCCATTCGCTACTATGAGACTGTTCAGAATCGCCCTCGCCGGGCTGGCTACCCTCGCAGTAGCCGCATCAAATGCTCCTTCCAACCAGAAGGACACCATTACCGATCTTGTCCCGCCCTTCATCAATGATCCCGATGCCGTCATCACGTATGCCCTCTTCTCCCACCCTCTGTACCTATGCTCAAGCTAACCACCTCAACGCAGTTACCACTGCAACAAGGCCGAACCCACCATCATCGAAGAACGCACCAATAGCGGAGACCTCACTGATGTTACTACCGTCTTCAACTGCCCCCGTGGCGATTGCTACCAGTTCAACACCGGCGCTACATGCAGGGAATCGACAATTAATGTGAAGGCTCGCTCTCCTATTGCACAGGAGAACAAGCACTACGTCTGCAGCAAAGACCGTGCAAGTGTGCTCATATGCCGCTATGGCTTCTGTAGCACTGATTATTACTGCAACATCAAAGGGTCTGGGTCATATTGTCACGATGACTGCATATGTTGCAAGAAGGGTAATCGCAAGGTACGTTGCTTTGAGTGCTGAGCAGTGATGATATGCACCGGTCATACTAAGCCTCATGTTCAGGCTGCAGACAGCGACAAGAGCGATGGCTTCGAGCTCTCGACCTCAGCTGCTTCCTCCCCAGAGACTCTCGAGTACAAGCTGGATCCCCAAAAGCTGGCCGCGCGCACAAACTCTCCCGGTGCAGCAGAAGTTATGCAGAGTTGTCCCAAGCAAGGCCTTTACATGTGCAATCTTTCGCTCGAGGCAGTCTTTGTATGCAATGCCATCTATCAATGGCAACTGTCTGCAGACTGCCGTCCTGGCAAGTGCGTCGATAATTTCGACGCTGGTACCGCCTTCTGCCAGGGCAAACATGAGCCTAGGAATTCTGCTCGCGATATCGAACAAACTTCAGGAACATTGACAATGACAGAAAATCCAGAGGCTGCAGAACCCCTCAAAGACGTCATTTCGAGTGGCCGACCTGGCAGTTGTGTTGATGAGCTCAGTGCTGGTACAACCCACTGTATCACGAAGAAGTCTACTAGTGCGCCTGAGGCAGGTGCTGTGATCGCCCAACAGCAGCATTGCGACAAGCCAGGAGCGTACAGATGTGACATCTCAGGCCAGAAGATTGGAGTCTGCAGTCCTAGCAACGACTGGATTCTTTCTTCTGATTGCTCGCCCGGTCACTGTGTCGACGGACCAATCGATACAGCCTACTGCACTGCAAGGATAGACTAGCTGTAGCCATGTTTTGAGGGGGTGCGATCAACCTCTTTGGGCAAGGAGAGTGGGCAAGGAAAAGAAAATCGGATGACATGTAGATGTGGAGATCTGTCCATATGCCACTAAGTAGAGACTGAATGGAGCTTCTACCAATTACTCGAGTTCACGTGGCACTCACTCCGACCCATGATATCTGCCAGCAGGATTGTGATTTGAACTGATGGATTGCTCACTACACTCAGGATCTGCCTTGCCTACTAAGTTCTTAGCAAGTGCATATGTCCTCAATTACCCACTTCCAAATTTGCGTGAATCTGCTCCCCTCTACTTCACTCCCATAGCCACCAACCTCCCAACCCCATCAAACATATACACCCTCCCATCGCCAAACACCGGCCTCGAATACTTGACTGCACCCTCAACCTTCGGCAACGGCAACGGTATCAACGACCCATTCTCGGGAACCGCCTTGTAGGCCAACAACCCCTTGTCCACATCCGTAACCCACACAATCCCAGTCCCTTCCTTCCCTTCATCGCTCGTCACCGTCGGCACGCCCACAAAGTTATAATGCGGATTGTTAAATGGGGCCACCCCCGCTAGCGTGAACAACTCACTGCCCGACGACGACGTTGAAGCATTTCCCCCCTCCCCCGCCCCAGCATTAAACCGATACGCACTCAACGGCCCATTCCCCATATTCACATAAACCCATCCACCCTCGAGCGGATAACTCCCCACCCCACCAAACACCTCACCCGGCAACTGTATAACCTGGAGCGCCGCATCCGTACCATTGGGCCCCATACGGTACCCACCCAGGTTTCCCGCATCGAGAACGTACAGCTTCGTATTCGTACTTGTCGCGATACCAATCTGCGCCACCTGAGGCGTAGAAAACGTAGACGGATCGAGCAGGGCAAAACTCCCGCTTCCAATGTCCTGCCCAGCGTCAGTTTGGTAGTCGAACGGGCGGAAGAAGTCGACGAGCTGGATCCCTTTTGCCGCTTCTCCTGTCCCGCTGCCTTCGTCGAGTCGGATCCGCACTACCGTCTCGGATAAGACGCCTTCGTACTGGGTTCCTGGTTTGGGGGTGGTACTGGTATTGGGGCTCTGGGAGCCGGAGCCGTTGTCGATGGTGAAGAAGACGTCTTGTCCGTTGGAGGAGAGACCCATGCCGGCTTGCCAGATTCCGCCTGCGCCGCCGCCGTGCCAGGATGTCCAGTCCGGGGTGTAGGAGGACGTGGGGCCGGCTTGAGTGGTCCAGCGGTAGGTTTTGCGGGTTGCAAGGTTGACGGCTACGAGGGAGCCTGTGTACTGGATTTGGGAAAGGGTTTGGGTTAGTTTTTTTTTCGTTCAAAGGGTTTTGTATGGGGGTTATCTTGGAGGATCTTTGTTGGGATGATGGGAATGATTGAGTGTGAAGCGAGAGTGGGTGATTTAGTGACCAGTAACTGCGAACATCCCCCTCCCCCCTGAAAAAAAAACTTGCAATTGAACAAGACGTACATTAAACGCATCACACATGCCCCCAAACCCGGCATACAACACCTCCCCTAACAGCAGCAGCGCAGGCCGCTGCAACACCAACCCGCCCAGAAACATCTTGCGCGAATCGTTGTCGGCAGGGACATCGTCGATGAAGAGCGGGAACTTGTACAGATCGAGCAGGGTGTCGAGATAGACACCGTAGAGATACGTGACGGCATTGAGAGGAGGGGCGGCACCGCCTGGGACCCTGTAATCCCTTTTATTTTGGTGAGGGAGTGAGTTAGTTGGCGCGGTCTCATGCTGGGTCTACAAGGAAAGGAGGGGACGAAGAAGGAACGCAAGACAATGAACAAAGACAAAAGATGAAAAAATCCAACTAACTCAATATAACTCTTAACATAAAAAAACACAACCCCTTCCTCCACATACACCACCGGCGTCCCCACAATCCCCACCGTCCTCCCCACCTGCTCACAAAACGCCATCTCCGTCGGCCACGCAGGCGCCACCTGCCGCTCCTTCAACAGCTCCCCCGTCACCGCGTCAAACGTGCGAATCCGGTTCTCGGTCGAGGCCGTGAAGACGATCTGGCGGCCGGTGTCGGGCAGCGTGTAGAGCAGGGGTCGGGCCCAGTGCTTTTCGTTGGCTGCGAAGCTGGCGTTCCAGAGGTGCGTGAAGGAGGGGAGGTGGGAGGGCGAGATGGCGTGGGTGCCGCCGAGGTAGGAGGATTGGGGGATGTCGGCATCGTGGGGGGAGTCGGTTGGGGCGCTGTGGGTTGGGGTGGGGAGGAGAAGGAGAAGGTGGAGGAGGAGGGGGAAGATACGGGGGATGTGTTGGAAGGGTCTCATAGTGGGAATTTTTTCTCTTTTTTTCCTTTTTTTTCGAGGAGACGACCTTTCTTGTGAGATGTATGGGATGGAAGCATTTATACTTGTTAGTGTTAGTGGACGTCGAGAGTCTCGCGGTTAGTGCTCCTGCATCGAGTGACGCAAGCACAGGGCATCATGAGATGCGTTGATATATAAACTACTCGCGATATTCTGGAGAGCAGTATTTACCCTGTGTGCCGGAGATTGAGGGGGACAGGGAATGAGAGTTGTGCTAGATTGACGTGTGGGGCTTGACAGTCGACATTACCCAGATCGAGCATGCGTCCACGAAGCGAGGTTTCCGGCTTGATGATTGGTGATTTTCCGTACATGTCTGAAGTGATAGTCCACAGTGGCTAGGTATCGATACTCGCATTGAAACGCACCTTTGTCAGAAAAATCTTGGATTTGCCGCTTGATGTATTACAGTCTATAACCATCATGTAACAACAATACTCACACACTTTTGATCCCAGGAACCAATTCCCTTCAACACCTCACTCCACAACAGGCACTTGATCCTCGATCCTCCTTAAAAGCGGTACCCTCTCCGCATCGATATTGTTCCCCTCCGGATCCTTGGGATCAGGATACATCATCTTGGCATACTCGCCCTTTGCAACTTTACTAACTCTCCACGTGCCCGCCTCACCAGCCTCCTTGAAGAAGTCCTGATTCTCATCGAAAGAGCGACCACCCGTCTCTGGGAGATAGAGAAACGTCCACAGACCAGCTACCGCGTTCGTGCATGCGAACACGACGAAGATGTAATAACCCAGGTTATTGAACAGCACGGGTGTCAAGAAGGTAATGGCAAAGTTTGCAATGCCCCAAATAATGACCGAGATGGCGGTGCCCTGTGCGCGGGCGTTCGTGGGGAAGATCTCAGTGGGGATGAGCCAGACGGTGGAGAGCCAGCCGATTCCAAAGGCTCCTGTTGCGATAAATAAGATGACTGTGCCAATGACGCCAGGCACGATGATGGGGATGTCGAGGCTGCTCGAGTTCGCCGCCAGGCCACCGAAGACGCAGAGCAGAGCGAAGCAGGAAGACAGAATGATGGAGCCTTGAATAAGGAGGTGACGTCGTCCGAGAGCATCAATGAGAAGCCAGGCCAGTGTCATGAGGAAGAAATAGGATGTGTAGTTCCCCAACGTAAGGTATTCGGATTGCCTGACCCCAAAACCGAGGAGCTGGAGCTTTTGTTAGATTCAGGTGAAGACGGATGATCAAGTTGACTTACTTCGAAAATCTGAGGTCCGTATACAGAAACCGCTCCATACCCTGTCAATGCCTGGTTTACCTGACACATGATGGTCACCATGGTGGGGTGAAACTGGGGATGACTTGGGCTCATCATGTCCAAATAGCCCACGCTATCACCCTTTTCTTTCTCATGTTGCTCCTTCAACTCGTCGAATTTCTCCTCGCCTCCATCACCGTAAATCTCCTCCAACGCCTCCTTCGCGTCATCCTCCCGATCATTGAAAAGAAACCACCTCGGGCTCTCGGGCAAACGCTCGACAAAGGCCATCAACAGCACAGGATAGACCTGCATAACGATAATCGGCGTCCTCCACGCCCACTGATTCTGCTTCCCCAGCGCAATCGTGATGCCAAGGTTAATCCCAAACGCCATGACGAGGCCAAAAATATTCGACTGAAACTCCTGCGCCAGCGCCTTGCCTCTTGAATCATCAGACGAGAGTTCGGAAGAATATGTCGGAATGACGGCGTCGATGCCTCCAACGCCCAAGCCCATAATCACTCGTCCCACAATCATAACCCACAGGGCAATACCCTCAAACTTCATACCCGCAACAAACATGACTAGGTTGCCCAGACTCGCCGCCGCCAGACTGAAGAAAATGCTCTTCTTCCTGCCGACCTTGTCTGCCATTTTAGAGAAGAGGACGGCGCCGACTGCACAGCCGAGGTAGTAAATGGCCACGATGACGCCGACAATGGGGGATTCTTCTGCAATGCCCATGGTCGAGAGGTAGTCCTCGTTTGTGTTGATGAGGGACATCATGCCCTGGTCGTAGCCATACAGGGCAATTGCTGTTGCAGAGAATATCACGACATTGGCTTGCTTGTCTGTGGTTACCTGTTTGACATGATCAATGAGGAACGACATGGTGAATGTATTTCAGGTCAATTGCCTGACCGTGTACCGTTTGGAGAAGGAGGGCAATCGAAAGTAAGAGTGGGCTTTGGGGTAGAAGAGAGACAGAAGACAGAAGAGCTTCGTGACTACATTTTCAAGGCGTAAATTGTCGTCTGGTAGACGCTTGAACTACGCTACGCTTGAAGTCTCTTCCTTGGTCAGCTGGTTGGACTCGCGCGTCGTCCTTCTATGTAATGACATCGTTCTGCAGGTTTGAGGCTGCCCGCTTGGCTGATCTGAGATTAGCGAGGTGGACGCCCCCACTTCACTACGAATTGGCTTTGCATCGGGAATTGTTGCATGCACATGGCCTTTACGAATATCCCATCCCATGTTTTGAAACATTGTCACTTGGACATTTACTTGTCGGTACGATGGGGAGTGAATTGCTGCAGGTTGGAAGATGTTTTCACGAGGTGCTGTTGGTAGTGAAAGCTAGACAGTCAACTTTCGGATCATCATTTTCACCGCCACAGTAGTTAGGTGCATCAATCATCCACAATGCAGATGAGATGTATACGAGAGATTGGGTCGAATTTCTCCTTGGAGCGGCCCTCATCTTAGTAGAGGTACAAGAATTGCTCAGCAAGCTTTATGTGGTATTATCACGTGACAGTGGACAATTCGGTGTCCAAGAATAAACATGCAACTACGAATTCATTGAATCATGTGTCATATAGAAAATATCATAAATATCCAGACAAACTGGGATCTTCCCTACTGAAGAGGCCTGGGATCAACTCCTGTCAGAGTAGGCTTGACCGGCTGCATAAGGCCCGTCTCCTCATCAATAGTCAGCTTGTCAATGCATGTGACACGGTGCGTACCATCTCCACCAGGGATGGCAAAGCGATGGTAGACAATGTACCACTCATCCGTGTTTGGCACGTTGATGATGGAGCTGTGGCCCGTTGCCAAGATACCCTGTGATTCATCCTTTTCTAGGATCAGTCCATGGTAAGTCCAGGGTCCCATGATGTCCTCTGAGGTTGCATAGCCCACGCGGTAGCCTGAAACACCAGTGTCGTCAATTGAGTAGGTGAAGTGGTAAAGTCCCTTTCGGTAATTCAAGAATGAGCCCTCGCGGAAGTTGACGAGTCCTTCGACCTTGTGCAGTGTTTCCTGTTTAATGGAGATCATGTCGTCGTTCAATTCCGCCATCAAGGGTGTGCCGTTGCCCCAGGAGAGCCAGTACTTGCCCGTCGCGGGATCAAAGAACGCATGTGGATCAATGGCCTGACCAGTCTTGATGGCTTCGTTGTTGGTGATCATGGGTGTTGGTTGTGCTGTGAACGGGCCTTCTGGAGAGCTGGCTGTAGCAACACCAATGGTCTTTCGGTTGAACTCTGGATTGTGGCCACTGAAATAGAAGGAGTAAGTACCTTCGCGCTCAATGATGGTAGGGGCCCAAGCGTTTCCAGTTGCCCATGGGACATTTCCGTTCGTTCCGTTCAGTGTCAAGAATGGTGTCTCAGCCCTAGACCAGTTCACGAGATCCTTGGATTGCCAGGTGTAGAACACTTTTCCACCCCAGCCGGGGAATCCATCAGTCGTTGCGTAAATGTAGTAAGTATCATCAAAGATGATAGCATTTGGATCGGCGTAAAAGTCCGGGAGAACTGGGTTGCCAGATGCCTGGCGAGTGGCAAGTTCACTCTTCTTGCGCCTGGAGTTGGTCGTTGAGCGGCCTGTGACACCAGCAAGTTCGGCTGCAGTGACGGGAACAACAGTTCCATGACGGGGGCTAGCGGGCAACTTGTAGTTGGGAGAGACCTTCCATTCGGGTCTGCTCATGTCTGCAGTCTCCAGTGGTACATAGCCCCTGCCGGAGTACTCATCAACGAAAAGATAATACTTCTCTCCGTGAACATCCCCAGGGTTGGACTTGAAGGCCGTCGGTCCTTCAACAGCACCTAGGCCTGCGTTCCTGCCAATACAGCTAGCGCCAATTGTCCATCCATCAAGCGGGGCCAGGAGAGATGTGGAGCTCTCCTGGATGATGTCAGCGCATCCTGTTACGCCTCCTTCGTCCTTGGTGAAGCGGTAGAAAACATCGCCTGCCTTGAGGACTGTGGAATCGATCCGTGATGTGCCAGCATCCTGCCATATCTTAGTCGGGCTGAATGTAACAAAGTCCTTGGTCGTCGCGTAGAGCATGCGGTGATATGTGGAACCTGTGTGGTTTGGATCATTGGCCGCGTACAGCGACGATGCCCAGAAGACAACATACTCGTTGAGGTCGGTGTCAAAGTATGCCTCTGGCGCCCATGTGTTGCCAGCCTCTGGGGGTGAGACAAGGATGTGCCTCTGCTCGCTCCAGGTCCTCAGATCTGGAGACTCCCAGACCTCAAGGTAGCGGCTTCCGGTCCTCACAGCGGCACCCCATGAGGTGCCTGATCCAATGGAGAGGTCTGTAGCAATCAGAAAGAACTTGCTACCATCATTTGAGCGGATGAGGAAGGGATCGCGCAGTCCAGTGGTTCCTTTTGTGGAGGTGAGGATTGGCTGGCCATTGTTCAACTCAGTCCAGTCGAGCGCATTGTTGCCATTGCTTGCAGCTAGGTAAATCTTTTCACCCGCTCGGCTATTGTTGGTGAAGTATGCGAATACATAACCCTCATTAACAGCGGCTTGTGCAGAGACGCTCGACACCGCGCCGAGCGTCAACAGGGAGAAGATTGACGTGAAGAACATGGCTGGAAGAAGTGCTTCCCAGTTGATCGCCGTCTGGAGCTGTGCCAGATGAGCAGCATTCTTCTGCACAGCAGTGTCTTAATATAACCCCCAAATTGTTGCTGCAATCATCCGTGGAGCTGCCCCATTAGGCTCACCATGCTTGGACCTCTTCACATCACAGCTTGCACGTACAGGCATCTATACGACGTCTAGTAACGGTCACTGCCCTGCAATCATCCGTGGAGCTGCCCCATTAGGCTCACCATGCTTGGACCTCCTCACATTATAGCTTGCACGTACAGGCATCTATACGACGTCTAGTAATGGTCACTGCCCAGCAATCCGGGACATTAGCTTCCGATGCACCGAAAAGGTGTGGAAGCTGGGCAAAAGCGCGGGGAAGCAACAGGGCGGGGATTCTCCATTGACGGATGCTTTCCCCATGCCAGTTAGTGAATGGTGGGGAAAGGTACCAAAACGGAGTGCATATGCGTTATAGCATCAGGTGCCATCGCAAAAAGCTCCGTGGGCACTCTGGCTGTTTTACTTGAATAGAAGTTAGGACCGAACGAGCTATACGCTAGGCATATGCTCACGTCAAGAACAATGGATCCTTCATGCAAATTGAGGAAATTTAATTGTCAATCGGGGATTTTGGTGCGGACAATTGGTGATGTTATAAGCGGCTAGCTATTTATGTAACGTTACTTGATAAGCTTCCAAATGGAACATCGGCGCTTATACCGAGGCCGAGGCTGTACCGGTTACCTATACTACTCTACCGAGTCCATGTCCATGACCGCAACTTTGAATGCACATTGTGGCAAGAGGTATTCCTTGACAGAGGTTCTTCCCGGGTAGCGTGCTGTCGTTGATCATCTTTGGCAATCTCTTCAACATCCATAAACGGGCATAGACACACAAACATGCTGAGCGTGTATTCGTGCAAACTGTAAGACTAACATCAAGTGCACAGACTCTGCAAGGTCCGCACAGGATCGTTTTAAAAAGAAAATACGAGCATCACGAGCAATTCGTCAGACCTAGCCAGCTATGCTATCTGCCTCCAGTCTACATTTAGCAATTCGCAAAAGGACCGCATAATTTCCACAAATCCCACAGTCTGAGGATTTTCATGGTCACATGTGCAGCATCGGAAGACGCCCTTTGTCTACAAGGAAGAAGCGTAAACCCGAGTCTCTCCCGTCTCTAATGTTCCTCAAGACGTGTCTTCAGGATGGATAAATCCCAAACTCTCTCATACCCCGTTTTCGCACAACTCACATGACCAGATTCCTATTCACTGCCAAAGGATCTCAAGTCTTCACAGCCTCATAGCGGCCAGACAGTCTCAATGTTCCAGTTCGCTGCGAGCGTCGCTTCGATACGATCCGAGTATCCACACGCTTACGACGACCATGCGACCCAGTTTCTAGGTAAGAGCCAACAGGGATAGAAAAGAGACGGCCAAACCGTGACGCGCACATGAAGACAGACGAGGAAAAAGGGAGACAACAAATTCCATCTGCACGATCCGCGAAGAATTTCGAGCCGGCAATCGACGACTTCCACCACGCTTATAACAACTCTCCAAATCAAAGCAAACCCATTTCCTCCCAGAAACCCCACCACCTTCATACAAAACCCCCACCCCCCTCGGACATCCCCCGCCATCTCCGACCCCCACCCCGCCATCGCCGCAAACCCCAACTCCTCCATCTCACCCGACCACCGCACGCAGGCAGCAACATTCTGTACACCATGATTCGCTGCGCAGCAAAGTACCGTAAGTACTCTATACCCACACTGCACCTCTCGTGCGAAACCAAACGTCTTGCGGCTGAGCAATACGCCTTGATGCACAGCGCAAACAAGGGGTGGGATGAGCGGGGAGGGCGCGTGTGCTGGGTGCGAGTGTGAGACATGGGTCAGGGTGGTGGGTATAAAGGACGGGGTGGGGACGGTGCTTTTTGATTCCTCGATGTTTGCATTGCCAGCTTTATTCTTTGTTGTTGGTGATGGACGTGCATGGCATAGGGCACATTCATCATACCCGGTACATACCATAGTTTGACAACGATCACCATTTCCAATCCCCTCTCTCGCTCCCTCTCCCCCGCCCAAAGCACGCGATCTGATTGGCCCCACGGGCCCGCATCCAACCAACCACAAGACAGATAATTGCGAGCATAAGCAAACAACGCATCCAGGGCGTACAGTACGGTACGGTACTGTAGGGATCACAAGGGAAAGAAAGATATATAAGAACACGGCCAGTGCAGTTCGAGCTTTGCACTTCATGTGCGATTGAAGTCCCCCCCTCAGCCCCTAAGACCAATACTGATACCATTGAGAATAAAGTCTACGCAGCCAGACGCAAGACCAAAGGCACCAAATATGTCGACCCACCACCTGACCATCCACGACCTGCTCCGCATAACCTACACGTACGAGGCGCAAGCCCTCGAGGCCGAATCAACAAGTCGCTCGAGTTCGATATGCTCCGTGAGTCGCGCCTTGCTCCTCCAGACCGTTTGCTCTTGCTTGCAACAAGAACAGCAGACTGACACATTCCGACGAAAAGACACCAGAAACATGTTCGCAGCTTCCGGCCACAGCTTCGGAACCCCACACTAGCCTCGAGACAGACTACACGCAAAAGTACTGCCGCAAGAGTCGGCGCGCTTGAGGGGCTTGCCCGCTCATGTCACCTTTGGACTCGCTCAACGACGGCGATGGGAGTTGCGACCATGTCGTTACGATACATCGACCCACCAGCGTCGGCTTTCCCCCTTTCCCAAACAGCCCGCATGCTCTTGTTTTCAGGACCAGAAGTAGAGAGGCAATATACAACTGATGCTTCCTAAGGTCCTTCCACATGGACATGTCTAGGCCTATGTCCAAGGATGAACAAACCCTCACTGTGACTCGAATGGCTGGGAGGCGTCAAAGAAGGCAGACCTACCGTGTGCATGACTGACGTGAGGGTGTGTAGGGTCGGCCCGACTCGAGGATATGTCGATTGTCATTGGCTACGCGGGAATCGAAGGACAAGGTACAAGATGGAGAGTGCGAGGTTGCCACGGGAAGCTGCGTGTGACGTCTTTGGAGGTTAAACCGCTAGGAAAGTACGGGGGAATGTGCGAGGTGGTTGGTGAGCAAGTCGATGCGCGGTTGGTTTGGTGGGGTTGCGGGCGGGATGTCCGATGGTGGATGGAGAGCGGGTATACCCTTGTACCGGTAGCTTTTCTTGGTAGATTATTTTGACGACTTGCCTATTGCAGATACCATGCTTACATGGGCATTCATGTGAACAACGTACGTGGTGAAGCCTTGGTCTGTGTATAATCTTCACAACAAGTGTCGCGACCAAGGCTTCGCTTTTGACAGCAAAGAAGGCCGCCATGCGTCATATACCTATGCTGGATTCGTCTCAAGCAGCCGCGAACACTCACCGCACATGCCAACTCCAGTTCGCGTGCAAGCTTTGGCGTTGCGGGTTCGCAAAGTCTTGCGAAGTCATTTTGACTCCAAGGCTGTCGACTGCCTAGTACAACAGCTTGCCCCCAATGCCTCATGAGACTCCATCTAAAGCATCAGCCACACAATAAAAACCGCTCCAACTTCATCTCATGGCTCATTTGTTGAGTAGGTCTTGTGCTAGACGGGCCTTCAAGGGGCGGCCATGGAGCGGTATGCAGCAACGCATTGCATACTTCAGCGATTATGCGAAAATAGTGAAAAGTAAGAAATATGTGACAAGTCACTGCTAAACAATCAGTCATTGCGATATAGTGCAATAAAGCCATGTCCTTAGAGTTATTGATAGTGAGTGGGGGGATTTCTAAAAGCATTTGCCTAATAGAGCAAGATTAGCAAATAGTGTCCATATCAAGGCAACATAACTAGACATACATGGTCATGTAGAAGCAGCTTCTTTTTATCCTACAAATATAATAGTCTATGGCTCAAATGTTAGCAACCCGCAAATAATAAAGATATAATAACAAGGTAGGATACGCGACTGGCTTTGAAAAAAAAAAAAGGACAGCCCACACCAGTCTATTAAGCAGAATCTTTCTAAAGTAGAAGAATATCTAGACTTTAATCTCTAAGTAAGTCTAAACGCAGGAGGAGATTATTAGGCAGAGATTGTGGAGGCGTGACTTGCCAAGTGCAAAAAGAGGAGTGGCTCGCTAGGTGCAAAAAGAAGGGGAGCTCTCTGGGGGCAAAAAGAAAGAACAGAACGTACCTTGGATCCTGGGAGTGATCGAGGCGAGGATCGAACACTTGACTTTTGATTTACAACCAGCAGCAGCTTGCAGACTTGACTTCACAGCATTCACAGCATTTGGGACTTACCTGTATTAATTCAGGGTGAATAGCCGTTAGGCTAACTGGCAACTCGGTGGAGTGCGTGCGGGATTGGCGTGTGCCGATGTCGTAAATCGACAAAGGGTTTGCTAATTGTATGGTATATATAGTCCAGTGTGGTGAACGTATAGGGCGCAGCCTAAGATTAGCTGCGGAGGGCTGTGCGGAGATGCGCAAACAGAACACTGTGGAAACTGTTAGGCATCGGGAGGGTTATGCAGGTCTCTAAGCCTTTGAGTGTGCTCTCACATAGTGAAGTGCAATGGCAGTCTTGGTAGGGCGAGGCCTTCGGGAGAGGCTGGGCCATCCCCTCTACACTCAACCACCACAACCCTCCCCCCCAGACAGCACCTCGAACACCAGAGACTCGGTGAGCATATTCTTGCAACCCATCTCTTGCGTAGCAAAGCGCGTCCAGAGGTGTCCTTTGCCTTATCTGATACCGGGTTGAGGCGGGGGACAGCGGTGCTATGCCCGGCGACATCACCCATGACACCACAACCACAGCATTAGGTGCATTCAAGGCACATGTCACACAGTAAGGAGTATGAAGACCCCCTTGAGAGCCTTCTCGCAGTATCAGCAACCTCGAGATCGTCGAGGGCGCGCTGCTTGTGGACTTGGTTGTCCAAACATCCAACACCTGTAGTGATTCTTGCACCTTGGGGCGCCACATCAACTCTTCATCGCAGGAATTTCGCAAGTTTCCATCGCATAGGAAGACTTGATGTTATTCCCATGCCTGTGGCATATCTGGCGCGAGACCTTGGGTTGGGCGAGCTCTTTGTAGGCGCAACACCCCACCCGCGGGCTCACCGTTCTTTCTGCACACACTTGCAAAACAAGGAACGCAGACCAAGTAGCGGAGTGAATGCGCAGGATTGCATCTCAAAACACACGATCAACGCACAGAGATTCCTTACAGCTTCCTGTAAGTGCATCGCAGAAACGTCTCTCAGAATCATGTGTTGACATCCTCCGGCATCGCGGCGTCGAGTCCGCGCACGACTGCCATTTTGAATTTTTGCTGAGGAGAAACTCGTCTGGTCAACATCCGCTGAGCACTCAACTCTGAAATTGAATACTAGGCCAGTCGGTCCGCGACTCGATCTGCTGATCGCAGCAATCGTCAACAATACATTGCCAGTCGACGCATCCCCAGCCACACGTTAAACGAATCCAACGCAACGAGATCTCCCTAGTATGCGACAACGACAACGATACACTTCAGGCCCTCTCGATTGAGAGACCTAAGGGAAGTGGATGATCTGATGTATATCTGCACCAATGCTAGAAGCCCAGAGCGGACCGCGCTTGTGAAAGCTGATGGCGACGGCATATATTCAGCCTCATAGTCCAAGTCCAGATGAGCACCAAAGACAATGCAAGCTTTCAGCGCTTACATTGTCAGGGTCTCTCACATGCGACGCGTGTGAGCAACATCCGGGACCATGACAGGATGAGGGCAGGGAATGCAGGCCATATACGAAACATGGTCCGCAACTCTGCAAGCTGCTAGGACGGTTTAACGACCTTTCGGTTTGTATGACCATATGCGACCACAAGAGGAGGACATAATACTTGAATCTGTGGCAAGATGGGTGCCATGATCAGCTGACGAGGACACAAAAGAGTGGGAAAGATGTTGCAACAGACGATAAATGTCGGATCGGCTGTGAGAGTGCTCCACGATCTTTGTTACACACGTGGTCCATCGAGATCAATCAACATGCTCTGGCCAAAGTGATCATGCTCGCGCTGACTCGTGGATTCGACTGAACACGGCCGGAGGACTTCTGTGCCGGCCACGGGTTCCCCTAGACTATGAGGTACTCGTGACTCTCAACCATTTCAGGATCCTTCCCCTGATATTCGCCCAAAGTCGATAATCGGCCATGGTAAGCGATGTGCACGACAGCTCTGGCCTTCCATTGTGTACGATGAAAGCCATGGTCGTGAGTAAGCGCTCGAGTGTCTGCTTGTGGTTACGACCGACACGTAGAAGTGGCAAATTGGAATTCGGAACACTAGCTTGGTGTCTCTGAGGTCGTTTTGATTAGGAGCCGTTGGTGTAGCTCTTGCACACTGAGGGAGCTCGCTTCAGCTTGTGTGATTGGGGTTTGGCGAAAGCTCTCCACATTGCATTAATCGGATTGATTGTACTTGGTTATACGCTGTTTCGCTCCAGTGCGAGCAGGCCATCACGAAGATGGCTCATATTTCACCACTCCTGATGTTGAGCTAGTTCAGATAACTGCTCATCTGAATACGTCTTCATCAGGGAGGTGCGTGCGAAGGCATACTGTCCAGAGGCCGTCCTCGGACATTTCATATGGCCGAGTGTATCATGCTGGCGTTTTTCCAAGGATAAAAGCTTCGGCTAAGCTGTCCCTTGAGCTGCGAGCGTCTTGCCAAGCTTCTGACGGAACGACAAAGGGTAAGAGATGCAAATTGCGTAGCACACCAACTACCCACATGTGCCAATGTACTGAAGTACGATTCGAAAGGTGTGTTGGCTCTGCCAATCATGAGTGTTTTGTTAACACCATAACGGCTTTTGGTACTTGTATTCAATGAGGGAACCGTCGTGTCTGACCTTGGCAAGCCCGTTACCATGACGAGTATTGAAATACATTTCTCCGGGTGAGAACATTAGCTCCTACTCAACATCGGCGTCCCAGTTTCTCGAGAATTTCCAACTCTTTTGAACGAGAGTACTGTCTTCGTATATCGTAGGAATATCCTCGCTGTGACGACAAAAGCACGTTTCTCCGAGCTCGTCGTCTGCACTAGAGCCAACGCGAAAAATATCGCACTCAAGACCAGGACATGCAGCCGCAATCTAGACCTGGTGTGGAGATCACTATGATCATTGCCAAGCTTGAAACGCATGTTTCGGCATTCCACATGTGCGGAAATTGTGAACAGCCCAACTCTTGCATCCGTCTTTGGATCTACCGGACACCTATGCTCCTTTACCACATGAGTGCCTGGCGATGGACTCAGTGGTCCAGCAGTGCATCTCTTGTCAGGTCTCATGTGATCGAGGTTCGACGTGGGTTGGCGGGCTTTCTGTCGTGTCAGAAGGGGTGCCAAAGGGTATGTCCCGGTTGTGACTGTCAGCGCTGCGATTGGTTACCGGCCCCAAAGCTCATTCTTTGGGCTTGGAAGAGCTGCATTTCGAGAATGGCCAAATAATTATGCGTGCTGTTGCAATAGACGCGCGTGTACGTGGACGAAGGTGAGATATTCTCAGCAGTGTGTTGCCCCGCCGCTGCAGATGAGAGTGTTGCACTCCGGCGTGTGCCGGTGTCTGCGAGGAAGATTCTGTTAGCATTACCTGCATCAGCTTCTGAAGTCAAAACAGAAGCATTATCATCAAAGTAGAAGCTTTCCAAGCTTGCTCTGTCGTGATGTTGAGTTGCGCTGCTGCCGGCTGTGGGCGAGGGGCGAAAATTGGCTGCGCATCCAGAGGGCGGGTATGGAGCAAGGTGGCCAGTTCTACTCGATCGCACCTGCCCACCCGAAGAATGTCAGGCTAGGTTGCGAGCACTCGGCAGTAGTCTTACTACGTTATGTACGAGCTGTCTGAGGTTACCGTTGTCATTCTGCCATCCTTGACGGGCGATGGCTATGCGTTGGAGTTTCCGTCTCAGCGACCACCCACAGCTACAGACTTGTGGGCGGGCGCCGGTGTGGAAGCCGAGAGACTCATCGCAGAAGCAGTCAAAGCAGTCTTCTGTGCCAAGTAGAGGAGTTGTACCGATTCTCCGGCCGCGCAGGCACAAAGAGACATTACTGTCATCAGTGCTACCTGATCTGAGTTGGCAGGTGGAGAGCGTTACAGCCATGCCCAAGAGGGCGGTAGCACGTGCGAAGCCATCTCTGCGATGACATTAGTACATCCTTACGAAGAGTGGAAGGATGGAACTTATCTTATGCTGGTGTTGTGGGCAATGTGGTGTGGGGGGTAGAAGGTGATGGTGGTGATGAGAAGATCGCCGCGGTCACAACCCTCCACAGGTGTGGTAGCACGTCCGTGGTGGACGAGCAGCTCCTTCGTCAGCAAACTCAGTTTGGCCACGAAGCATTACTGTAAAGAGGTACGAGGAAGCTGGCTTGGGGAATGTGTACCTTGGAAGAAAGCTGCAAACGAGTCAAGAAAGCCGGTTGCTTACTGCACTTGGACATGATGGGCACTGCCATCCTACTCGTTCAACCATCACCATGACATGCGGCACGTACAACAGATACAGTCTCTCTGTCAGCAAGGAAATCTCTAGGGGCACTGTAAAGTTCAGAGTCATCAATCAGTTTCATTCATGGTGCTGGCCCAACTCGGATTCCGACGGAGAGCCAACGTGCAACCCTGCCAGGGCATGTTTCGCCATCGCCTACTTCATCTTGTTCGCCCAGCTCTGGAGCTTCCAACGTAGTTAGTGGGCCCGATATCTACCAAGGCAAATCATGGCTCCAGTACACCCAGTTCATCCATGGGGCCGGTCATGCCGTTCCTACCCAATGGCACCGAAGCAGTTGGTGTTTCTGCATGGCCAGTTTCACGGCTTCGCATACTGCTGTGTCCATTCTTGGGCTGTCTTGATCGCCTGTGCCTGGTTCTCCTTCCACGCCTGAGCCACATCGTTCGCCAGGGGATCATCTGGGTTCGGGGCACCCAGGAGGGCTTGGATGGAGAGGAGGATGGTACGAATCTGCAGCGCGGGCGACCAGTTGCCTAGACATGTTATCTTCACGATGGACAGCAAGAAGAGGCACATGGGAGGGCAGACTCACTCTTGAGCACGTCGAGACAAATACGGCCTAGCCTGTCAATGTTGGGGTGGTAGATTTTTGTGAGGAAGCGGACCTTGGGCGGGGTCATGGGATAGTCGTCGGGCAGGAAGAGCTCGAGCTTGAAGCAGCCGCCTGTGTAAGGTGTCAGCCAGGGCTGTCGCAGCACCATCCACGACGGGCGGCCACCACATACCCTCGTACGGCGACTGCGAGGGGCCGTCGATGGTGACATCGAAGTACCGCAGATTGTCGTCGTGGGGGGTCGCCGAGATGCCCTGGACGCTAGAAGGCACTGTTGCGTCAGAGACGGGTTTCTGCACAGCATGCACACAAACCAGCAGGTTGTGGGTTGCATAGCGCTCCCAAAGGAGGTTAAACGAGGGATCTACCTACGGCTCGTTGACCAGCCTTTCCGTCTCCTTGATGATGCGCTTGGGCAGAGACATGATGCGTGCGTGCGCGTAGGTGTATGTGTGTGTGGGACAGGCGGGAGAAGGGGGGGGGGGGTGCTCCTGTGGGTGCCTGGACACAGGGATGAACGCTCCGAGATGTACTTCTGGCCGCTTTTTTCCTTTTTTTCCTCTACGGAAGATGCACGGCTTGAGCTTCAGAGCAGAGTAAATGGAGTATGGTGGTGTATTAGACACTGAGAGTGTGCGTGTGTGCGTGGGTGTATGAAGTCAAAGAATGCCAGGCGCAGATGACGATGCCAGTCAGGCCCGGCCAAGGCTTCTTAGTACAACATACCCCCCCTCCATCCTTAGGTACCAGGTTCCTCTCTGCCCCGCCTACTGTAGGTAACCACCCACCGTACCAGTACCTACACAATAAGCCCACGTTTTGCCTACCTACCCACCCACCTACCCACCTGGCACCCACTGACAGTACAACACGATGGAACGGTCATGTCGAATGGAAAAGAGGAGCTCGCCTTAGCCCGTAGCCAGAGGGAGATAGAGACAGAGCCCTGAAGAGAGAGAGAGAGAGAGAGAGGAGAGACAGAGACTTTGCCAAGGCTACTGGACACCGGTGACTGAATATTCACGCTAAAAGAGGGAGACAGGGGCCGGGGCAGGAGCTCACCCCACTCCCCCTCCCCACCATAACCATTCTATCCTATGCTATCCTATCCCCTCGCCCTAACCCCCGGTCCAAGCTCGCTACACCAAAACTGACAACAAACACAAGAAACATCGACCAAAGTTGTGCCCACGATGGCCGCCACTCAGGGCCCATCGTCGGCCTTTGAGAGCCCAACGTTTGATCACACCTTGTCAATTGCTGTAGACGACGAGATTGGCTCTGCCAGCATCAGCCCAGCAGGTCGCGATGTTGTGCTCGCCAGCAAGAATGGCCTGCGCATCATCGATCTTGACAACCCCTACTCGCTGCCGCTCTACATCCCCAATCAATCTTCTTGGGATGTTGCAGATGTGCAGTGGTCACCCTTTGCCGCTCGCGCTGAATGGATTGCCTCGACCCGCAACCAGTTGGCCCTCATCTACAATCTCTCGATGCCCTACAACAACAAAAAGGCGCCGATTGAGTTCACGCTCCGCGCGCATGAGAGGGCCATCACTGACATCAACTTCTCCGCTCATCATCCTGACTTTCTTGCCACCTCGGGTGTAGACAGCTTCGTTTTTGTGCACGATCTACGGAGTTTCCAAGCCCCACTGAAGCTGGCCGACTTCACTGCTGGCGCCACCCAGGTCAAGTGGAATCGCCAAAACGACAAGGTCATTGCCAGTGCCCACGATAAGTATCTGCACATCTGGGACATTCGCAAGGGCGCCACCCCACTCTCCACCATCGCTGCTCACAGCACCAAGATCTATGGTATTGACTGGAATCGCAATGATGCCAAGAAAATCTTGACCTGCTCGCTCGACATGACCATCAAGCTTTGGAACAACGTGGGCGTGACGACTACTGTCGAAACCCCTCGTCGAGTCATACAAACTCACTACCCAGTTTGGAGAGCCCGCCATACTCCCTTTCCCGCTGGCATCCTTGCCATGCCCCAACGCGGCAATGCAAGCCTTTGGTTGTACAAGCACGTCAATGATAGCGACCCATCGACCTTTGTGAATGAGCCGGCGCATGAATTCCAGGGACATGAACCAGATGCACAAGTCCGCGAGTTCTTGTGGCGTACCCGAGGTTCTACAGACGATGGCCTCGACAACCGTGACTTCCAGCTTGTTTCCTGGGGTACCGACAAACACCTCCATCTCCATCGTCTTTCGTCCGAGTTGCTCGAATCCTCTGTCGGCTTCCGCAAGGGCGAGCCTCTCCTAGAGCAGCCCAGTACGACCAGAAAAGGTGCTAGTTATGTCTCGTATCGTGACGGTCCAGTGACTGCGACGGCTGCCTCGACTCGAGAAGAGTTGGGTCCGCCTCGCAATCAGAGGAAAGGTAACCTCTCTACGCTCTTCCAGAATTCGACTCTCAACGAGAAGACATGTGCATCCGGGTCTGGGTCCACGATGCAGGCACAGCTTGGACTGGCGGCCGAGACACTGCCACGAGAAACCATGACTGCGCAGCCAATCCGTCGCAACAATCCTCGTGTTGTCACACACATCACATGGATGGACGGTGTCAAGTTCGGCGATCGACGCAAGGAAGTCAACGACTTTCGCGCCCGCCCCAATCCACGTGGCTCCGACGAAAAGCATCCATACCAAGAGCAGAATGACCTTGGGGCAGAGATATCGTACGTTGGAAACAAGTACAAGAAGATCACATTCGAACAGATCGATGTACCCGGAAGACGCATCACCATCTCCTTCAATGGTCCCTGGGGTGACTACGATGCAAACACCGACGATTTAAAGCTTGTCTTTTTACGTTTCACTATCCAATTCCCGACTGGGTACCCCAAGAAAATCGAAAAACAGCAGCTAGGTACACTGCCGACCATGGTCACGACCCCGTTGGAGATCAAATTCGAGAGAACCACAGCGCCAATCAGTCGGGAGAATCAGGATGACCTCATGGACAACATGATTCGAATCGCCGAAACATGCGCACTACAACAGCGGGAAGCCTTGGAGGCCATACTTTCCTATGCACTTGGGGAGCGCGGACTAGAAGACAGCCTAAATTTGGTCGAGGACATCGAGGACGACCACCTGTTGGAGGATCTAGGACCGGGACCAGGAATGAGCTCCAGCGAGGAAGACGAGCATGACGGCGAGTTTAACAATGACGTGATGCAATCTTCTCATACGAATAGTGCTAATGTGCCCCTTCCCATCCAGTGTACTGCGTCATTCTCGGCATGTGGATTCCTCGTGCTCGCAAGGATGCCGTCGACAAAGTCAGCTCCTGGCTTGGACATGCTCCAGATCCAAATTACTAGAAATCTCCGTCACGGTATCAACAAGAACGATATATTTGACTCCTTCGGTCGTCTAACTGCCCAAACAGCCGAAGATACAGATAACGCTTCTTCCACATCCTCTGCTGCTTCCTGGGAAGCCTCGTCTTCACCATCGTCTTCGTCTGGTATCAACCACGACGCGAACGCACATATTGGCAATTTCCAGCCCCCTTTGGCATGGCAGAAAGCAGCATCTCGGTTCCAGTCGCGAGACTCTCTTCCCTCTTCGACCGGTGCAGGAAAAAGGGTCCCCAAGACCAGGTCTATTGTGTCCATTTTGCGATCTGCGGTAGATGATTTGATCCCTAGCAAACAGGTGCTAGCGCAGGAATACCGGATCTTTGGCCCAGGACCACTGATATGTGAACACAATTCTGAAGTTGCAAGGAAACATGGACTTGAGGATCTGGCGGATATTTGGATGCTCTGCAAACTCATACTGAATAATGATGTGCCTTTGGAAATACTACCACAGCAGCACCGAAGAGATCAGGTCCTTGTTCTTGCCCGGAGAGCTCTTGTGAGGATTAAACGCAAAGACAGTGGCCTGGACCTTCAGTTTGATGATGATGCTGATACCGTGACAAATCCATCATTGAAAGGAAGGATTAAATGGGGAGATCATGCCGTTGTTACCTGGCTTATCCCTGCCCTCTTTGACCACTTTGAACGTCTTGCGGATACCCAGATGCTTGCCATGTTGTCCTGTATATTCGCAGAACCTGCTGCCCGTGAAGGTGTGACCTCTGCCATGGCCAAGATGCAGCAGTCCCAACTTCCCATGTCTATGGAGGCGCCGGCATTCTCATTAGATTACTTCTCTTCTGCGGATGCTGCGTGGAGTCTTTTCCGTCCCACTATATCTGTTCCGTCCACACCTGCTCACTCACGATTAACAACACCGGCAAACGAGTTTGGTTGGCATAGGTTATCGAGGAACGTGGACACTTATGGAAGTCATGGTAGTTCCAATGGTCCTTGGGGCAGTGACACTGTGAATTCCGAGCCCATCACACCTTATTCGACGGGCAACACACCACCTGCGCTTTCTAGGGTGTCGACCATGCGGAGCGCGCAGACCGCTGGCCATACCCCATATTCGACGTCGCCTGAACAGAGCCACAGCGGCCTCAAACGGAGCTCTGCAACCAATTTTGCAAGCGCCGTTGCTGCACTGTCACGACCCTTCGCAAACGCAATGTCCTCTTCACCGCCAGTCAAAGCACGCATGGAAGACCTCTCAACATCTGCACCTACAGGTGGCGTCACTTGGGGAACGACGACATTTTATGGCAGCGAGACGCACGATCGAAGTAGTCTGGCACCAGCGCGCTCAAAACACGGCAAGCGAGCAAGTTTCGGGCAAGCAGAGCAGGTCAACGTGGACTATATATACGACTCTGATTCTGATTACGAAGGAGTCAATAACGATGGCAACACCTTTGAAAAAGCATCAGAATACGTCGCGCCGGGAACCCCCCGCCGGGAGAATACTGTCAGCTCAATCAAGGTCACGCTGAAGAACCAAGATCAGTTTGACGACGAGGCGTGCGTCAGTAGGCCATTGCTCGATATGACTAAGGACTGGCTATATCGTGCATGGCGAGAGCAATATGCGGACATGCTCAGCTGTTGGGGGCTCATCAACGAGAGGGCAGAAGTACTCAAGTTCAACGGACTCGTGTCCTACTTTCCTCCACTACCAGAACAAAGTCGGGATATCACAAGAGCTGGCTCGATGCATTTGGCGCTCAAGAAGGGTGGAGATGACGAAGTCGATGGTGTAGTGCAAAGACACTTGTCCAGAGCGTCGACCACTTTGGGTGCTCCACCAATGCCGGTGGCGCAGATGAGGCGTTCACCTGCGGTCTCTCTACGACAATTTTCGTTCAATCCCGAAGCTCAAGAATTCCAGCCAGGCATATCGCCCTTGTTTCCCACAGAAGCAGTGGCACCTCCGCGAGATGTGATCATTCCTACTGAGCAATACCTACGCCTCTCCATCCCTGCACCGAACCCGATCAAAGAACTCACGGACAGTCTTGCTGGATTGGGTACCTCACCAGGACGAGACAGACTACATCCTCAACAAGGCAAAAACAGTAGGCCGAGTCTGTCGCGAGGCACATCAAATATTTCCGGTGCCTCATCCTGGCGCGACGGACATTCACGCACGAATACCTCTGTCAATACAGCGGCAAATTCCAACCCCAAAGAGCCTGTCTACAGCTGTGGAATCTGCTGGATTCGCGTCCAAGGTCGTGTCTACGTATGCCCTGTTTGCGGCCATGTTGCACATTTTGATTGCATGGACGACGAGATTGGCGGAGACGAGGGGGACTGCATGGTTGGCTGTGGCTGCGGTTGCGGCTTCGAAGACAATAACGAACGAAGCAGAATGGAAGCTTACCTTGAAGATGTCAGAGCAGCGAATGCAGCAGGCCACCACGTCGCCTGGACGGAAGATGGTGATTCAATGCGCATGCAGAGTCATCCAGGCACGCCTAGCTTGTACGAAAACAGTATCTCTGGCGACTTCATGACTGGAGGCGGCAGCAAGATGATTTATCAAGGAGAGGAGAAGAGAAGGGAGAGATTGACGGGTCGGAGCACGGCGAATACCAGTCCGACGCCAAGTCGAGATAGGAAGAAGAAGAAGACGAAGAAAAAGACCAGGGTATCAGGGTTGAGCTACTATTGAGGAGTCTTTGCTCGCCAGGATGCAATATGACGACCACTGCTATATGTAAGATACACCGCAAGACCGAAGAGGCATCTCCCAACGCACCAGCGATCCGTCTGCGTGTTTGTACCAGACCAGCTGTCAGCGTGCACGACTACCATTCTCAAGTTTTTTTCCCTTCGTGCGAGTGATTTGCACATTTCGCAAGCCTTGGTCTCAGCGTACATGTACTTGTTGTTCTATACTCAGCGCAACTTTCAGCTTTCCACAACTTGTACCATTTACTCGGGATTAGCGCCGGAGCCTTTGTGTACAGTACACGCCACTTTGTCAGACGGATAACAATCGCATTATCGTCCTCGTTTGTAGATCACCCTTAATCATAATCGTATTCACACCAAGATTCCTTTCGCAACATCAATCCTTGAGGAAAAGGCTCCACCATCCGATGAAATACCCCACCACCTGCGTCAAGGCGACTCTATTTCGAGAGTGCCCAGACATCGTTTGATTGCTTGGGCCTGCTTTGATGCCTTGCCGGGTCCAGTCCAGCAAAATGCAAGCTAACGCCTCAAAAGCTTTTGCGCGAAATTGCAAGTCTAAGGGGGATGTGGCGCACGGCCCAGCACGGCAAGCCCTGTGAGGTAGCCACTTGGCGGGTGCTTATTCCGGCTACGATTACGAGCCCCCCTCAAGACTTTGCCGCTGCTAGCGAGTGCGGCAAGAGGTCGATTGTTGAAGCACGAGATCCCTCGAGAGGCACATAGGTAGATTCTAGGTGCTTACTGTTGTCTTGGGATGTCAGATTTGCACTATGGCATGCGTCTTGATGATGACTTTGTTCCGCGGACAAGGGGGGCCTAGGGGAGTCGGGATGTGAACAAGCATCAACCACCATAAGCTGCCGGGGTGAAGAGGTCTGTGTTCTGGACCCCACTCGCGTAGAGTACAGTGCAGCTCAAGTCATTGGAACCAAACTACCACAGTACAAACACCAATGAAGCAGGTCCAGCGCTCTCCACTCTGCTCCGCCTTGACGATCCTGAGCGAAGCCATTGCCGGAGGTGCGGTCGAAAAGGAGCCCGAAATTATCTATTCTCCGCAGGAAAAGTTGGGGATGGGGTGCTTCTTTTGAATGTTTGGACGGCAGTGGATCCCTGCACCATCATCTCTTCAGCCCTGCAATTGATGCCATCAACAAGGCTGAATGAGAGAAAGACTGATGGATCTGAAAGTAACTATGACATTTGGCAGCCCATACAACTGACAGAATGCATGCAAGCTCGGTGCGACGACTGCGTAGCGCCGAGACTAGCTGGTCCTTCAGCCTCAGGAGCGAGCTGCAACCCTGCGCAAGTCTAACATTATTGTGGTGGTGGTGATTGGTTACACGAAACGAAGCCGACACTACTGGGGGACCGATACGAGTTGTGGAGTGGGCGCGCTGTTATTAAAGACTGCATCTGTTCGCTGTTGAGATTCCTCTCTCCATCTATCATCTCTCGAGACGATTATCGAAAACCGTTACACTCGTTCTACATACCGTCGATCGTTTTTCTAAGCATCTACGTCTAATCATAATACAAGATGCGTTTCGCTACCCTCGCCCTTTTCTCCCTCGTCTCGACGGTCTTTGCTGGAAACTGCGGACCCGAGAACAAGAATGCCAAGTGCTCTGCTTCTGAGTGCTGTAAGTTTGCTCCTTGCCCAGGTCTACATCCTCCACGCTCGGTCAAACAACAGAAATCAAAAGTGAACATGAATCTGATTCTGAAACAGGCTCCCAGTACGGATGGTGCGGAACCACGAAAGACCACTGCGATGCCAAAACCTGCCTCAAGAACTTCTCGGGCGCGTCATCACAGTGTAAATCCGGGGGTTCTAGCACTCCCCCTCCCCAGGGTGGACAGAATTTCCCCGCCACTGTCCCAGAGATCGATGTCTGCGGTCATGCTGAGAACGGTGTGAGCTGCCCTGGCGCAGGAACCAACGGCTACTTCTACCGCTGCTGCAGCTCAGCTGGTCACTGGTAAGTCATCTTTTTTCCCGACTCTCCCATAGAGCCTACAACTAACATCTCCCAAAGTGGTCCCAAGAACGACATCCAAGACCAAGGCATTTACTGTGGTGCCGACTGCCAAGGTGGCTTCGGAAAATGCAACACCATGGCCAAGCCCCCCGTCCCTGCTCAGGCCCCTGGCATTGCTCGAGCTGGTGAAACCTGCGGTCCCATTGTCAACAAGAAGTGCGCGGATAACCTTTGCTGCTCGGGCTCCAACTTCTGCGGAACCGGCGAGGACTTTTGTGGCTCGAACAACTGGTGCCAGAGCAAGTGGGGAAAGTGCAACTAGGCTTAGAAAGGATAGAGAAGAGGAGCTGGAGTATAGACGACTAGAGTGCACAAGGGGGACCATCAATCATTTTCCCCTTTCCCCTTCAATCCCCAGTGATCGTGATGTAAGAGGGTGTTTGGTGATTTTCAACTTCGCATACTCCACCTCACCACCAGCATATAATACTAATCACACCAACCCACCCTCCCAACATTTCCGCAGCAGCAACAGCACCAGCAACACCAAGCACCTCCAAAATGACCCCCGACCCAGTCCTCTTCTTCCACGGCGGCTCCAACACCCTAAAACCCCACCACACAACCCGCTACATCTACCCCCACTCTCTCCACCATGGCCTCGACGCCCTCTACCTCCAACCCCCCGTCAACGCCGCCACACGCTCCCGCCCCAAACCCGCGGCGACTTTGGCTCCCACGGCACCGTCTTCCTCACCCTGTCGCGCGCAATCCGCTCGCTGTCGCACACACAGGACATGATGTCTGCGACGGCGCGGGACGCGGCCAGTGCGAATCCGCTGGGGCGCGCGATGGCGCGGGTGGCGGCGTGGGCGGGGCATACGCTGCTCGAGAGTGGCAAGTTTAGGACGAGGGAGGGGTTTGTGTATGTTGTTCGGCGAAGGAGTTGTGTGGTGCTTGCTGGTGGTGGTGGTGGGTTTGCGAGGGAGGAGGCGGAGTATAATATCCCGTGTAGTCGGAGGACTATGAAGCCCCCGAGTGAGCCGGGACATGATAGTTGCTGGCAGCGGTTACGTGTGAGATATACATGATTTCTTTTTCTGGGGTTCTGGGGCTGGGGTGGGTTGGGGGTTTGACAAAGGGGAAAGAGGGGGTTCAACTGACGGGTTGGGAGTATAAGATCTTTATAATGCGAGGTATGATCGCGCATATTGGAGTACGAGAGATGCGATGGATAAGCATGATATTCCTGCTCTCCGGGTGGAATGGTACGTTATATTCCTAATGTCTTTTCTCTTCCCCCCGTTCCCGCACATCCTCGTATCTTCGCACACTCCCTGCGCCAACTAACCCACCCACTCCGACCCCAGGCTTCCCCGCCCAGACATCGAGCAAGCCATCACAATCCATCGGTTCCCTTCCCCCCAAATCCCCCTCGAAACCGACAAATGCCGCCTCTGCTTGCGCGACTGGTACACCGACAGTTCGTACCCGTGCACTCTGCCCTGCAACCACGCTCTATGTCTCGAATGCACAGCCCACAGCATCGACCACGCAGGCTACGGCACCCTGTTCCCCAGCGAAGTGGACCCGGGGCGGAATACTGGTGCTGCGGCACCTGTCGCGCAATCATGCCCGTCCTGGTCGATCGCACGGACATGATTGCCGACGACGAGGCTGACGGTACAAGATTGCGAGCACCGGCTTATGGAGCTCGTCACCAGCTGGCCGGTTATGTTGTGGGCGGCCGAGGGGGATGGTTGGTGTGCTGCGTTGCCTGTGCGACTGGCGGGGGACCACGCGGATCCGAATGAGGTTGTGCTGGCGCGGGTGGTGCGGGTGCGAGCGAAGGAGGCGGTGGGGTTGATTGAGGCTCTTCCGGTTTTTGTAGCGCGGTTGTTGGATTGGGGCTATAGTCTTGATAATCCGGTGCAGATGGCCGAGGGGGTTGTGTTGAAGACGAGGCTTGTTGCTGAGCTTTGGGAGTTGGAGAGGAAAGGGAGGAAGTTTCATTCGGTTGGGTTGGTGGGTTATTTGAGGGAGGTGGGGAGGGGGGCGGTGAGTCCGGTTGTGGTGGGCGATGAGGGGGAGAGATTGAGGAATCCGGTGTTGCCGCCTGGGTATGAGGAGTATAGGGACTTTTTGTGTGAGTGGGCAGCTCGAGCGTGTTTTATGAGTCCGACGGGGAGGAGGGAGGTGTTGGAGTTTATGGATAGGATGGGGAGGGAGAAGGCGGGGTGGTGGAGGGATGTTAGGGAATGTTGGTTTGGTCGTGGGGCGCCAGTGTGATTGTTGTTCAGGACCTGGGAATCGAGTTAGCTGTAGGATGCATCAAGAGGCTTCTATTGCTTTGCCATTGGCCGTATACGTGTGCAAAATAGACTATCGTACCGACTGAACACTCAACATCGTTCCTTGTAAAAACATGGTATGAGAAAGGGGAGAGAAACATTGCACCGTAAAAAAAATATCACAGGAAATCGTCTTATTTGGGCCTGTCAATTCAATTTTACATACTATCATTCAGAGTTTGTGAGAAGATATCATTAGGAGACAAGCTCGCTAATTCGTAACTGCTGGATTGTGTACTGTTTGGCGGTACACTATAAATGTCTCTAAGACAAAACTGATCAACTTATACCCGTGCGCACTGCTTTTTCGGAGTGCATTTTACTGCTAAAGATACGCACATACCATGTCAATGTCGAGTCAATATGACTATTTTCGGCCCTTCCTTTTCTCGGTATCACGCTTCCGATACCACACAAGCCAAACCATGGCCATAGAAGCAGCCAGCACCAACAGGGTTGTGGTAGTAGTCGATGTAAAAGGCGTATACTCATGCGCGAGTCAAAGCGAGCCCTCAGGTTTCGCGTCCCCCAGAGGCGGGATCTGTTTATTAAGATAGGCTTCGATGTGGTCAATCTCACTAGGATCCGCTGAGTGGCCCATTCCCCTACACACGGTTAGTTTCCATGCGATCCCACATCATATCGACATACTTGTAGGTCCTAAAGTCCACCTTGAATCCATGCTTCTCCAGCTCCTCCGCACTCAGCTTTCCCCACTTGTGCGCTACCACTGGGTCTGCATCGCCATGGGCCATGAAGATAGGGACGTTCTGGTTTGGGTTGTCTGTGGGAATCATGTCCTTGATGGTCTGGCGTAGAATCAAGTAGCTGCTTAAGCCCATGATGCCTCCCAACTGCTTTTTGTACGTCACACCAGAGAGCAGCGACATGGCGCCGCCCTGTGAAAAGCCTCCAATGACGATGCGGTTTGCCGGGATGCCCTTTTCAATCTCTTGGTCGATGAGGGCGTGGAAATAGTCGCGCGACCGGTGGATGCCTTCTTGGTCCTCGTCGCGGTCGTCTAGAGTGCTCAGTGACTTGAGATCGTACCAACCGGGCATCTTCATGCCCATGTTCTTATCTTTGTCAGCATCATCATGGCCGAATCACTGGCAAGTGTTGAGGGGTTGCGCACCAATGTGATGGGGATATTTGGCGCGTTTGGAAATACAAAAGACACTTCTTCAAACTTGCTTCGTCGTCGCCAGTTCTCGGCCAGAAAGATCCTATTGCCATGAGTATACGACTAGCCGTTGATGATGCCAAGCTGTATCATACCAGCCAGAGCCGCTGTCCCCTAATCCATGGGCGAAGATGACAGTCGCAGTATGACGCTTGAGAGCGGGAACGACCAGCGGTGCTCTTGCAGACATGCTGACAAAGATATAGGGAGTTAAAGTATCGAACGAGTTGGCTTCCGTAGGCTGGTTGTCAACAACGTGGGGTTACTGGCGATCAGGCGTCGTCATGCACAAAGAGTGGACCTCGGCGCGTCTCGAGCCCGCTAACTAAATGTGTCCAATTCAGGAACCAGGGTCCAAGCTCCAATCATCGCTCGTCGACGTCATGACCACCCCAAAGATTCACTTCTGTAGGCTTCCCCTTTTGGCGCCCCTTCTTTTCTTTGACCTCTGTCGGGAATTGGGATACAATCAGTGAACCCCACTGCTTCTCTCACTAGTTCTTCGTGATTGTTCACTGACCATTACCGGTACAAACTTTACTCTTCAATTTGACAATCACCTCACTCACGCTGTTGCCCCTGTTCCGCCAAGTCAGATGGCCATTGACCGTCGTCTTTCAATCTGGCATAAGAACAAGTACTTCAGCTATGGCCAGAGCCACGCGAAGCTCTGCTGTCAAAGCTGAGTCTACCCCTTCTGCCCAGACTATGATGCCGGATCCAATGCAACTATCTAGTCCACCGGCCACCCCGGTGCGACGCAACATGCGCAAGAGGAAGACAATCAAGGTCGATGAGCCTACTAAGACATTGTCCAAAACGACCCCCATAACGCCTAAGAGCAACAAGCGAGCTAAGAAGTCAGCGATCAAAGAGGAAGACATCAATGACCTTCCTCACAACCTCGGTGCAATCCCAGATCTATTCGTCGAGCAAGAGGTAGACGAGAAGACATCTTCCGCAAAGCAACCAAGGAAAAGGTCTATCAAAGCGACTCGACGAAGAGCCGAGAAAATCAAAGATGTCGTCGCCAAAGCCACTTCCACGGTTCAAGACTCCCCAAAGAAGAAGGAAAAGGTAAAGAACAGCAATTACGGTCTTACTCCTGGTCACACACCTTACCCAAACTACCCTCATCCTACTCCTGAAGAATGCGAAGAAGTGACTCGCCTTCTCTCCAAAGTCCATGGCAAAGTTCAGGCTCCCAAAACCATTCCTACGCCCTCTCTTGAAGTCTCTGGCTGCGGTGAAGTTCCATCTGTCCTTGACGCACTGATTCGCACCCGCCTTTCAGCCGCAACATCAGGCACGAACTCATCGCGTGCATTCGCAGGCCTGGTGTCCAAGTTTGGAATCCTGAAAGAAGGCGTAGGGAAGGGAAGTGTAGACTGGAACAAGGTAAGGCTCGCGGACCAAAAAGAAGTCTTCGAAGCCATCAAGAGCGGCGGTCTCGCCGACGTCAAGAGCAAAGACATCAAGAAGATACTACAGATGGTATGGGAAGAAAACCAGGCACGTCGCGAAGAACTCATCTCGAAGGAAGCGACTGGCTCCAAGGGCGAAGCAGCAAAAGATAAGGAAAATGAGATAGAAAAAGCAGAGAGCAACATCGTCTCCCTCGACCACCTACACGGTCTCTCCTCGGAAGACGCCTTCACGGCCTTGACAAAGTATCCCGGTATCGGCCCCAAAACAGCATCCTGCGTCCTCCTCTTCTGTCTCCAGCGCCCTTCCTTTGCAGTAGACACGCACGTCTTCCGCCTCTGCAGATGGCTCGGCTGGGTCCCTCCACCCGGTGATTCCCGGGGTCTTGCACCAGGAGCAAAAGGCACGTTTGCAGGGCCGACGCGCAATTCAACGTACGCGCACTGCGAAGTCCGGGTCCCAGACGACCTCAAGTATCCGCTACATCAGCTGCTGATCAAGCACGGAAAGACGTGTCCGAGGTGTAGGGCGATTACGGGAGAGGGGAGTGAAGGGTGGGAGAAGGGATGTCCGATTGAGCATTTGGTGAAGAGGGATGGGGTTCGCAAGGGTGGCGAGGCTGGTTCGCCAGTCAAGGGGGGTGCAGGCAAGTCGAAGGGGGGGAAGAAGGTGGTGGAGGAGTGGGAGAGTGATGCTGGAAGTAGCGAGTTGAGTGATTTGGTCAGTGATGCCGAAGAGGAAGTTTCCGAAAGCGAGGAGTAGAGGGAATGAAGAAGAAAAGGCAAGGGCTAGAAGAACTAGGCTTGAAATCCACCACATCTCACCACACTCATCCCACTGGTCACACTGGTCACACTGGCCATATTCAAAAATCTTACATCTAAGCTCAGACCTCCTATCCCAACCACCACATTTCAAAACCCCACGCACATCAAATTCCCCCCAACCCACCAAGTCTTCCACATACGACCACAGGACACTGAAAATAGGGCTTCCCGTTCGCTCAGCCTTCCTCAAGCAGTGTACCGGCGAGTTAGTAGTCGGGTGGGTGACCACTGGCGAATCCTCGCTGTTGTATGTATTTTGTTTTTTAATCTTATTTTAATCTTATTTTTATCTTATTTTTATCTTATTTTTATCTTATATTTTACAGCTTTAATCTTTTATTTGTGCGGAAACGGGGAATAGGGTGGTGGGGAGATTGGGTGGGGTTGGTGCGAGTGTGTATTGAGGTTCTGTGGGGAGGGCGTGGCATGTAATAGGAGGGGATCGCTGGGCTGGGGCTTTGGCCAGGGGAAGGGGGATTGGAGAAGATTTTTTTTTTTTGGAGCGGTGTAATTAATGGTGAGGTTGGATGGTGGGAATGTGTGTGGGGTTGTGGGTGTTGGGCTGTGTGGATGGTGTGTATAGTACTTGTGTATATGCACATGCACATGTACATGTACCGGTATACCTACATGTACATTATTCCATCAGGCCTCCCAAATCTCAACCCCAGCCTCCTCCCTCCCCACACCATGCACCCCAGCATCCGGTGTCACTGTGAGCTGCACGTCCGCCTGTGGTCTGTGGACCCTGTGTGCATCTCTAGCTGTGTTGGGGTTGGGTTGTTTGTGTGTCTGTGTGTGCGTGTGTGTGTGTGTGTGCTGGTGTTGGCATACCTACGGTACATTGGTTTCGGTGTCCATGATGGTATTCAATGTGTGTGGCTAGTACGGTACCTGCACTACACTGCACCGTCCCGTTCCGTCCCGTCCCGTCCCCGGTCGTACCCAACATACCTCTACCTTAGCTGTATGTACTGTATTGCATGGTACTCGGACCGCACGGGACCGCAGCGCAGCCATGCTGAATGGGTATGTGGGACGCTGGACGTGGTGCTGGACTCGAGGTTGGCGGTGTGATGGGAGTGTGGATGAAGATTGACAAGACTGGGGTTACGGTAGTGTGGTGTTTAAGATTTGGATTCATGGTTACAGGAATGCTGTTGCTGCTGCTGCTGCTGCTGCTGCTGCTGCCGTCACCATGATGGATATAGAGACGTCGACATGCGGTTACGTAAAATGTATAATCATCATCATGTTTCTCGACTGCTTTCATACCCCCTCCTCTCACCTTCCCCCTATCCCTCATCCCCTTTCCCCGTTACCCCCCCATTACAATCTCACCCCAGCACGCACCCACACCGGCTAATCATACACCATTCAAACACGGCCGCGGGCTCGTGCGGCACCGTAATGTAGGACAGAGGTCTTACGGAGACGGATTAGCTGCAAGACTGTGTGTATCACCGTAGAATCGTATGGCGTACCGGGCACGGGTATTGCAGCGGGTATGCGTGCAAAAAAATGGTGGTTTCATCTTTTTGTTTGGGCTGGGTGCTCGGTCGCGCTTGCGGTGGTGCGGCTGGGATATGGTGTAAAGTACCGGTAGTGAGTGTAGTTTTTTTTTGGGCGGATTGTCTTTTTTCTTTAAAAAAAATATAATGGGGATTGACAGTCGTTGTGAAGACAATTGGCCGCAGTGATTAGCGGCTGTAATGGAGGTGACGTGAGGCTAGCTTTGACAAAAGTTATAAACCTACACCGTGGAATACAAGAAAGACGGTCTCTCTGTATTGATAAAAGGATTCGGCCGATTTCAAGGACGACCACGGTCTTTGTAAACCCAGTAGATAGTCTAATGGACGAATAAATCTTTGCCGCGCGTGTCGCTGTTCGCAACGAAGCCAGAGCGTTCCATGTCGGATGTGGTGATTTCCCAGACGCAGTGTCCATGGTCCGCAAACGTGCCTCCATCACCGCCCTGTCCAAGACCGTTCTGGAGTCTATTTCTGCAACAGGGCTTCAACGCTGCTCCTCCCCATCTAGCAAGCCATCTGCCATCTTCACGCCAGAGACCAAAGACTTGTTCAAACCGCCACCTGTTCCCCGAAACTTGCTAGCCCGAGGCCAGAAGACTGGAATAGATTGCTGCAAGAATATTTGTCCATGGCGTGTTGATTGGGCCAGCTGCGAATTTCCCACTGGTTAGTTGTCAGTTGTCAGTTGTCATTCGTTGCTCGGTGAGCGGCACCGTCGCTGTCCCTACTGAATTTACCACGCAGCATGTATGCATGAATGCATGCATACCGGTACCATGTTAGCCATATCAGGCATATCAGGCACGACATGCACCAGTCCCCCCTTGCAAACGCCATCACCACTACTACTACTACTACTACTTCCACCTACACAACCACCACACACGCACACACACACACACATCACCCAAAACAAAAACATCGACCACCAACGACACATCTCACATACTATACATACGCTACATAGCCAGCAGCCAGTGCAAACCCGCACCAAGTCCGTTATAACCAAGGACGCAGAAAAGGGGGAGAAGAGAGAAACGGCCTTGGCTTCGCTCTCGTGACACATGTCCCAATCCCGGTTAGAATCCAATTGTTCCCCAACAACGCCAGGTAAAAACGAGGATAGACTCCAAGGTAGGAACATGGACGCGAGTGCCAGAACCAAACGACGCCTGGAAACAGACGGATGCTGGTGGAACAAGACAAAAAGACGAGCAAGCGTCTGCATCCTGACTGGCTCGTCCTTGATTCAGTCCACGGTCCATCGTCTTCATCTTATCCAAGCAAAACTGCAAGACAATTAGCCGGATTGCGCAGTCAAGAGATGACCAAATCATCATCACCACCCCAATGGCTCAAAGGTGGACAAGAACACTTACTCTCCCACTCCCATTCCTTCATCACGCCCAACCAATGCAATCGTCCCTTGACCGTGAACTCGGGCGGCAGCAGCTCGTGACTGGCACCAGCGCGCAGTCGTCTTCTCGCCGGACCGACGAGCATACCGGCGGCATGAGACGACGACGACGACGACGCAGTGGGCGCACCCTCATCCACATCCACCGCCCTCCTCTTGGAAGCCGCGTCGCGCTGCCATCCGGCATCAGCATGCGCCTCAAAGTCTTCAAAATAGGCGTCTAGGTCGCGCTTGGGTGGCACATCCGGCGAGAAGCCGTCGTTGCGCACGAGTCCGGCCTCGTAGGCGTCGCGACGGCCCCAGACTTCCTTGGTCACTTCGAGGCCGCGGTCAATGATGCCTAGCTTCATGCGCCGTGACATGAGGGTCCAGCGCTGCACCACCCACTCGCGGTCATGTGGCTCCGTGGCTTCGCTTCCGGCAGCCATGAGCGGGTAAATGTGGACAATGATGGACCGGGAGCGCGGCTCTACAGCGGCCAATTCACAGAGCACTCGCTTCGCCAGCACACTCGACGACTGCGATGGCATCTCGGGGACGGCCTGGTGCAGATAGAGCAGCGTTGCGTATTGGTACGCGGTTGCCGTCCTGATGGAGTCGTGCGGGCTCGTCGTCTCGTCTTCGGGGTTTTCGATAAACGAAGGCGGAGTCCAGCCTTGGAGCTGGGCCCTTAATTGCATGGCTTGTGACACCACCTCTCGCTCATTCCTCGTCGACTTGGACCTGCGCACCTTTCGCACCAGATTGGCGACACGACCGATGATGGGGAACAGGGTGTGTGCACAGCCCTGCAACGGATCCAGGACCGGGTCCATTTCCCCACTTGCGTAGATGCTCTCCTGAACCGCATCGACATCGTTGGAGGCGTCGTCGTCTGCAGACGTCAGACGTGCAATGACGTCCATGTAGATCCAAGTCTTGCAGAGAAACTTGAGACGGGCCCACTCCTCGCCCCGCTTCGGGGTTTTGCGATGCTCTACGAGGGCATCATTGATCATGATCTTGGCGCCCTTGATGTGATCAAAGCCCGTGCGAATGTGCTGATCCCATGATTCTGCAAAGGCAAGGACGAGCGTCGTCGAGATGGCTGCATCATACCGCATATTCTGAATGCTTGTGGAAAGGGTCTTGATTGCCGTCGTCATGTGGTCGATGCCCTGGATGCGCAGGGCGGGAACGTCCTTGGATTGATGAAACGACGTCATGGAAGCAATGGCATGATAGAGCGCAGGGCAATCCCGAGCGAGGGGCCAGACCAGCGTCCGCCACGGGTTTTCCGTCGGTCCATCCTTGACCGACAGCACCCCGCACGTCTCTCGATCGAAGCGTCGGGTGAGATTTTCCGGGGCGGCAAGGGCGAATTGCGGCTGTGCGGGTATCCTGAGCTCTGGCGAACTCGAAGCCGAGCTGGACGAGTGCGAGGTGGCTGGTGATGGCAGACGGACGACCCAGGACTCGGACTCGTTGCGGGTGACTCGCGTAATCTCCTCGACGTCGTCTTCCACGGCGGGTGGCGGAGTCAGGCCGGTTGGCTGGTAAAAGGCTTCGTGTTGGGAGAGAAAGGAAGAGTATTCGGCTGGAGGGACGGTGAGGTCGGTGCCCGGGTTCAGCAAGTCGACGAGGAGCGGGGACTGGCCAGAAGAGAGGCTGGAAGGCGGCGGATGCCTCGCCTGGCCAGCCAGGACGTTGGCGCCAAACCGGCCGCCTTGTGAGCCGAGAGCACCAGGCGCAAACGAGTCGGCGGGCGAGATGGACAGAGGCGTCATCCGATGGGGCGGAGACTGGGAGGCAGGGTACATGGCATCCGACGCGGCGTAGGCGGGCCGCGAGCAGGAGGGTTGAACGGGGGCGAGGTGCGGGTTGTGAAAGGGAGAAGGCGGCGGGGGGTAGGCTACCCTGTGCCGAGACTGGGCAGGGTAGCCATGGCCGTGGTGTGCCAGTCCGGCCTGGTGGTGGTGGTGGAGGGGGAGCTGCAGGCCATCATCTACCACTGTCAGATGGAGGTGGGAACAAGGAGGAGGGCAGGAATCCCACCTTTGCGTGTCTTTGTCGGTGGTTTGCCGGGCACGTTTGGCTCTTCAAAGGGACGCCATTTGTAGTCTTTTCGGTAGCCACCACAGGTGACGGCTCGTCGTTTGCATTGCTGGCAGGTGGGCTTGGATTCGTCACATTTGAGGCGCTTTGCTTTGCACGTCACGCAGCCTGTTTCGTGTTGGCCATGGTTGCCTGCGCGTGGAAGAGGCCGTCTGTTCTCTTCTTCTTTCCCCGTCTCGTTTCGGTGACGAAGCAGCGAGAGAGCAGGAGGGCAAGGAGAGGGGGCGAGCAGAAGAGGGGGAACGAGCACCTACCATTTCGACTCTTGGACTGCTTCCGCTTGGTGACGCGGTCAGCCGAAGCCGCTTCTTTTGTTGCTGTGGGGGGTTCTTTGGTGGATGCAGGTCGTTGGGCAGCCGTCGTCTTGTTGTGGGCGGGCGTGATGGAGTTGGTGATGGAGTTGGTGATGGAGTTGGTGATGGAGTTGGTGATGGAGTTGGTGATGGAGTTGGTGGTGGAGTTGGTGGTGGAGTTGGTGGTGGAGTTGGTGGTGGAGTTGGTGGTGGAGTTGGTGGTCGTGGTGTTGGCGTTGGTGGCCGTTGCAGCCGGTCTCGCCGGAGCGCTCTCCGGCGGCGATCTTAGCACGAGCGAGGGCAACGGAGCAGGCGGCCTGGCCGTCCCCGCCATGTGCAGCGACAACGACAGCGACAACGACAACGACAACGACAACGACAACGGGCGAGGGAGAGGCCCAAGGGGTGCATCCAGCGGGCCAGCCGACAAAGGCAGGTCAAGTCAAGTGGGCTTGGATGATGGTGCTCTGGGAAGCAAGGCAGGCCAGTAGGAGTAGGTCGTGGGTAGGGTAGGGTAGGGTCAGTCGGCGGTAGGTCGGTATTGTGGTGACACGGTTTAGGTTGGGTACGGTAGGCAGCCAGTCAGCCAGGCCAGTCTGAGGGCGCAATCAGGGAAGAAGCAAACAAGACAAGACAAGACAAGACACGACAATAAAAGGACCGGCTGCCTGCGAAATGATGATTTCGAACAAGGCGGGCGCTGCGAGGGAACTCTCGGTAGCTTACCTTCTCTACACAACTACTGTGGGGGGGGCGGGAAGGGAAGCGCGCCTAGCGCAATCAAGCAGCAGACCAGGGCTGGGGGAGTGTTTTTTTTTTTGTTCTTACGAATCAGACGGCAAAGATAGAGTGCAGGGGGGGGAGAGGGAGAGAGAGGGAGAGAGACAGTGCATAGGTACATATGACATGGACCTATCGGGCAGTATTCATAAGAATCACCATCCTCCCTCCTCCCTCGAACCGGCAAAGGGGGGACAGACACAGACACACGCACGCACATGTGCACTCCATACCATCTGCATTCACCCACACACACCCTAGCATCCAACTCTCGACTCGACTCGACGACACAAGTTGGGAAGCAAGTATAGATTAGGAGGCCCATGTACCAGGCCAAGGTAGCATGTAACTACATGTACAAAAGTAGGTACCATCCATGTATGTCCCTAACCAGCCACTGCTCCGTCCAGACAGACCCCCCCCTCGTACGCATTGGCAATATCTTGTGTCTCCCTTCCCGTGCTCGAGTCCACCGACAGGGAACAGACAGAGGGAGATTGGATGGGGTACTGTAGGACCAGGCTGTGTGTACGGTACTTGTGAGAGAGGGACAGAGAGTGTGGACATGTGCATGTGTACGGTCTGTACCTAGAGAGTCTCTGTCCATCCATCCATCCATCCATCCACCTCCCCTCTCTCTCTCTCTCTCTCTCTGTGATCGCCCGCTACGAGATGTTATGCCGTCCCCACGCCCATGAACCGACCTAGGTCCTTCAAGTTAGTGGCCCTCCACTCTCCACTCTCCACTCTCCACTCTCCACTCTCCACTCTCTCCACTCGCGCAAAAAACCCCCGTCCCCCGTCCCCCGTCACCCGTCACCCGTCACCCGTCACCCGTCGTTAGCGCTGCAGCCTGGTTGCGGTGGTTGCGGGAGCCAAACGGTCCATCCGCCAACGCTCGCCAGACGCCTTTTCCTCTTGCTTCCAGTCTGGCGTTTGTTTGCGGGTTGGGAAGCGAGGATGGGCTACCGGCACCGTACCTACCACCGCCCTGCCTACCCAAAACACTTGGCTTGGCTTGATTTGATCTCACGAGGAAAAGACAGCAGGCGTCGGAGAAATCGGCCGAGGACACTCGCACAGACAATCACCGATCCTCGAGACAGGTACATGGATTCCATGCTGCGTGCAAGGCAAGCACATGTGTGTCTGTGTCCTAGTACTAAGTACTACTACTACTACTACTACTACAAACAGGTGAACAGACCGTCATGTCATCATCTCGTAGTCAGCATGAAAACCCCCGGCCTCATGACTAGCCACTGTCATCCCAACCATCGGCCTGACTCAGCCCTCTGCGAAGATGACTCCATGGACACAATCCATGTCTTGTCCCACTGCCCACTGCCCACTGCCACCCCACCCTCCACACACACACACACACACACACACCTAGTTGCCAACCTGGATCGCATACCCCCCGTCCACCGTCACCGTCTGTCCGTTGAGGTACTGGCAGCCAACGACAAAGAGTATCGCCGCCGCCATGTCTTGATCCTTGCCCGGACGCTGCGCCGGAAGTCCCTCCTTGTGCTCCTTGGCCATCTCCGACTTTTGGTTGTCGTCGCGGCTGTCGTTGGTCGTCATCTCGCTGGGAAAGACGCCTGGCGCGATGCTGTTGACCCGGACCTTGACGCCGCACTTTGCAATCTCAGCGGCCAGCATCCTGTTCAGATGAATGGCGGCCCCTTTGCTCGAGTTGTACGCAAAGTGGCCCTGTGAAATCCGAATGTGGCCAGAGAGGGAGCTGATGTTGACAATCGTGCCCGAGTAGCCCTTGTTCGCCTCGGTCGACTTGTTCACCAGCGGCAGAAACGCCATGCTCATGAGGAAGGGGGCCACGACGTTGGTCTGGTACACATCCAGCCACTCCTTCTCCGTCGTCCGGTCGTAAAACTCCTTCTTCAGCTGCTCCGCACTGTCCACGCTCGTCTCTCCCTTGTCCGGCGCAATACCAGCATTGTTGACCAGAATATCCAGGTACTTCTCCTTGGACTCCATCTCCTCGACCAGCCTGTCCACCCCGTCCTTGGTAGATACATCGCCTACCATGGCTATGATTTGGCCAGGAATTCCCTTGCCGTGCACTGCAACAACCTTGTCCAGCTTCTCCTCGGTGCGCCCGACAATGTACACTCTTGCCCCGTTCACCGCTAGGGTTTGCGTAATCATCAAGCCAATCCCAGATCCACCTCCCGTCACGAGCGCAACCTTGCCCTTGACGTTGAAGACCTTGCCGAGCTCCAGTTCCGAGTTGTTGGTTGCCATGTTGCCGGTCGTGTACTCTCTTGCCTCGCTGCGTACAACTGTTGGTCTTGCACGGTAATGGTAGTCTTGCCACGGGCTACTTCTGCTTGGACGGACACGTATCGGCCCCGCGCTGCAATCGCTTGAAGTGAGGCAGATTTTGTCCTTGTCTTTCTTGTCGGCGTTGCAAATCCTCGAATTATACCTCGCTCCCGTCATGGCCAATGTTCTGACGTCACGCCGCACCGCGCTCGACACGCGCGTCAGCGTGACGTTGGAACCGCTCAACAACATTGCCATCAGTGAAGACTTGACTTGTCTGCTGGGACACGGGTTTGCCAAAGAGCGAATCAGAGGAAATAAATGCGCTTCAAGTGAGCAGAGGACAGCAGCTGTTTGTCAAAAGAGGATGGGGCGGCAAGGGTGGACAGGAGGAAAAGAGACGTTGGCATTACATCACTCAAGCGTTCGGTTACGTGGTAAGTATTTGGATGGCGCCTGTGCGAAGTCACGGGATGGTCGAGAGAGTCCGTCTTCAGGAGATTGGGCATGCTACTCTGCGCGAGATGGACAGATGTCAAAGGCGGTGCAAGTAAGAATAGCCAGCCACCATCTCCAAAGACATGGCCGCAATAAATCTTGCCCAACATTCCCCATGGGTATAACCCAGCCACCCCCCCCAGCATCAATGAAACTCCGCCTGCACACTCCCATACCGAACCCCATCTACCTTGAGCTCAAACACCAGCCCCGCACTCTCCATCCGCATATCCAGCGTGAAATCCAGATTGTCAAACTCGACCCCCTTGCTCGTCTTCAGCCGCGTAAACAAACTCCTGGGCACGCTACCGAGATCCGTCGTCAGCGTGCAGACGTTGATGAGCCCCTTGCAAAACGAGTCGGGCGCGGTGTCGGCGTCACAGGCAATCAGATCGTCCTCGACGAGGAGCGATTGGCCCGGCCGGAAGTTGCGGGTGTAGTGGAAGGAAACGGGGTTCTTCTCCGACACCCGGGCGCCCTGGTTCCCTGTCAGCTGGGGGGTACGGGTGTTGTTGGCAAGGGGATTGGGGGGTGGTGGTGTACCTACCTTGGCGATGTGCCATTGCATCCGATCGGATACCATCCACCGTTCCCATAGCGGACTCCAGTATCTATCGCATATGGAGTGTTTTGCCTCGTCAAAGACGGTCGCGTAGCTGGTGCCGTAGTGCCATCGAGACCGTCTACTGATGACCATGTTGCCCTCCAACCCCCGTAGTACCGCACCGCGCACCACCGCCGTCCACGCGTGGATCGGGTGGTAAATCTCAATGGATGGCGAGCCAGTCGGCGCGACAGCCTGTGTCGGCCTCTCGGTATAGGGCGGGGGAGGCGCGCGCTGGAAGTGGGATTTCATCTGCTTGTACAGATAGTTACTCTGGCCGAACCCGCCGACCAGAACAATACCACACACCAGGCCCCCCTTGGCACGTATGCTCTGCACTTGACCCTCCACCAATTGTATAACCTCTTGCACGACAGGATCGAAAATAGCCTTGACCTGCTCCGCGCTCATGACCAAGAAGCCAGACTCCAGCCCTGCCGCCTCGTCATCTGGCAGGCCGGGAAATGGGATGTTGATCTCGGCGTGCTCCTCGTCGTTGAAATTCCGCTTGACGAAATCCTCCCAATACTTCAGCCCCATGTTCCACGTCTTGCCCTTTTGCTCCCGCATCCACTGGTACCGCTGCCGGCCTATTCGCTGCTGCACGTGCTCCTCGAAGCGGTAGTTGAGAAAGGCAGAACCGCACAAAGCGCCCGTGCCGACGGCGGATTCCTCGACCCGCAGCGGACTGAGCTGAGTGATTTGATATGCTATCAAGTCGACGGTGCCACCGCCGGCGTCGCAGACGACAAAGTTGTCGCCGAGTTTCAAGTGGGTTGGTTGGATGGCCTTGAGAGTGTACACAGCAGCAGCCTCGGGCTCTGAAATCAGTTGGAGGTCGTGTCGATTGCCTAGGCCAGCCCTTTCCGCAGCCTTGAGTGTGGCGTCTTTTGCAGCATCGGACCAGACAGCGGGCACGGTGAGGACGACTTCGACCTTGGTCATGCCCATAAAAGTCTCGCCGTAGCGCCGGGTCAAGACTTCCATGGTGTGTTTGTATATCTGTGCGAGATAGTCGGACACAGCTTCCATGACCGTCTTTTCGTATCTTCGTAGCTGAGCAGCCGTCTCGAGAGGAGATACGAAGTGCGGCAGCTTCTGACTGCGGTCTAGGAAGAGCTTGACACATCTTAGACGTGGCTCCTCGGGCTTCAGCTGAAATCCCCATTTGATGTTTGACGACGATTTCGTCGCTGTCCTGAGGGACGACGGGCCGTCTTTTTGTGCTGCTGTATCTGCATAGCCTATTTCCGTCGGGACTTTCTCAGAGCTAAGGCCTGCCTAATCTTCAGCTTTTCGCAAGTCCACCGCATCCTATCAAGGCGCTGTACCGTTGCCGCCTGGCCATGTTTTTATCACGTCAATGTCGTCGGGTGTAGCACTGTACACTGCTGCAACGCCTGGCCACAGTCAACAAGAAGTTCCCATGAATCTTTTAGACGGGATCAAGCACCCACCGCTGAATGTAGTCCCAAAGTCGATGCCTACTATAAGCCTGTCCTGTGTGGTGACAGCTTGCGGAGCCTCTGCGCTGCTCGTCTCAACACTCGCATTGAGGCCTGGGTTGAATGTATAGGGGACATTGGGTCCTTTGTTCTGAAAGGCCATCATGGATTGCCTAGCAGAAGCGCCGCACCTTGTTTCTACCGGGTTGTCCGCTGCGTGGCCTGGCTCGTTGCATGCGGCATAAACAAGAGGACCAAGCTATACTGAGTCGTTGCGGGTATATCTAGACGTGGATTTTACGCGCCGGTCGAAGAGGACGTTAGAGACGTGCGTGCCTGAGGGGCATTTGAACCTTCAAGCACCGGCGAAAGCGCGTCGCGGTATCGAAGCCGCGAAATAGTCGTGGGCTGCGCGCAAGAGGCGTCCGGTTGCTGCAACTTTGGCGATCATCACCTATGAGGCTGCATGATGAACTAGCATTAGGGGAGCCCCGCAGTCGCGTCGTGGCGTGCCATCTTCCCAAGTTTTGCTCAATAGTTGCTTGGAATGTATTTCATGACCATCGGGATCTTTTGCTCAAAGCTTTAATAGTGCTGCAATGGTCGTCCAATTGACAATTCCGAATTGCGACCGTGATGTGGGAACGTGAAGCTGAAGGTTACCGGTAGATAGAGCGCAGCTATGAGTGGAGAGAAGAAGAGCCCTGCTCCACAAAAACAATATCGAACATGCATGCGTCATCATGTCCGACAACATCAAGAGAATTCTGGCTGTCTCAGCGTCAAGCGAGGAACAAGATTGATGTCGTAGAGCTCCATGCTTTCCTCAAATGCAATGACAAACCCACCCAAGGTCGTCGTAGCTGCTTCCCATGCGAAGAATGAAGAGAGGCACCAAGAAGAAACCCTTTAAACACTATGTTGCGACGAGCACGGGACGAAGAGGATATCGTGATAAACATGGATCTGCGACATGCCGGTGCAGATCATGTTTCTGGGGATGAAGCACCCGTTGCCCGCGAGCAGGTGGGATCAGACAGGATTGCCGAGCTAGAGAGAGCACTAGATTCACCAAAGAGGAGCAACATCTTCTCCGGAGGAAGGAATATCAGGATACGTCAGACGAATTCAGATTCGACGTAGCGGACGACGAGCAATCCACCATAGAAACTCTCAGCCAAGAAGCGGAGAAGCAGTGGTGCATCCGCGGATCACTCTTACGAAGAAGTTCTGAAGGGAAACAAGGGTTGCATAGGCTCAGGATCAAATCAGATTTCAGAATCCAACACCAAAGTGCAGCGACTCACACACAAAAGAAGAGTGAAATTCATTGACGTCTCATCTTCACCCCGCGGAAAAAGAACTGGCAAAAAACGCATGCAGCAGCTCATCTCTCTCAAAGGAAAACCATCTCCTCCCTCATACATGGGGACTCGCCGATCACCGACAGCGACCTCACTGAAGCGTTTTCATACCTATTCGACCGCGTTCGCAAGTGAACAGTCCCAAACTTCAACCAATCCACCTCGAATCTGACAGCCGTCCCAAACGACACGACGAACGTGTTGAGAAGCATACTACCTGGCCCTACGAGCGTAACCAGTGTGCAGAAGCTTGCTCTGTGCCAAACTGTCGTGTCCCACTTTTGCATGCCTATCCTTGAGGAAATCGTTCTTGGTAGGACTACCAAGTACGGGGGCCCGCTAGAAGTATTTGCACGGTGCGATCAGGAACTACAAGGTAGTGCATCATACCGTGAGTGGCAGCATTTCACAATACGCGCTATTGAACAGAGCAATATAGGAGAGATGTTTCGACGAGGCCGAGATTACCTACTGCATCAAATTGCCATTGACATCGGGCATGTACTGTTTACAATCTCTTCGGTTAGTCTGTCATCAAGAGCACAATCTGTTCTGGTCAGTATCGTCACAGCTGGCGATGTGTAGCGCATGATCGCGTTGCAGAAAGCGAAATATCAAGTGTGTTCCTTTCGCAGAAAACACATGGAATGTTTTACGTTTGATCATCGAAAGATGGAGGCAATAAACTACTTCGAGGATGATATGGATGAGAACAATTATTCGGGCAAATGGAAAGCACTTTCTGTGTTGCGCCCTGTTCAGAGATTTTTTTTGGAGACGAGCACGGAGAAATTCTGGATATCAAAAACGTACTATTCAAAGCAAAAGTCTGCATGTACCAGTCGCGTCCCTAGAGACCACATGTCATATACACTCTATAATTACGCATCTTCAAGAATGTGTCAACAGCTCGCTTCTCATTCAAACCATACAATGGTGCTCGAGGAGCGGGTAGGAACGAAAATAATGGAGCCAAAGGCAGTAGCAACACGATCCAAGATTCGACGGCACAAGACGTGCATTGTCGAGTTGGAGAGCGTGAGCAATTTGATCTTCGCACGCAGACTAATCGACACAGTATTGAGGAATGACTCGTGGCAATTTAAGAATGTGCGTGATTCCAGGGTGACCGGAAAAGGACAAAGGACAATTCCCAACCGTGATTTAATAGCATGGCATTTGGAGAGCTTCATTATTCATCTAGGTCTTCGTCATCGTCACCTTGAACATCCATGACTCGCTCGCCAGCTCTCTCAAGCGTCTTGCGGCTCCAAACGCGGACACCTTTGTATACAGCCTATAGTCGTTTAGTAAACTCGTACTGGGCCGAGGGAATTGAAACGCTTACCGTTAAAAAGGTACCCACGCCGATGAGTATAATGATCCAACTGACCTGCTCGTATCTATCACGGCCGGTCGTGCGACCTCGGCCTCCACCTCCAATTCTGAAGTAAGACAGCGGACTTGCCAATAGGACTTTCAAGAAACCGAGCACACCCATGCTCGCAAACCCCTTTGCGAAATGCTCATACCAGGTGGACAGTTCGTCGTCTTCAAAGTAGTAATTGGAGCTAGACCACGGAGAGAAGATGCTCCACGGGTCAACATACAGATTAATAATAGGATCAGCAACAAAGCCGAGAACAAAGATGACGGCGATAAGAATGATTACTGTCAGCGCAATTTGGGCAGCTTCGAAAATTAGTTCTATTCCGTTTTCCTTTTTGGGAGAGACTGCAACTTACCAACGCTGCCGATGAAGCGTCCGGCTCCTAGACGCGCAAGCCTATATTTGAAACCACAGGTGGGACACTGCCAGTAATTCCTGCGTCCATAGCTCGGATCCGCGTGGCGCCAAGCCTGTAAACAGGCTTCGTGGACGTATTTCGAGGAGCCTTTACAATTACAGGGTCGGATCAATCTACCACTTTCATCCTCGTAGACGACATTGGAAGACTGGAGAAAGCCTGGGAGACTCTGAGAGGGAGCATTAAAGGTAGGCTGAACAGTCTCCAAGCAGATTCTGCACTGCCTGGGTGGCCAATGAGAGCGTCGACGACGTGAACCTGGGCCGGACGATGGCGCTTCGCCTGTCGCTGATGTACTCGACTCTGGACTTGATGTCGCGTGCGTTGGCTCATTCTTGGGCACATCATCTGGCCAGTACCAGCCCGGCATCGCTTGGAAACCCGACGAAGACATGCTGGGGTACGCCGAAGTTTGTGGAGTTACAGGTGATCTGTATGTTAATGTATCTTTTATCAGGAAGGAAGCATGGAAGGCAATAAGGAGGAGGTTGAAGAAGATGATGTGATTGTTTAGGAGGTTGCGGGCAAGTCATTCGCTCAGAGCTGCAAAGTCTTGGTAGTCCGGATCATGTTCGGACCAAGGCCTCCACTGAAAGGCAGACACGAGGACACGTTGACCGTTTTGGTTGACGGCAAACGCTGGGCAGAGATACGTTCTGGAAGATCAGAGAAAGTCAGAGGTTGAAGCTGCAAGCGCAAAAGTGAAGAAGAGGCCGGAGGCTGGGTATCTCCGAACGCCGGTGACGGCTTGGCACAGCTTGCGACGAAGCTCCCGCCTAGAGTAGAGCTCCCGTTTGGATCGCCTCCAAGACTCGCGCCTATCTACCACCCCGCTATATCCTGCCTCTCCTCCTTCGAGTTGTCGGCTTTTGATCCAACAGATTCTGCTTCAACTCGTACACATACTTCGCCATGGCGGACAGATACTCTTTCTCCCTCACCACATTCTCGCCCAGGTAAATACACACTACATGAGTGACGGAGATGGTATGTTTGCTAATTCACTCACAACAGTGGCAAGTTGGTTCAAATCGGTGCGTGGCCTGAGCAGCTATGATCTCCATACTCATAGAGGATCTGTCCCGGAGCTAATATTCCGACAGAATATGCCCTGAATGCTGTCAACCAGGGTGTTACCTCACTGGGTATCAAGGGTAGGCTGCTCACTCGATTTGCACGACAAACACAGCTAATAGGCATATATAGCCACCAATGGAATCGTCCTCGCAACCGAGAAGAAGTCGTCATCACCGCTAATCGATTCGCAATCCTCATCAAAAGTGAGCTTGATCACTCCTAATATCGGCATGGTCTACTCAGGAATGGGACCCGATTACCGTGTCCTTGTCGACAAGGCCCGCAAGGTCTCACATACCGGCTACAAGCGTGTCTACAACGAGTACCCCCCCACGAGGATATTAGTTCAGGATGTGGCAAGAGTGATGCAGGAGGCTACACAGTCAGGTGGTGTCCGGCCGTATGGTGTCAGTCTGCTAATTGCTGGCTGGGATGATGGAATTGAGCCAGAGGCGGAAGGCAAGAGTGAGGAACAGACTAGCGAGGAGAAGAAAAAGGTCAACGACAAGACAGGTGGGATCCTCAAGGGCGGACCCAGTCTGTACCAGGTCGACCCCAGTGGCAGTTACTTTCCGTGGAAAGCCACGGCAATTGGCAAGAGTGCGACCAGCGCGAAGACCTTTTTGGAGAAGCGTTATACGGAAGGGTTGGAGCTTGAGGATGCAATTCACATCGCTCTACTCACTCTGAAAGAGACAATAGAAGGAGAGATGAATGGCGAGACTGTCGAGATTGGCATTGTGGGCCCGCCAGAGGAAAGGCTGCTTGGAGTCGAGGGAGTCGAGGGAGCTGTAGGCCCACGGTTCAGGAAGTTGAGCCCGTCTGAAGTGGAGGACTACCTGACGAACCTGTAAGCACCTGCCGAAGGTCTGTGTTGTCCTGGTCATGTGTCAAAGCATGTACGGCATTTTATATACAGCTTTGATCTGTTATGAGCGTCCCAAATCAGGGAAAGCATAATGAAGCGGGTCATGTAGCATTCACGACAATAAACGCCCCCTTCCATGCCACTAGCAATGATGCCTTATATGTATCGATAACTCGACCTATTCGTAGATGGTTTGCACAGAAGGCGCCTATATTTCATCATGAATGTATCCAATTCGTCGGGACTGTCAGATTCTGTGCTGTTTTCTGAGCCTTGCGATGTACGCCATTAAAGTATACTAAATACCATCACACATCGTGTAGCTTTCCAAAGGCGATTAATCTTTTCTAGCGCTTATAAGCATGAAGATTGTTTCGATAGCTCTAATTATATTTACCAGAATTGTATTCGAACACCAAAGATGGCTGGTCATTGCCAGTACTTGGCGTAGCCGCTCATTATTGGTAAACAGGGCTGCCTAAAGGGGACCTGGTGAGATCGGCTGCGCTTCTGTCTCAGCCTCAACATTGATCTTACCACACACTCCGCAACCTTCTGGCCCCACGATTATACAATGCACAATGGAGTTCATGAATGACACCGCGATTGTAGTGGAAACATCTGATGGCGAGCCCTTCCGATTACGCTCATACCAAACGGAGATGGTTGAAGAGAGCCTGCAACAGAATATCATAGTCGTAATGGATACAGGCTCGGGGAAGACACATATTTGAGTACACCAAGGCACATATCAGTACAAAATCTAATCGACTTGTAGAGCAATCGAACGTGCGCGAACGGAACTGGAAACTTGCAGGCCCGATAAGGTGCGCTGGTCTGCCGCTTTGGCCTCTTCGGTACACACTCACTCATGATATGAAAGGTCGTGTGGTTCCTTGCACCCAGCGTCACTTTGTGCGAACAGCAGTATGAGGTTTTCAAATACAACCTGCCAGGCTATGGCATCCAAGTTCTGAGCGGGAAAGATGGCGTCGATCATTGGACGGATCAAGGCACTTGGGATGCGGTGTTGCATAACGTCCGCATCGTACTCTCGACGCACCAGGTGTTACTTGATGCTCTTACACATGCATTCGTTAGGATGAGCAAGTTGGCTCTATTGATCTTCGACGAAGGTTCGTGGTCAATCTCTTCGTGGCTTCGGAGTTGACTTTGTCAGCGCATAATTGCACCTTAAATCATCCCGCGCGTAGGATCATGTCCGACTTCTACAAGCCCTTCGCAGATGCTGCAGATCCCAAAAGTCCTGTACCAAAAATTCTTGGATTGAGCGCAAGCCCTGTTATGAAAGCTGCCGCCACCAAAGAAGCTTTGGAGTAAGTCATTCACATCCCCGTTGTCACTTTTCTCTGACTTCACAGGCAAATTGAGCGCAACCTTCGGGCTATAGCCAGAACACCGAAAATATATCGGTCAGAACTCATGCGATTTGTGCATAAGCCTGAAGTCCTGCAAGTTAGTTACCCCCCTCCCTCACCAAGCGACGTATCCTCCCCATTGTTGCTTTCACTCCAGCATATCCTCGTCACATACGAAATCAAATCAGATCCATACATGCTGGAACTTCTCCAGAAGCAGCAGGATGGGGATGAAGTCAGGAAGCAGCTTGAGAAACTCTTTGTGAGTAGGAAGACGTACTGCTACGAACAAATCAGAACTCTCGCATCTAAAGCATTCGACATGACGCACGAATTCGGTGTTTCGGCGATGGAGTGGTACTTACAGCAGTCTATGGGACAACTCAGAGAAGTAGTCGATATGACCTCGCATCAGCAGCTCTTTGATACAGCCGCTCGCGAGAAGCAACACCTCATGCGTATTCTCGAATCACTTCCTCTCCCTAGGGACACTATTGGGTCTTCTATATCGCCATCAAAGCTTTCTCATAAAGTGGAAATGCTGATTGACCTTCTAGTCTCTGAATTGATGGAAAACCCTGATTTCTTTGGCCTTGTTTTTGTCGAGCAGCGAGTTTTTGTTGCAGCTCTCGCACAGATCCTCGCAACCCATCCTCAGACCCAAAGCCTATTCCGAGTAGGTACCTTCGTTGGAGAATCGCAATCACCTAAGCGCAAGACAAACATAGCAAATCTTGCTGAGTCTAGGAATCAGGGAGCAACGTTGGATGACTTCAGAGCTGGCCGAACCAATCTCATGCTTGCGACCAGTGTACTTGAGGAAGGCATTGACATCTCGAGTTGTAACTTGGTTGTTGATTTCGAAAGACCAAAAAACTTGAAGAGTTTCGTACAAAGACGTGGCAGAGCTCGGAAACAGCGGTCGAAGTACTTCATATTTACTCCACAAGGCCCAGGCTCCAGATCGTCCGAATATTGGCAATCGCTTGAAGCAGACATGCGCAGAGCTTACGAAGATGAATTAAGAATCGTTAAAATGGCCAATGAGAGAGAGAAAGTTGAAGAAGAAGAAGACGGCCGGGAGTTTCGGATACAAAGCACTGGGTAGGTCTTGAACACGTCCCATTGAGCGGTCACGCTTGACTCACCAGTCAATCGCTCTGTGATGCGACTATACGCAGCCGTTTCTGTCCATCTCTCCATCTGGTCTTCTGCTGACTTTAGATAAGGGCGCTTTTGACACTTGACAATGCCTGCCAGCATCTTTATCACTTTTGTGCAGTCTCTGCGACAGGTTCATTCGTGGATTCACGTCCTCAGTTCAAGTTTACCGATGTACTAACCGGACAGATCATATCGGAAGTTCTCCTTCCCATATGTATCGATCCATCTGTAAGAAAAGCGAACAGTCTAAAGAGCTGGAGGACAGAGAAAATGGCAAGAAAAGATGCAGCCTTTGAAGCATATACTGCTTTGTATCGAGCCGGTTTAGTTAACGACAACCTTTTACCAATACGTCAAACCACAGATTTTGTTCCGTGTGTTTCGGATCGAACAGCTTCTATTATCGAGGTATCAGCGCTTTACAATCCATGGTACCAGATCGCTCTTTGCCAGCAACGTCGACCATGCACATGGTATCGCACTCTGCTTACGTTGAACGTGCCCAGAGAACAATCGGCTCAATTTGTTCTCTTCACACCCGTAGCGTTACCGCTTAATGATTCGGAGATCTTGTTGCACTGGAATCAGACGGAAAAATACCACGTTAGTAGTTCCTGGCTGCCAGATACGAGCTTGTCTGAACAAGAGGTACAAATACTTCGTTCTATCACTTTCCATATGCTGTACCCGGTTTTCCACGGTAGAATGAAAGACGAGAGAGACGATTTTCTCTGGCTGTTGACACCATGTGATTCAGGCGGTTGTGTGTTGGACAGTACGTCTCTTTCAGCCTTGCAAGCAAAGATGAAAGGTCAGCAATCGCTTTTGGATCTTCTGGAGACGGGACGATTCGACCCGTCAGATTGTGGTCTTATTTCAATACCTGGCGACTCCCGAAAATTTATACTGAACATGGAGCCATCGAATTACTCGAACCCTTCAGAAATTCCTGTTGTATGGGCCAACCGATTTCCCAAGCGCCGAGACTTCCTGCATCCTGTTGTAGGCGACCCGGATCAAGCTATCCCGAATCAAAAAGCGGAACCTTTGCCTATATCCGATTGCATGGTAGACAACTTACCTGCTCAATACTCCATCTTCGCGTTGCTGTTTCCCTCGATTCTGCATAAGTTTGAGTGCGATCTTATTGCTGATCAGTTGCGCACCAGCCTTCTATCGCCAGTGGCTTTCCAGCTATTGGATTTGCCCCTTCTAGTCAAAGCGCTCACATCCTCCTCCACTGGTGAAGTGGAAGACTACCAGCAATTGGAATTTTATGGGGACTGTATTCTGAAGTTCATATCTTCGCTACATCTGATGGCAGCCAACCCGAAAGAGCCAGAAAGTTTTCTCACGCAAAAGAAAGGCAACATCGTCAGCAATGGATCACTTACTCGAGCGTCGCTGTCAGCTGGGCTTGATCGCTATGTCATAACCAAGCGCTTTACTGGAGCAAAATGGCAGCCCAGACTTCTCGTCGAAACAGTCACAGTCACATCACCCCCCAATAAAGTGAAGCTCTCATCGAAGCTCATCGCCGATGTTGTTGAATCCATTATCGGGGCTTCGTTCGTTGTAGGAGGGTTTCCCAAAGCATTTGCTTGCATTCAAACACTTCTGCCATTGGAGAACTGGATATCAATTCCTGATGCAAACAATATCTTGTACGACTTCGCACAGGAAGGTCCCACATTCACAGGTCTATCTACGCTGGAGCGCTTGATAGGACATACGTTCAGCAAGAAGTTTTTACTTCTTGACGCCATAACGCACGCATCTTACCTAGGGCCGAACGTACATTGTGATTACCAAAGAACTGAATTCCTAGGGGATGCTGTTTTGGATTTCATCATCACCAAACGCCTATACGCTCATACCCCTCCACTTGAACACCAAACTATGCATGCTATTAGGACTGCTATGGTGAATGCTTCATTCCTTGCGTTCAGAATGTTCGAAACAACCATCGATGAGCATTTGACCAATAAGGCCACCCTGCAGACTGATGTGCAATCACGAGCACTTTGGCAATTTTTGAGATCTGGAGCGCCCCAAGTCAACGCCGCTAGAGAGATAGCTTTCAAACAACACCAAGAAGCTCGTGGGCAGATTTTAGTGGCCTTGGAAAGAGACGCAAGATATCCGTGGCATCTGCTTGCCCTCACTGATCCACCGAAGTTCTTGTCCGACATTGTGGAGAGTGTTCTAGGGGCGATATACATAGACTCGCGTGGAGACTTCAGCATCTGTCAGGCGTTTGTCCAGCGCCTGGGTATTCTCGAAAGCCTCGAACGCATTCTCCGTGATAATGTCGATTGTCTTCATCCGAAGGAGCGTCTAGGCCACCTTGCGGTCAACAAAGATGTCAAATACATCAAAGTCGATCCGAACAAAGACGATGGTGTTGTCTCGAAAGACATGTACAAGTGCCAAGTTGCGGTGGGTGGAGTAAAAATTGGACATCCGGTAGAAGGTCTCAAGAGACTGAACACAGAAACTATCGCTGCTTCATTGGCGTGCCACGATCTAGAGACTCTTGTCGAATCCAGTATGTGTGATACTGAGGGGGAAGATACATTCTTCGATGCTGAGGATGATAGCATTATGCTGGAAAATTGAGAGCGGACTGTAACGTGTGGTATGGATGCCTTAGGATAAGTAAGAGTACTGGAATGCTGCAAGAAGATGTAAGTGGGGGACAACAATGGCACTTGCCTGGAGTTCTCCAAGTCATCCTTGCAGGCTCCAGCCAAGAATGGCTCATGAGCAGGCAACGACGGCCTACAGCCAAGCTGCCATATCGCAATAGCTCCGACTACGGGAAAATCCATCCAAGGCATTCTAGAACACATTAATGACTGGAGTAGTGATAGGTGGAGATGCAAGAATGGTGTCTCATTTGGTCAGGCGAGAATACAAGCGTGCGGCGCTTAATTGACGTATGGATCTGGAGCATCTGGTATTTTCGAAATTGATATTCTGATATGGTTCGAAGAGAAGTGAGACATTGTAGAAGTTATGATGCGATTTACATGTGGCGAAGGCACGGTTGGAATGCCCAGGACCCGCTACTCATGAGAGGCGTTCGTGCCGGGTGGCGCACTTGCAAGACTGCCTGACGGCCTCACGTCGGGCCCGATCACAACGCAAATGACTTCTGTAGAATGGGGGCGGGTTTGCCTGACAACGGCCGTTCGTCTGGTGTTCGTTAATTGAGGCGCGGAAACTACAATGTGCTATGAACTTCAAAAGTGGGTTGAAGGTGTTGAGTGACTATTATATAAAGCAAGCAAGAACTCCGTGACGATATCCACCATCACAGCTCACGAGGTCTCTTCACTACAGCTTCTATCTCTTCACTTGACACTTCGAACGAAAGCGAGCAAGTCTTCAATCGCCAGTACATTCACCTATCCACAATGGCTACGTCGCAAAACAACCAGAACAACAACGCCGGTGGAAGACCAACAGGTGCAACAGGAGGCGGGCATCAAAGAAATACCTGCAGGAATTATCAGCAGCCAGGACATCCCCCGCAGTACATGTTTGTCGACCTTCCCGGTGCTCTATGTCCTCATTGCCAGGTTAGCCCTTTTTCAATCCCACGTTACCGCAACACGCTAAACACCTGGCCAGTGTGCAGACAAGGCACCCCGCCGAAGCTGATGGCATCTATCATGCAGCTAAGCAGGTACAAGACGATGTAGTGTGCTATCAAGGGGCCTTTACCTGGCCAATCTCGTCCTCTCAGCACTGGAAGCCTTCCCTGCTTTACACTTCGCAATGCGGGGTCTTCAACCTTGAGTGACAATTGGACCTGTGTATCAATTACAGAGATTGTAGCTTAATAATAGAGACGCGGCTATCATATTTGAATCCTATTTTCAGCTTTGATGTTCTCTGCGTGATACTTGTGTCTTATCATATCAGCTGTACTTGCCGTAGCCATGCCGCTCATTGCTATGAATCGTCAGCGACCACGAATAACAGCAGATGCGCTTGAGAAAATTACGAAGAGGAAGGGCTTACCCACATTCAAGCATGGGTGACGTCAAAATTTGGGAGGGCTTAGGAATTTTCTTTGTCTTGTGTACTGCAACCGTCTGCACCCCACACCCCTCCCCCACGTACCATGGAGGCAAGCACCAACCCCAACACCACATCCTATGGGGCTGCATTGTCATAGCCTTGAAGTGGGAGCATCCTAGCCGAACGTGTCCTTCTGCCAGTGGCACAGTTGCTGACACCATGGCACTGATTGCAGCCACAGCTTCACACTGCCGATGCCTCGATCTGCTGCTCACGAGAAAATCTTCACCCGGAATTGGTTGTACAGCGTAGCACCAATGCCTCATTATCCGGTCCATACTTTGCGGAAAACTGCAATTCCTGCGCTCCTGCCTCGGGTTGCATTGTCCCGCTGCCAGTGCAATGTGAATGACAGCGAGCGATGACAACGTGGACTACGAGCTAGCAATACTCGCTCGATGCAAATTATGGTCTTCTAAGACAACAAATAGCCCTATGTAAAGCATCAGAATCCTAAGGCGTTATCCGGGAGACTCCCGCCAATATCTCCGCTCCCAGACCCAGCGCTGCATGTGCTGCCATGCCAGGTCAGCAGTCCGTCTCAGCAATATTCATTGGCCTTGTCCTTTTTCATTCCGAACGACTCCGAGATCTAAGGTCACTATCAGTAGCGTTGAAAACGCTTCCCGCTCTGTGAAGAAAGTCTCCGACTGTCGGCCCACTCTTCCCCACGTTGAGGAGACGTCTTTTCAGACAGCATCACCCCGGAGATAATGACCGAAGAAAGCCTGCCCCATCTGCTTTGAAATTTTACAGATGGCCTGAATTCGACCAATGGACTCGCTGCCACACATGGGGTTACGGAAGGGCTTGCCAGTCTGCGCCAACACGGCAGGGAGCCGAAAACCAACAAACTCCTACTGACGATCCCTGTCGACTGAACATGATTGTGGTAAGCTAGAAGCCTCACCATGTATGCTATAGCATATCCATGTAGCTGTTCAGTAATACCTGCTTAACGGCACTGCCACGCGAGCAGATTGGACGTGCCTTTGTGAAGACACGGCTGATCTTCAGTGGCGTCATGACACAGCATACCGTCATGATGGTCATGTCAGATTGGTACGCTCATTCACTCTGTTTGGCGGATGAGCAGGATCCTTGAATAGTTTGCTTGGATTCCATGCGTTAGCTTGCATGTTCTAGGCTTGAAAGAGGTAATGCCTCGAGCGGGTCAATGAGTTGCACCTGACAAGCATCTTCACCATCTTCACCATGTATGGAATGCTCGCCAAGCCCCTACAGTACTCCTTGGATGAATTGTAGATCGAAACAAACCCCACCTAAGCACGATCTATTTACCACGCCACATAACCTCAGCTTCTATACGGATGCTCCGTCCTTGGTCCACAGTCTGACAGGCAGTATTCCGCCGATTAGCCTCGGAATGATTCGGCTTTATCCATGAGATACTCTATACTGTTGGGCAAATCAGAACCAGTTACTCATGTTTGCCTGAGGCCAGGCAGCTCACCAAAACCAAACGGAATCAATGAAGTCACGTTAGCAGGGGCTGATATACTACTAATGTCTAAAGGATGACCCGACTATGGCTATGCCTCGATGGCTGCGACCGCATCTGCAACCGTGAAAAGCCTTACGCAGGCCAGTTTCGATCCTCTCTGTTCAAGTCGTCCACCACGCCGCTCAGCACGAAGCAGCAAATTGGGGCAACATACGAGACCGCAACCATGCCGAATAATCGCCTAGCTGTGCCGCCGGCACTTCTTCGCTCGAAACGGGATCGACTTCAACTCAAAAGGGAGACAGATACTATTCTGCGGTCAGGAACGGCGATGTAGTTACCATACTCCCCCAACGCAGGTGAGGGATGAGATCAACAACGAAGTTCAATTAGCCCATCAGTCCAAATGGATCTCCATGCAAATCCCCGGCGTTTGAGTTGGCTAGACGCAACTCCGCATGAGCCAGTTCGGAAGCGACGTACGAAGTGTTTCAGAACCATGTGACCGCCAGCTCATGCATGCAGCGCGGATACGGCGGCCATTCCTTCCATAGGCAAAGCTGGCGTGCGTATATGCAACTCTTAGCCGATAAAATGCCACGAATGCCAACGCGAGTAAGAACCTCACGCTTACAACCGACCTGATCGAAGTCCGCCCATGGCCACCACGCCTCTCCGCCAACCCTCGCGATTCTTAGGTAGCTTTCACTCGGGGTGCGAGAAATCACCAGCCGTCTCTACCGACTATGGCTTCCAGGTTTCCCACCGAAAACCGCACCAGACTCTCGTCAAGTTTCAATAAAACGGCTCGCCACAGTCCCAAGACCACATTCCCGGTATGTAGACGAGTCAAGTGTGGATCTTCGCACGGGGCATGAGTCGAGAACTTAAGCGCTGACGCGGGCGATCTGATTTGCGCAGAGTCCGCAGACCACCCCGAGTTCCCAGTAAACGCGGCAAGTCACAAAACCCCAACCCCCCTCAACATAGAGTATTGTAGGCAAGGTTTACAGTCATCTCTCCCCAAATCTCCACCACACAATCCAGAGACGTTTTCGTAGTACACATGGACCAAAGTCTCCCTTGGTGTACTTTGCTACTCCATTTGTTCTCGACTTCGGCACCCCAAGCCAACCCTGGTGCTCAGCATCATCACATCACTCGACCACACCCAAAAGGGGAAAATCTGCAAGGCGAATCCAAGCATCGCCAGACTCTAAGCGCCCATGTGGCACAGCAGCCACTGATCTGACCCGCTCCGCATTTACTCGAATCACATGCGCCGCCCACGCCGTTGAGTGTGGCGTCTTGCGATCATGAACAGGTTACACAGCGCATCCTTTCTCTCTGCAGCTCTCCTTAAGCGCCGGCGCTACCGACACAGGCAGCTGTCGATGAGGCACCGCACCCAAAGAGGCTGCCTTGACGGACCGAACGGCGGGGAGCTGAGGGCGGAAATGGCTGGATATAATTGCGCGAGTGACAGGCACGAGGAAACTAGGTGGGTAGGTGGGCAGGTTGCAAGGCTTGTCAATGTCAGGCAGTGAAAGGGGTGCTGCAAGGCAGAGTACGGGGCTGCCGGATGGGGCCAGGGGAAGCATCTGGGGTTTCTTCTTTTCTTTTCTTCTCCTTTTCCAATGTTACGATGGAGATGCGCTGTGCAAAGCTAACGTACCTAACCACCGTTTACTGCTTCAGGAAACACTGTCGACAGCGAGAGCTCTGCGCCCCATTCAGACAAAGGCACCAAGATTTCTAGGTATCCAGGACTCGTTGGAGAGACGAGATACACACAGATACCTGCGGGGTCCATTTTGCAAACCGCAGCCTCGTATATTCGACATGTTGAGTCGGCCCTCAAACCGGATAATGGCATCTCTGTTGTGAGCATGGCTGGAGACGGCCAACATTGCGCTCTCATCACATTGGGACAGTCAGGAGTTACCTTTATCGACGGGTTCAATTGCCCCATGTGCAGACTCTGGGTAACTTGCTGCATGCATCTGACAATTCCTCAGTCACAATCCCCTTCGCATGTTGGTTCCCCTCATTGGTGAGCATAGTCACGCACGCCGCAAGACGGGACGACTCTGTCATCGAGACATCAGCACTCAGAAGTGAAACCATGTTCGGTGTTGGCTAGATGGGCTCATCACAGACAGTGGCAAGCAGGTTATGACGAAGCACGTCGGCGACCACATGGTGCTCGACAGTGAGACAGTTGATGTCATCCGGTCGAATGTCTGGTTTACTGATGTGATGTGATATGGAGTTCTACTTAGGTATTCATATGATCGTACGCTTTTGTTCTGCCAGCCGACAGTGGGCCATGTAAGAGTCCAAAAATTATTTCCTTCTGAGAATAGCACCAACGGTCCCACCTGCACTCACCACTGACATGATGAATATCAAGATAACGCCTTTTATGCCAACGCCGTACACCATTGTCTCGTGATCTTCATGTAACCACATAAGGCGTCTGATGTCCTATCATTGTCTCCGTTCGCAACCCCCATTACTAAGTCCCCGTTTCTATTCGCACGTCAGTATAAGCTCACAAATTTACAACATTCAAACACATACCAGTTTCAACACCTGGCTGCCGTCCCTCCAAGCCACCAGTAACCTTCTTCTTAAGCTTAGACAGACCGAGTGAGGCCTGGTTCTTTGCAAACCGCGCATTCCGTGCTGGCTTCCACTGCATCAGACCTCGATGTTTCCGCTCCTCTGCACGCTTGTTCTGCTTGTTGATGTCCTTGCTCGACGACGAGGTCGTGCTTGTTTGGAAAGTCGTGTCCGTTCTTGCTGTAGAATGTGAAGCACGAGGGTCGCCTGTTGGCGACAAGTCTGTGGCCTGGTGGTGGATGCCATTGACCGGCGTCTGACCGCCCTTGCCGTCCTTGCCACTCATGTGCGGTGCGTTGCCAACAGTGTTTGCGTCTTTGACCCCGAGATCGGACGACGATTCGGAGTTATCGTCGTCGTCATCATCGTTTTCTTCATTATCAGAAGGATGATAGCGGTCGTGAAGTGGCTCCTCTTGGCCAGGTTCTCGCCTCTTCTTGCCCTTGGTGTTCATGTAAGCCTTCGGATTATCGCCAAATGCGCCAGACCAGTCCTGTCCGTCCCTAGCAAGCCACTTTCTCTTCTCTTCCTCGTCTGCATTTTTGAGGATGTCGCGCCCAGCTGTCAATGAATCTTCATGTAATTGCTGGATACGCTCTGGTAGCTCCTTTTCAACCTTGCGATTTCGCACGCCTTCAGTGACGCAAGCCTCCCAGGTCTCGTAGGTCTCACGTGTCTCGTTGTCAGTCACGAATTCACCATGAGATTCATCTGTACCGGCCTTGAAGCGGGCACGGAACTGGAGACGTCCAACCTCCTTAAGGTCTTCGAGTCCTGGCTCTTGGCCGCAGTTATCTTCAGTGATGTAATTTTGCGTCAGGCGCGCAGGATTGGCAGTCTTCCAGATCGGAATGTTGATATCAGTATCCTCGTTATCGATGAAATGCTGCAGCCAGATAACAGCGTATGCATCGGCCTTGCGGTGATTGGCGATGTGGAATTCAAACACAATGGGTGATCTGTAGCGATGCTTCACAGGGAGTCGAACGTTGTTTCGTCCGTCGTGTTCCTCAAGATCAAAGTAGTAGCCATCACCTTCGTCGAGCTTTTTGACATGGCTGCGACTGATCTTACCAGTACTGCCACCCGTCCGCAGGCGAAGCTTAGGAGCGTGCTCATAGTTCAAGGCAAGGATGCGCTTGGACCTGAACTCAAAAGTACCAACGTCCCATCCCAGCATCTGAGGAGGCAGACGAGTTTCGATACTTCGGAACAGGAGTGAGATGCGTATGCGGCCGAAGCCAATACCACCATCTAGCGGGTACCAGCGTGTGACCTGAGACGATGTTTCCAGGATGTCGGATAACTTGAGGGGAACAACACCTAGAATCGGATCGTGTTCGCGGTTGCGCGAGTCGCGCACGGTGACAGTGATGATTCCAGACCGCCAGTCGCGAATGAAACGCTCTGTACCAGCATTGAAGATTGGCTGAGATGATACTGCCTTCGCACGCGTACGATAGACGAGTTCGTCGTTATACAGGATGGTGCAATAACTGGTGGGAAGATCACCGCCAGTCTCTTCTTTACCCTCACCATAGGGCTTCGCAGGCTCGTACTCACGGCCCTTGAACTTGCCTGAAGTGCCCTTGATGTTCTCAAGCTCGAGGTTCACGATCTGGTGTATGACTACACTGCAGATACCACTGGGCCATAGCGGATCCGGAGGAGTGTGCATAACCGCATCCTGCTCTTCATCATTGATCACGCCCTTGTCGTCCTGGAGTCGTGGGTCGTCCTTAAGCTCATCGGGAAGAGCCTTGTTCTTACCATCAGTCCTCATCTCCTTCCTGAACTTGGGCTTGCCAAAATAACCAACTTCCCAGTGGAGCTCTCCGGGCATCTCACTGTCTGCATCCATACCTGCGAGCTTGGATGTTTGTGGATACATCTTTCCAGGGTGTTGGATCATCTTCTGCATAGAGATCTCGACCTTGCCAACAATATCGTCAGAAGTGTGTCGATCAGAATCCCAAAGCTCGACACTGAGGTTCTCGTTCGCCTTAATCAGCTCTGGACCGACAAGCACAGCAGCTGTTTCCTCCCAGATAGGGTTAAGATCGTCTGTGATAACCCGAGTGCAGTACATTGGCTTTCCGTACTTGGAGAAGGCAATGGTAATATATGGGTCGCTGCCTCCATGCTTTGATCCACGGCGATCTTGTCTGCTCAAGCCAACGGCGCGGTGTATTCTGATCCAGAGTACACCGAGAGCTTCCGTGTCCTTCTGGACAGAATCTCCTTGCAAGATCGCTCTCATATCAATCGACATGGACTTGGGTGCGACATACACTAAAGTCTATTAGTCCATCATTCTCTGCGACAATCCAGAAAGAGTGAGAAACGTACTACTTGCTGCTGCTTTGATAGCATAGTTGACAAAATTGCTGATCAAGGGAAGGTTAAGGATGTTCACGCCCTTCTCCATCATGGGAGTACAGCCTGCTGTTACTTGCGGTGCGCCCATGAGAGTAAATGTCAAATTCTTCAAGAATGGTGGTTCAGGTGTCATGTTCATGCGCAGGCGTACAGTGCCAACCAAGCCCTGTAATTCGACGAAGATGGGAAGTGGTACACCGAAGAGACCCTTAATCCCAAGGTAGAAGACCAACTGCATGTGCATGTTCCGCGCCTTGTCGGAGGCACGCTTGCCGCTGGGTTTAGCATGGTATGCAAAAGAAACCTCGAGGTTGTAAAAATCACCTCCCTCTTCATCCGCAGCAGCCTCTTGTGGATCCTTGGTCTTCTTGTTCTCCTCGTGTATAGCTTGCTTCATTTCCTTCATGTGCGTATCGGGAAGGGCACGCAGACTGAGAATGCGCAATGGATTGCTGCCCTGATTGATCTCCGCGACACGAACATTCTCGATGATGCCTGGAACAGAAGCCTGCATGACATCCTCGAGGGTATCAGCGACACCTTGAAACATATCGGGATTAATCAGGCCCCAAATTATGCCAAGTAACGTGTTCATCCATTCAACTGATTCTGGTAGTAGATTCAGGGTCGCCTGGGGGAGTCAGTGGGAAGATCTCGGTAGTCTCCCTATAAAACACGCACCATTTGTCCTCGAACCTGCTCGGAGTCCCACTCCACTTCTCTTCCGCTGCGTACCACTTCCTTCATCCAGAGAAAGACACCGGATGATAAGCACATGCCGAGCGGAATTAAGCCCTTGAGTGCTCCGCCAAACATCTTGCCTACTACGACTGTCGTAATGAGTATGCCAGCGCACAATATATTAGCACGCTTCTCCAATGAAGCGAACATGGGCTCAAAGCTGACGGAGGGTGTTGGGTGGAAAAGGACATTAGTCTTCTCGCCGTGAATGGGTACGTCGGATGTCGTGCCTTCTGCGACGGGGTCAGGTGGTGCTGTAACATCCTGGTTATGCTTGTAGTCTTCAAGCGACTGTGAAGGATCGGTCTTGATGGGCTAGGAGATGTCAGCGGTTGGTCTGAGAAATCAATGAGCATCATGTACGTACTGTGGACTTGTCCAGATTGGCATTGGGCACAACTAGATGTGGATCCTCCACCTCGTTCATCATCTCCTTGCTGACATCGGCAATGACTACTTCATTGCCCGTGGTGGGATCTGTGACTGTGGTCTCGGTTCCTTTGACTTGCCTCTCGGGTACTGCCTTGTGCGGTTGAGACGAGGACGTCTGCTTGATCGAGGCATCTATCTGCCTGTCGCGGTTTTTCTTGTCCTTGTCTAGATTTTCGACAAACTGCTTCACTGTGGGAATGGGATTGTGGCCAGAATAATGCCCTCCCGGGACGTGCTGCGTCTGTTGGTCCGCCATGTCGCAAGGCTCGTACTCTCTGTTCTGAGGACCTGTATGAGAGTTGACTGAGCCTCACTCAGAAGGATGATCAAAAGTACTGCGAATAGATAGTGCACTGTACTGTCTGCGAGTAGAGAGGAAGATCAATGGATCCAAAACTAAAGAGGATCCCCCTCCTTGCCTAGGACGTGAAAGCAGGTAATAGCGGCCATCAAAGGCAGCGGCGGGGATGTGCAACGCCATTTCGGACCATGACGTAACGTTAGTTGCTTGGGCGTTCCTGGCAAGCCGCGTTACCGTCTACGCCAGCACAGGTCGCACTTGTCACTTGCTTGCGGCCGGGAACACGGGCAGGGAACAGTCATGTATGCTATGCACTCGAGAAACCCCACTGTGGCTGGATATTGTCAACAGTAACAAAAACCGCTGGTGTGCACACATGGGAGGTTTGGGTAAAGACAATCATTCTGCGATCGACAATGACGATGACGGCGATCGCTACAGGCCGGCATTTGGTCCAATCACCATCCAAGCCTCTCCGGCGGGTCAGCCTTGTTACCGTATGTCCCGATGTGGATTGGATCACGATTCACGATTGCATCAGCCAGGCCCATGTGTAGCTACTAGACAGATAGGTGGCTATCCACACACTTGTTTGTACTAACTTAGCACTTCAGGCTGCCTACCGGAATAACCCACTACCACAGACCAAGGTGGAGAGTACGGTATCGGCCCTTTTTGTTGACGGGCCCACCTCTCGCATCATGTCAGGCTGGTTCACCCTCTTCACAAACTGTCGCTACATTCTCAATGGCAGGCTTGTCGATGACCACCTCGTCATCTCCGACGAGACGGGCTTGATACTGAAGCGAGAAGGATATATTGGGGGTGAAGCAATAGACTTGGAAGACAATATCATCGCCCCAGGATTCCTCGAACTTCATACCAACGGTGCCAATGGATTCCACTTCACCCACTATGAGGATGAGAAGAGCTATTGCAAGGAACTCGACGACCTTGCGAGGTACTACGCAACCCAAGGTGTGACTGCTTTCTGGGCGACGATACCGACCGTGAAAGCGGAGGAATTTCAACGAGTAGGTAAAGAGGGCATCTTCATGTAAAGCTATGTTACATGCTAAAATGTGCTCGAATGATCATATCGCTGTTCTTTGCAGAAGATCAAAGTCCATGGCCTGATGCAGACAAAGCATACATAGCAAAGTCGATACTTACACCCACCCAGATCCTCCCCTCTCTCACCCCCCGCTCCATACCCTCTTCTGCCTCCCTCCTCGGCGCCCATGCAGAAGGCCCATACCTACATCCTACGAAGAAAGGCGCCCACAACGCCTCTCTCCTCCATCCCTCTTCCACTTCCCCCAGCACCATATACGGCTCCTCCAATCTTCGCACTTCCATCAAACTCGTCACTCTGGCTCCTGAACTGCCCGCCTCAGACGCCCTAACGCGCACCTTGACATCCCAAGGCATCAAGGTATCCATGGGCCACTCCACCGCAACTTACGAGCAGGGCCTCGCGGGTCTCCAAGCAGGAGCAACAGGGCTAACGCATACGCTCAATGCGATGCCGGCGTTTGGTTCGCGGGAGCCCGGATTAGCGGGTCTTGTTGCGCTTCCGAGGACTGATGAGAGGGTTCCTTATTACACGATTATTGCGGATGGACAGCACCTGCATCCTAATACTGTCAACCTACTGTACCGCAGTAACCCCCAACGCTCAATCCTCGTCACTGACAGCATTGAGCTTGCGTCGCTGGAGGATGGGAGATATCCTGGCCATGCACAGATTCCCTTTGAGCAAGACAAGAAGGGCGCGAGGGCCACGATCAAGGGGACTGATACACTCATCGGAGGCTGCATACCGCTACAAGAGAGTGTGAGGAACTTGATGAACTGGTCCGGGTGTGGGATTGCAGAGGCAGTAGGAACGGTGACGGAAAACGTTGCGGCATTCATGGGTATCGATGGACAGGGTGGAAGAGGCGTGTTGAAGGAGGGGAGAAGGGCGGATCTGACGGTGCTGAGTGAGCGGGGGGAGGCGTTGCAAACTTGGATTGCGGGACATAAAGTATGGGATCGAGAAGCAGAGGTGCAAGCTAAAGAGGACGATGTCGACACACGCATTTGATGACTCTTTGCTTCGTGTAGGATAGGCACCGAGTCCGGTTCTTTCTATTGTCTCATGCGATTTTCCACCGCACCATCGTGCCACTCCGTAGGACATTATACACTCGTTCAAATATTTTATGATATGGTATTTGGGCAGTTTCAACAAAGTATCAATTGCCTTGAAGTGTGTGTGGATGAGAATGTTGAGCTTCGAGGTCAGATTCGAGCATGCACTAAGAAGAGACGGGTCAGTATTTCCAATCAGTCATCCGGCAATGATGACTTGTCCTTGAGAGTTGTGCATCATTCAGAGAATTTACACGATACCATAGTAATGTTCCTGCTGCCTCGTCACCAATGAAGAGCGGAGGTCGCCAGTGCCTGGTTGTTGTCCAATGAGGAGCAATGGCTGTTTGGGTCACGAGCAAGAATCTAAGACATTGAAGGAGGAAAAGCCCACGCGAGTACCTGACTGTGAAGTAGACCGACATGATATCTTGCAAGGTGGTACAATGAGCAATCTATTTCTCCCACTAATTTTGATAAAGATAAAATACGGAATTGAGACAACTGCGTCTGCGGCAACTCTGTACTCGAAAATATATCAGCAAGATCTCCATGGCATTGGCACCGTCAGCCTCCGGTTTCAAAACTCCGTCAACAGGCCCCTTGCTCATCTTCGTCCTCGGCCCACCCGCAGCAGGCAAAAGCACGCTGTGCGAAGCCATCACTGCAGGGTATAATCTCGATCACTTCTCCATAGGGGATGAGATGCGCTCCCTCGTTTCTTCACAACCTACCGGCAACGCCGCGCGCATCAAGCCCAAATTCTCAGCCTCGGAGCTCGAAATCTTCACAAAGAGCGTCCGAGCCGGAACGCTGGGCCCAGTGCATCAGACGCCGATGTACGTCAAAGAGCGCATATTTCCCGAGGGCACGGATCCCAAGCATGTCAAGATCTTGATCGATGGGTTTCCGAGGCAGGTAGATCGTTGGGAAGCGTTCAAGGAGAGTTCGAGAGGTTTGTGGGAACCTAATACGGCCATTGCTCTCATCATGGCAGTGGACAGAGACTTGGCGCGTGAGAGGTTTGTGGCTCGGGGAAGAGCTGGAGATGTGTTTGAGAAGCGCTTCGATGATTACAAGGCGACGATTGGGGATATTGTGAATGCCATGCGTGGGGATGGCGTGAGTATATATGAGCATTGGGCTTCGGAAAGTGCAGGTGCAGATGATATGCTAAGTTTTTTGGAGATGGATGAAGAATGGGTTGGTATTGTTGGTGAGCGTGTGGATAGAGGTACATAATCATATGCGTATAGCAGCATATGGAGGTACTTACTAAACAATCACTGTCTAGCAATAATTGAAATGTTTTCGACTGTCTTTGTTGTTCGTGCATCGTTGCAAAGTGCGACGTATGGATACGGAATGACCCGAAGTGTGCATTCGGTTGGGCAAGATGAATGTCATGTGGGAATTGTGCGAGATTGAGGAAATACTTCACATGAAACAAGTGAGCAGTCTGAAGATGAGTAAAGGAAGTAGAGAAAGGGTGCGATTGCTGTTAAGGTTAGCTCGTGGCAAAGGTGGAACGTCATCACGCAGGGCCCGAAAAAAGTTGTCGGCGGAATATTCATCCCACCTTCAACCCCGCGCGTCACATCCCCCTCCTCCCCGCACACAACATGGAGGACGACCGAGCAGCAACAAACTTAGGACCTGAAGCGGAGGTAGACATTGCTGAGGTCACTGTGCCCGTACAAAAGCAACCAAAGCGGCGGTTCGTGGGCAGGAAGACGGCGGAGAGGACTGGCCAAGATGCGGCGGCCGACCCAAATGCGAATATCGAAGACTCGAGTGCGATACAAGGTGTGAGATGCCTTTAATAAAATGCAGTCAAATAAATAAGATCTAACTTCTGCATAGTCGCTCAACCCCGCCGTGCTGCGCGCGCGTTGAATGCGATTCCTGATGCCATACTCCACGACCCGGAAATCAACGACGCGATTGCGCTCCTCCCTCCAAACTACAATTTCGAGATTCACAAATGCATACACCGCATACGAACATCGGGCGCCAAGTCGATCGCATTGCAGTTTCCTGAAGGACTGCTGCTGTTCGCCACGACCATATCCGATATCCTCACCCGATTCTGTCCCGGTACCTCGACACTGATAATGGGCGATGTCACCTATGGCGCATGCTGCATCGATGACTATACAGCACGAGCGCTGGGATGCGATCTCCTCATTCATTATGCGCACAGCTGCCTCATACCAGTAGCCGTGACCAAGATTGCGACACTGTACATTTTTGTCTCCATCAGCATCGACACGGAACACCTCATCAACACCATCACAGAGAACTTTCCCGTAGGCAAAACCATTGCACTCGTTGGTACTATACAATTCAATGCAACCATACACGGCATCGTGCCAATATTGCGACGGGAAGGTTATACCCCCATAGTCCCGCAAATCGCACCTCTGTCCAAAGGAGAGATCCTTGGCTGCACATCTCCATCTATGGCCATCAAACCAGGGCAACTTAATGCTAGAGGTAAAGAGGAGGAGGTTCCAGACCTGATACTGTATCTGGGTGACGGCCGCTTCCACCTAGAAAGCGCCATGATCGCGAACCCTTCACTGCCTGCCTACCGTTATGATCCATATTCTCGCCGTCTCACGCACGAAGTCTACGAACACGATTCGCTGTACGATCTCCGTCGGACAGCGATTCTCACAGCTCGGAAAGCTCGGACATGGGGCATTATCTTGGGATCCTTGGGCCGTCAAGGAAACCCCCACACATTAGCACTCATCGAGAGCGAGCTTGCACGGCAAGGCATCAAGTCCGTCAACTTACTCATGTCAGAAATCTTCCCAGGAAAATTAGCCATGATGTCAGACGTTGAGGCATGGGTGCAAATCGCATGCCCTAGACTGAGCATCGACTGGGGCTACGCGTTCCCACGACCTCTTCTCAGTCCGTACGAAGCCCTTGTCACGCTTGGTGTGCGAGACGCGCCATGGCTCAATGAGGATGGAACAAAAGGAAAGATACAAGAGAGAGAAAAGAAGAATTTGTATCCCATGGACTTTTATGCAAAGGAGGGCCTTGGCCGTACCACGGCAGACCACGTTAGGGCAGTCGAAGCGGAAGTTCAAGCATGAAGGTTTGGAAGCTGCGCTTAAGTATCAAGCGCGCATATCGAAAAGAGGGCAGCATTGTAAGGCGTGGGGTGTTGTTTTATCACAGGAGGATCAAATCCATTACGTCCGCGCAATCATCGTCTTCTCTGTGAGGTCCTGGAAGGCAATTTACACCAAAACCTCATGTTCACCAATGGTTCCTCGCCGCCGCAGCTAAGCTCACCGATAGGTTCACCGCAAAGTGATGCGGTGAATTCGGTGAACCCGCTCGTATACGTTGTCGGAACAAGAATTGGTGACTTCACCTAGCCTTTTGTGCAAACATACCAGCTTTTATTTTCGCGTCTTCATTGTCAAGCCACAACCACCACTACCGTCTTTTCAAATCATCTAACTGCTCAACCAAGCGTGATCTCTCGAGCACCCGTCTTATACAGTTCTCCCATTCATTCTAATGAAGAGGAAACTTTCTATTTCGCCGTCCCCAAGCAATGAGCGGGATGGCAAACAGGTAGCCACGCTCCAATCGCAGCCCGCAGAACCTGCCACCGGATATCTGACACAACCGCCCACCTATGGTGTCTACCAGCACAATATCCTCGAAGGTTCTGGTCAAGAAGGTGCCAAACTCATCACCACATCAAAAACTCGCGATGACGCTCACGACTTCATGCGTAACCATGCTCTTCTACTCATCAATGCCAATCCCCGCTGGGGCGCCACCGAAGAGCATACCACATACAATATCTACGAAATCCTCGATAGCAAACATTACATCCAACTCCGCTACGACATCTCTCCCATCCACTTCACCGACTTCGACGAGGTCGGCGATCCACTGTGGCAACGTGGCGCAGCTCCCATGGTCGCACCAAGACACTATGGCATTTACTTCTCCCTCCATCCGAAAGATGGTGAGGACGTTGAGACAAAGAAACAATTCTCGGGCGGGTATACGTGTCTTGGGGAGGCTTCTCATGCAATGACCTTGTCAGCTCGAGCCTTCTTGGCGAAGCATAGTGGCTCAAAGGCCGAGGAGCGTAGTCTCGAATTGCTAGATGACGCGGGTCGTTTGGCACAGAAGTATTGGATTGAGGAGGGACGACTTGTAGATGGGGTTTTCATGCAAGAGGAGGAGTGGGAGGCCATGTTGGACCAGCGTGACGAGGGGATGTATGTACCACCGGTGATCAAGGGAAAGCGACATTCTGTACTGAGGATGCCGACTCCTGAGCTGCCCATGGGGAGGAAAGGGCCTGAAAATGATCATGTTGAGGTTCACAACGCTGAACCTGCGCAGCTGACACCACCGCCCGATATCTCAGCACAGGAAGGAGAGAAAGAAGAAGATGGTGATCCTACAAAGCCATGGTGTTCATGTCGCCAGCCTGATGACGGCTTGCTGATGATATGCTGTGCGAACGAAGACAAGTGCCCTGTGAAATGGTACCATGCGCGTTGTCTTGGTATCCGCGATGCGCCCGAGGATTGGTTGTGTCCTGAGTGTGATCCAACAACGAAAGGGGCCAAGAAGACGGCCGTGAAGAAGAGAGTTAAGAAGACGGTAGGGAGGAAGGTGGCCAACAAGACGGCAGCGAAGAAGATGGCCGATAATCCGGCAACCCAGAAGAAGGGCAATGATGGCCGTGTTGCGATGAAGAAATCCAAGTCTGGCTGAGTAGGCTCGCCGTGCTATGAGGTCGCCTGAGTCGAAATCGGAATCGCAAGCTCAAATGACCGTTTCAAGTACGCTGATGTCCACTGCTATAGCCATTAGTCAAGATGCCCTCCTACTAGATGAATAAACAAGTAAACATGCCCGATTCAAGAAAGCAAGCAACACGTTCCCCCACTCCCTTTCGCATCCCAACTGCTCTTTAACCCCTATGACCGCGAATAACAATATTCCCCCACAACAGCCACCCACGAATACACACACCTACGCCCGCAACCTGGCCCTCGCATCCCTAGCATCCCTAATCTCAGGCCTCTCGTACTGCGCTGGCGTCTTGATGACGCGATGGAGCAGTTTGTGGCCCAGGATGGAGCTGAGGATGAAGAAGATTATGACGATGTAGTTGTCGAACATTGTATTTTGGGTATGTTGGGAGTTTGAGTTGATGGGGAGGGACCTTGGGAGTGGGAGAGGGAGTTTGTGTAACAGTGCAGGAGTATGAGTGTGCAAGTGAGTGAGTGCACGAGTAAGAGCCGAGTAAAAGACAGCGAACAAGAAATCAGTGGGTATATTCCGAAGCCTGCATGTGAGGAATGAGTGGAGGGTATACGGCGAAAGATGGAGGTTAAGAGAGGAAGGAGCGTTCATTCAATCTTGTGGCGCCAGGCGTTGCTGCAGGGTGTGTCACGGGGTGTAAGCAAACGCCCACTTGCCAGGTTTTGTCTTTGCACGACAAGCAACGAGCCGGGAATGGCAGGGTGAGGGGGAGAAGGTGATGGTGTGTTGGTGGCGTAACCCGGGTAAAACACGGGGAGTTGGTTGGTTGTGTGATGGAGATGATAACGAGGGTAGGATATGAGGGGAAGGGGAATGTAGCTTTTGGGAACTGTGGGAATAAACAGTCAGTTTTGCGATGCTATGCCATGCTATGCAAGGCCGGGGTATCATATTTTGATCTCGCTATGCTATGCAACAGAGAAATATGGCAAAATAAAGAGACGAGAGAAAAAATTACAGCAAAAAGATAACATGTACGACGCGCCGCCAGTAGACGATGTTTCAATCTCATATCCAAGCTCTTTTTTCCTTTCTGGAGAGAATTCCAGAGCCTTACTTACCGTTTGCACACTGATATATATTCGTATCCTCCTCCCGCTGACAACAATACATGTACATAGACATACACATATGAAGAATGCTAGTCGTCAATCTCGGGAACTAATTCATCTTCGTCCACAAGGTCTGCATCAATCTTACTACCAAGATCGAGATCCTCCAAAAAGAAGCGCCCTTTGAGGGCTTCGGGGAGGTATTCCTGTTTGACCTTGCCATCCAGAAAGTGGGGATTATATTTGTAGCCCTCCCCATACCCCATGTCTTTCATCAACCTCGTGGGCGCATTCCTCAAGTGATGCGGTATCGGGAGGGCCGCAACACCGGGCTCTTTTAGCGCTTCCATTGCGTTGTTCATGCCGCGGTAGGCGCGTGTGGACTTGGGCGCGAGGGATAGAGCGGTGACGGCGTGGGCGAGATTGATGCGGCATTCTGGCATGCCGATTTTCTCGCAGGCAGAGTAAGTGGCGGTTGCGAGGGAGAGCATGGTGTTGTCTGCGAGACCAACGTCTTCGGAGGCGACGACGATGAGGCGACGCGCAATGTAGCGTGGGTCTTCGCCGGATTCAAGCATGCGGGCGAGATAGTAGAGAGCAGCGTCTGGGTTGGAGCCACGAATGGATTTGTGCAGAGCGGAGATGGTGTCATAGTGTTGGTCGCCTGCGCGGTCGTAGACGAGAGTTTTGGTGAGGCTTTGTTGGATCTTCTCCTTGGTCATGTCTGGGTTCTTGGCGAGGTTCATGGCGAGATCGAGTAGGTTGAGGGCGGTACGGGCGTCCCCGTCGGAGAATTGGGCAAAATAGGTTAACATGGACCTGTCGAGGAGCGGGGAGGTGCAGTTCTCCGAGGCCAGGGCTCGTTCTAGGATTCGTACAAGATCGTCTTCCTTGAGGTCGTCGAGGGTGAAGGTGCGGCATCGTGAGAGAAGAGCTGAGATGACTTTAAAAGAGGGGTTCTCAGTAGTGGCAGCTATCAGTGTTATGGTGCCCGATTCCACTGGCCCAAGAAAGGCATCCTGCTGGGTCTTGGAGAAGCGATGCAGCTCGTCACAAAAGACTATTGTCTTGCGCCCTGTGAGCTGTAGGTCACTGGCAGCCTCTGCGAAGATCTTCCTAACTTGTTCAAGCTTTGTACTCGTGCTGTTGATTTCAACGTATCTTGCGCCTGAGGTGTTCGCGATGAGTCGTGCGATGGTCGTCTTCCCCGTGCCAGGCCGGCCCCAAAGCACCATGGAGGGCAGCTTGCCCTCGTCCACCATGCCTCTGAGGACGCCACCGGGCGCAACCAACTCTTGACCATAGACTTGGTCGAGTGCACTTGGTCGCATGCGCTCGGCCAGCGGCATGGCATCCTCTACCGCCTTCAGTCTCCTTGCTCGTTTTGGCGCATTGGGCGATTGTTCGCTATTGGTGTGTTCCTCTTTCCCCTCGCCAAACGATCGCTTCGTACCCGTGGGCGTAATGGGCCGCTCTGTTCGCTGCATGCCAATTGGGAGTGCAGGCGGTGGCGATGATGTGGGATGGACATTTTTCTGTATGGCCGTTGGCGGCTTCAGAGTACGAGCGCCAGGCGTGAAGAAGCTGTGAGTCTTGGTAGATGTGGGTGTGTCGGCAGCATCATGCTCGACGAGGAAGGCATTGCAGTCGCTGTCGAGATGCTCGTTGATCTTGGCATCCTTGACGGGCTTGCTACACACGGGGCAAAGGACCATTTGCGAGAGTGAGCTCAAGTGACAAGTACAGTTTGGCGATGACGCTGGACGTTGAGTGGAGCAACTCAGGCGACGCGAGCACGCGAACGCGAACGTGTTATGGGGTAACGCGACTGTCCAGCTTTCGGGGATCCTATGTCATGTGACCCTACCCCACACTCAGCCCTGGAGGGCAATGCATATGTGTTACATAATCACGTATGCCAAGGCTGGGGAGGCCGGGGTCGCAATATCTTTTCTTCACTGCTCGCCTGGCTGGCAGCTTCACATCCCATTTCAGACACTTTATACTTTGAGAAATAATATGTTTTCTACTGGATTTGGAACTCCTCTCTAGGCAATCCCAAGTGCTCCAGCTGACATTCATTCAAATGTTGGACGGTAGTGCATGGCCGCATCAGCTGAACCTACTGGCCGCTACCCGGTACCGATACCGGCCATAGTTCGGAGTCTGGATCCGCCTAGTGACTACAGGCAACGATTGTGAAGCACGCATTTGTAATTTCTCTTATATACCCACCACCTAGTGTTGCCGACTCCGCTTGGTCATGTGGCCTTTGTTACAGCTTGAATAGGTAGTAGGTGAACTCTCCAGCTTGCCATGCATAGGGTTGCAAGGCCATTTTTAAGATCCAACACCCGCGTTCACCCCGCCAGCCTCACCCCGCTGCGAGCCATGTCTGCTACTACCCGCAGAGGAGACCCCTTGAAACCAGCGGCGAGAGTCGCGACACAGAAGCAGGATGTCTGGTGAGTCAATTGGCTCGATAGCCTACATACCGGTACTAAGTAACCAGGTCCATTGTCAACGAAGCTGCCGCGGCCTCGCCTGTCCAACCCATTGTCAACATGGGCCAGGGCTTCTTTGGCTACAACCCTCCCAAGTTCATCCTCGACGCCGCAAAAGCCGCCCTTGATACCGTAGATGGCAACCAATACTCTCCCACAAAGGGCCGTCCACGATTGAAGAAGGCCATTGCCAATGCCTACTCGCCCTTCTTTGGCCGCACGATTAACCCAGAGACCGAAGTCACAATCACCACGGGCGCTAACGAAGGCATTCTAAGCGCCTTCATGGGCTTCCTGGAGCAGGGCGATGAGGTCATAGTTTTCGAGCCCTTCTTCGACCAGTACATCAGCAACATCGAGATGCCCGGCGGGAAAGTCGTCTACGTGCCCATGCACCCTCCAAAAGACGGCGCCACGAAGACTACTTCGGCCGCAGAATGGACGCTCGATATTGCAGAATTCGAGGCAGCAATCACTCCCAAGACGCGCATGATTGTCATCAACACACCGCACAATCCCCTTGGCAAAGTCTTCTCCAAGGAAGAATTGCAGGCCATCGGCGACATCTGCGTAAAACACAACATCATCATCCTCTCCGACGAAGTCTACGACCGCCTCTATTACGTCCCCTTCACTCGCGTCGCCACTCTGTCTCCTGAAATTGCACGGCTTACACTGACGGTCGGCTCCGGCGGTAAAAACTTCTACGCAACGGGTTGGCGCGTGGGCTGGCTCATCGGCCCAGAACACCTTATTAAATACGTATCGGCAGCACACACTAGAATCTGCTACAGTAGCGTATCCCCACTGCAAGAAGCCACCGCCGTTGGCTTCGAACAAGCCGACGCGCACAACTTCTGGGACGAATCCAAAAAGGAAATGAGGGCCAAAATGGACAAGTTCACAGCTATCTTTGACGAACTGGGCCTTCCTTACTCGAACCCCGAGGGTGGCTACTTCGTCCTGGCCAACATGGCCAAGGTCAAATTCCCCGATGATTACAAGTTTCCGACTCATGTTGCGGATCGGCCGAGGGACTTTAAACTTACCTGGTTCTTGATCTCAGAGGTCGGTGTGGCGGCGATACCACCGAGCGAGTTCGTCACGCCCGAGAATGCCCATATGGTGGAGGATTGGCTGCGGTTTGCAGTTTGTAAGAATGACGATGTGCTGGAGACGGCTATGGAGCGACTGAGGGGCTTGAAGCCGTATATCAAATAATTGTGGGGCTGAAAATAGAAGAATAGAAGATAAGCAGCTGTGCTTAGTAAAAAGTGTATTGATTGCCATTCGTTGTGATGAGTCACTCTATATTAAGGCAGGTGCATAAAATTATAACCATGGATTCAATACTGTTCTAGCACATGCCTATCCTTAACCGTATGTTGTATAATTTCATGTACTTGGTCAGTCTGTCCCTTCTTGCAACTAACCTCAACTCTGCTCCTCACCCTTCGTCCCTATTCACCCTAACACTTCCCGATCCCCCAACTCATATCTTACAAATCCCGCATACACCGGCATACCACTTCATGTACCCACAGCCGCCGCACAAGAACTTTTTAATTTATTTGTATATTTCTTGATCGCTTTCGCGTGTTTGGTAGCGTTGCTACTGTTGTTGGTATTGCTGTTGTTGCTGGTGACAGTAGTAACACTGCTCTGAGTGGAAACAATGGCTTGCAGCCAGGAAAATACTTTTTTCGCGTTTTGAAATTGAGGGTACATAGTGGTTGGTTTGGCGGGTGGGGGACATGGTTGGTGTGGTAGGGATGGAAGTTAGACTGGGAAGTCAGATATTGGCCAGTTGAGACAATCTGTGCACGGCTACCGGTACTGGGGGGTATTATGGTATGTCCGAAGCTTACTGGGGAAATTGTGGGAAGTGGCAATCGCAGGGCGTTGAAAAGCATTGTGCGTTGCAGGCTGGTCTTTGAGGATGGCCAGTACATTGTCTTACACGGTTTCACTTCGTTCATTGGAACACTATCGTGCGCTGCATGTGCATATTTGTTGCGCACCATTGTTCGTACTTGGGCTTTGAGATAAGGGTGCAGGCTGCTTCTTAGAGCGTGTGATATCATGTCTAGTTTTGGACTATTCAGCGGTCTGGCCAATATTCGTAATTACACACATATTCTTCCTTGTCCGTTTTCAATTTCTTGTTGAAATTGTGTTAACCTTTCACGAAGTTGGAGAATTAGCTTATTACTAATGAGCTACATTGTGTTTTGCGATTTTACTACGACAGTTGTGCTTCGGGATCATGGTACGGCCGCCTTCATCACAGTGTGCAATATGGAAGGATGTGTGGGAAATCTCCCCTTTTCCTGCGCATGCTCGTCAACCACTTTGCCATTTGATACTTCTACAGCATAGAGTTTACCACGGTGTGAATCCGTGAGAAGTATGTATTAGAGGTAATTAGAAAATGTCGATTTGTTGTGGTGAATCATGCTATTCATGGTCGATGGCAGCTTGATTTAAGCCAGTAGGGTGACATTTCCACTTTCCAAGTATAGAGAATATTAACATGTAGTCGCAAAGAGATTTGGATTTACTCACACACGCTTACTGCACCTCTCATTCATGCGCATTTATCAATACCCGGGAAGACTGTCAGCAAAAAGTCACCAAGGATTAGAGTGAGCAAAACGCCTCACCTTGATTGATTTGTGAGATGCTTCCATTACACGCAATTACTATCAATCCCGTATAATTCACAGTTTTGCAAACGCTTTAGCCCCTGGACCTAGACTCCATGTTTTGACCACAATGTCTACTCCTACCACACCAAATAAAGACCGCACCGTGCTACGCAAAAAGGTGCATACAATCCATGTTCATGAATGAGGGAGTATAGACGAGTGAAATCGCTCATATTCTTGCATCCATACTATCTCGTTGATTTGAGGCGTTTTCGCAGGTAGTACATAAAGCGTGCTTTTCATTGCCCAGGTGACACACGGGTGAACAATGTGAACAACACCCCTTCAGCCTGAGGCCAGCTCCTAACAGAGCAATTAAATTTCATCCCAACATTGAAACTCTGCGCGGCAACCCAGCCCGACGTAATCAACGTGAACACAATGCTCTGGACGACACTGAAATGGCCAGTTAGGATCTTCAATGCATTTGCAAGGGGCAATTTGACTTTTCACTTACAGGTATGTTAAATTCACCACATCGAGCGCAGTTTGCTTTTCTGGCGTCCAATGTCTGTGGCTGCGAGCCAATGACAGAGGCAGGGACAGCATGGACAGCTCCAGCTGCGAGCAACAGGCTGGTAAGGATAGTTTTGGAAAAGAACATATTTTATAAAAATCTTGTCGTTCAAGAAGGTTGTAGAGAAACTGCTATATATCGAGAATAGAATCCAAAGGTTCTTTCAGTTGGTTGGCCTCAATCGTGTAGGAGAATAGGATTTTATACTAGCAGCGCCTCCAAGGTCGTACACATTAATCGCTCTACTTATGTTGCCTAATTGGGTGTTGTGAGATTATGATATCGGCCGTATACCTACACACATTTCTGTATCCTGGTCGCTAGGCACGCAGATTTTAGTCCGACCAGAGAGTCTTTTTTTAGAGTGTCTCATGTTCCAGAGACCCACTGATGAGCTCCCGAATTTGACGACAACGCTGAGCATATACAGAGGTAGGGTCTTACAGGTAGTAGAATAGATATTTTATCACTCACCGTATTTTTTCCAGATACTGGACCATGGCGCACGAGCAGATTCCTTGCTTTTGAGATATAGTATACTAAATTCAGTTGTTACCGCAACACACCTATTTTAAATAAACGAGACTATAGTCAACTTACTATGAGAAAAATTTAAAGTATTGAAACACTCCGGTGCAGGTACAGTACTGTCTGGGATATTATGAGCCAAAATGTAATGCATTGGAATGTAGTGGCTTCAATCTCGGTGCTCAGCCACCGTCAGAGCCCACAACGCACTACGGAGGTGCTCACAGCTTGAATGTCTAGGCCTGTGCGCTCGGGGTGATACTATTTATCAGCCGATTCTTTCGTGAATTAACTATTCTTCGCTATCATCCCAAGCGCATAGGCTCAGGCATTCAAGCCGTGGAACATCTCCATGATTACAAGAAAAATGTCAAGTATACTGAAAGGTACCTGATCGGACTAACGCTGGCTGCATGTCGCATGTACAGTGGGCCGGCAATGCGATCACATGTATCACGCAATAACCGCATACCAGATTGTACGTGGCTTTTTGGTTAAATGGCGCAGTGGGAATAGGCCTTTGTCCTATATATATATCTAAAGTAGTAGTTTACTTTTATAGTAGGGGTTTAAATTAAGTATAAAAAGGAGTTTTATTTCTATTATATACTATAATATATAATAAAGACTAAATAGGGTAGAAAAGATTAGCCTTACACTATATATATATAAAATATAATAATATAGTAGTTGAGGTAATAAAGAAGATTAAAGAAAGGAGGGGGTAAAAGTACTTAAATAGTTAGTAGGAAACTAGTTAGTACTATATAATACTAGTAGATTACTAGAAGTAGAAATAAAAGTAGAATATATAGTATAGTAAACCCTATTTAGGTTTACTTCTTCTACCTAAACTACTTCTTAGTCTACTTTAGATAAATATAGCTACTATAAACTAGTTTTGTACTATAGTGTGTGTAGACACTAAAGTGGGCTTATTTTAGTACTTAAGCCTTGGCTTTGATAAATAGCGCATCGCACATTTTGGCTATGAAACGGCCAAGGATGAGAGACAACCTTGTAGCAAGCGCTGAGGATATCAGCACAAGCTAAGAATAGACCATCTTACTACAGTACAAAACTAGTTTATAGTAGCTATATTTATCTAAAGTAGACTAAGAAGTAGTTTAGGTAGAAGAAGTAAACCTAAATAGGGTTTACTATACTATATATTCTACTTTTATTTCTACTTCTAGTAATCTACTAGTATTATATAGTACTAACTAGTTTCCTACTAACTATTTAAGTACTTTTACCCCCTTCTTTCTTTAATCTTCTTTATTACCTCTACTACTATATTATTATATTTTATATATATATAGTATAAGGCTAATCTTTTCTACCCTATTTAGTCTATATTATATATTATAGTATATAATAGAAATAAAACTCCTTTTTATACTTAATTTAAACCCCTACTATAAAAGTAAACTACTACTTTAATAAAAGTAAACTACTACTTGTAACAAGGTAGGCGCCCTGCCCCTAAAATGAATACTACGTCATCTCCCCTGCCTGTACCAATTGGCTATGGTCCAAAAGGTACGCACGGAGGGCGCAGTTTATATGACCATGGAATTAGCGCTGCGTGAACTCGTATTTAGCATGGGGTTAGGCTGTGCCAAGCTCTACTAGCTAGCTAAGCGAGGTTAACTAAATATTATACTGTAAGATTTTGCAACGCGTTCTAAACCTGTTCTAAACATATTCTATACTAGTAACACTATAAGCTACTGCTACTATGCCTGTTACTAACGTATCCCTCTTATCCTACGTAAGCAGATTAAAACGTGTTTAGAACGTGTTCTTAACAGGTTATAGAAGTACTATTAACAGTACCTTGCCCTTAGCTGCGTCCTAGATAATATTAGGGCATAGCCTGTGGTTAGCCCTAATAGGGCAGTCAAGATAGAGAGTGGAGAGCGCTACTGCCGTGCTGAGATTAACAACGAGGGCACCTTGTGCGGAGTAAGAATAGGTTCTGAACGTGTTCTGAACAGGTTCTAACATTCTTAGGCTGTTAAGATGGTAACAAAAACTGCGTTTACTTGCTTAAATTACCCTAATTTATACTTGACCATGGGCTAGTTTATATAACCATGAAAATTTGCCGCTGTGACGTGGACTTGAACCTACAGGGATATTCTAACCACTTGGAGTAAAGCCCAAGTCGCCCGACGCTAAACCCATGGTCATATGACATGCCACCACGTACGCACGAGAATACTTAAGCTAAGTAATCCTTGCATAGTATAATATATATATCTTAGCTAAGCTTAGCCTAAGATAATAGTGCTAGACCCTAGCGCTAACCCATGAATCAGACTCCGCATTCAAGTCTAGCCTAGGCATCTAGTAAGCGCTAGCTATTATTAGCCTAGCCTTGTTACACTACTTTAATAAAAGTAAACTACTACTTTAAACCTATTTATAGGTATACATAAGGGCAGTTTACACCTATATAGTAAACCCCTAGCGTACTATTCTACAGTAAACAATTTTTAACCGTAGTGTCTATAGTACACTTTTAAAATGAAAAGGCAAGCATCCCGTGGATTATTCTAAGATATGATAGGTACTAAATGTCCTTATCAATGCTCATCTCAGATGATCAATGACGTTTGGAAATGAAGGTAGATAAGATACTAGGAAATGTACCATCCTGGAAGCAATTTGGTAATTAGAAAGCATGAAATCTTCCAGCTTGGATATACTGCGATTGCCATATTATGGTACTGCAACGCATCTAGAGTGCTTGCGCAAGCACTACGGTAAAAAATTGTTTACTGTAGAATGGTACGCTAGGGGTTTACTATATAGGTGTAAACTAACCTTGTGTATACCTATAAATAGGTTTAAAGTAGTGGTTTACTTTTAATAGTAGGGGTTTAAATTAAGTATAAAAAGTAGTTTTATTTCTAATATACGCTATAATACCTAACTAAGACTAAAAGGGGTAGAAAAGATTAGCTCTTTGCTACACGTATATATAATATAATACTAAGTTATAATATTTTTACCACTTGGAGGCGGTGATACAAGAGGTCGTGATAATAGCGGTGGTGATCATAGAGGTGGTGATACTAGAGGCGGTGGTAGACGGTGGTGGTCGAGGTCGTGGAGGTGGTGGAGGCGGTGGTAGAGGTGGTGCTAGAGGTGGTGGTAGAGGCGGTGCTAGAGGTGGTGAAGAAGATTAAAGAAAGGAGGGGTAAAATACTTAAATAGTAGGAAACTAGGTATTACTACGTAATACTAGTAGATTAATAGAAGTAGAAATAAAAGTAGTTTACTTTTGTGGAATATATAGTATAATAAACCCTATTTAGGTTTACTTCTTCTACCTAAACTACTTCTTAGTCTACTTTAGATAAATATGGCTACTGTAAACTGGTTTTGTACTGTAGTGAAGGGCATGAAATCGGGATTTGCAACAATGTTTTGAAACCAAGCATAGGCGCAATACCTACTTACTGGCCAGAACGCTACCCTTGTCCAAAACACATTGGAAGCAAGGCTAGGGTAACCAGAGTCCAATGCACATTGCTGTCAGGAAGCGGGAGTAAACTCCATTACAAGCAAAAGAGTGTTAAGAGAGTTACACAGAAAAACATTTTGTTCGAATAAAGAGGTATTGCAGTACCAGGAAGTTAAAATAGATCTGCTGTAAAAGCAGACAGGAATGGAGGGTGAAGAGTACTTTAGGTAGTCTAGGCCTTGCCGCATTTTAAACTTTGAGAAACTGCTGATCTCGAAAAAACCGCCAAACAAGATGGATATAGATAGCCCCTGTCTCTGGGCGTACTATAGCGAAAGATGGCTAGGTATGAGGTGTGAGATCTCTTGGATGCGTAGGTGATTGGTTTTCCATGATGAGACCAAGCCTACGTAGGACGACGGCGAAATCTACTATGATACATATTTACCATGAGTTTAAAAGTTAATACACCGTGGATCACATGAAGATGGACCAGTATTCAGCACAAAGAAGCCCTCATATTCCAGTGCATCACATTCCAACCTTCACTAATCCATATGGCCAGGATAATGTGCCCTGAGATTTTTCCGATTCTTCGATATCCCTCGTTATCTTAGCCTTTCATCGCGGTCATTGTATGGATGATCAGAACCAAGGAACATTGTTACGCTATGTGAATATAATATCGTATACAGCGTGAGATCCACCGCCACCCCACAGCGCCCGATTTTAAAGGAATCCGATCAATTTCAATATTCGTCCGGAACAAGATCGCAAAAGCCGCACACCTGCCAAAGTTGCCCTACATGACACACGCTCGCATGAATAAGAGTCCGTGTACAGTTTACATCTTCGCTTCACCGTCTCCTCTGAAAACCCAGTGCCTCACGCATTCCCACCATTGCAATGCAGCAACATGAAACTAGCTACCAGCTTTGTCCTCCTCTGCCTTTCTAGTGCCTGCGCTGCCCAGCAAGGCCCATTTCCATGTTCAATCTATACGATCTTAGCTGCAGGCATGAATAACTAGCATCGTCTAGGAATGCATGACAACAAGGAATGATAGGGTTGGTACTTGTAACGACATCAATAACGGACAGGCCGCAAGCGGGAGACAGCCGTACGCAGCGGTCAGTATCTCATGTCTACCTAGCTATCGCTAGAATGTGCACAAGGACCAGCTAACAAAGAACAAAACACTCCGTGTCCTAAGGGATTTCGCAAAATGTTCTTTTGGTTCTAATTGCCAAGCGAATTGTAATTTGACCTAGTTAGAGTAACTACCACATCATAGTGCGCACGGGATACGATCAATAGTGTGAGCTTCAATCTTTACTATTCTGGTAGGCCTACGGTCACACTGTATCACTGTATCCTTATAAGATCATCTATGATTCGCTAATAGCACTACGGTCCAACAATGATCTCAGTTAAGGGGTTCTCAGGGTAAATAGTGTATAGAGATAGGCTTCTTATAAATATGCCTACATATATACTTACCATAAGAGTTGGTTTGTATAATAGTAGCTTGATATAGATGTATGTTTGTAAATAAGAGGAAATCGTAAGTATCAGTTTCAGTTATATCCTATGCTAGAACCTTATGGAGATACAAGGTGAATGTAACGACACAGGTAGGTAGGAACGTCCAAAAGGGGTCCGATATGACTCAAAGGCATATAGGAGTGCGCGTCTGTATAGAGGTTAAACGAATTAATTCCTACACCTATAGGTCTTGTACGAAAGGATAAGAAGAACTTATCTATCTATCTATAAGTAGAAGGCTCCTTTATACAAGGAGGCGCTGCCTCCCAATCGTATTGTACTCGAAGTGCTATGGGGAATGCGCTACTATGTGCTAGCATGCACCCGGCCTTACTGTGAAAATTGCGTGAACAAAGGCACAACCAGGATAGAAACAAAGGCGTGATTTTGGTAGCGCTTACTGTGGATATTTAGTGTAAGGCCGAAGATCGCTCTGCTTAACTTACCTGTTTCGATACTCTGAAACCACGGCTCGGGCCGTATATGAACTCAGACTGTACTCTGGCTGTTGGGCGCACAGCCCTCAATCCGCGCCAGTCTGTGCCATTACTATACGTCTACGGTAAACTTGCTACAGCTTTGATTCACTTCCCGCCTATAATATCTCTAATTGTAAGAACAAAGAAGAATATGGCAGGACTATATTAGTACAAACATCAGAAATTAGCGCATTTGTAGCCTGTACAGTGAATAGACATGCGATGCCATGCAACGGCAAGGCAAAGGGTCAATTATTTCCAAGGTCCACCTATTAGCAGCGAATATACACGGCACAACAAGAATGAATATACTATAGTATGTACGGTGTAAGTAGAAGTCTTCAGGTGCTTATGTTGCTCCGAGGCCGACCGGTCCAGTGGTGGCCACTCATGTCTATTCTCCTTGGTGCATCAATAACCCAGCCTACTATTACACATACCTCACGTGTCTATTATACTGTGCTATGTGTATACTATGCTCTCTGGTACCTATGTACATACCACAATATACTATATGGCGCTTTTAATTGTCACTGGCATCTGACATAAAAGAAAACAGTGTCGTGAAAATTTGAAGCATTGGACATAATACCTACCACATGTCACACCATGTCTTAAGTAATACGGTAATAATATTTGGCACTATGTACATATATCAGTTAATTCAAGAGAGCGTCTCATACTGCCGAGTGTAAGTATAAGTAAGAGGTAATGACGCTGTGTAAATACCAGCTTCAACGTGTCCTCCACCAGGCTCTTCATCCTACATACACAGTTTTGCCATCTCAATCAAGCCAATATGCAGATATTCACAGGTCTTCTCCGCCTTTGCCTTCCTGGCGCCCATGCTACAAGGAGGTGTCAGAACTTGTGCGTTCAATCTGTAACTGTTAATCTACCTAGGTGCATATAAGACTAACATGATCTAGCATTGCGAACAAGATCGTTGGTGGGCTGGTCAGTGTCGAAACTCGACTAGTGGTGTAAATATCCCGTGCTCCGAGGTTAGTATCGCCTGTCTGCTTACCTGCTTATCGCGAAGCGTGTACAAAGGTGATGTTATTAGATTACTGGACTATCCATGCTACGCACACGGCGATCCTTGCAGACTCTTACCGCATGAACCAGGAGTGGCAGATGTAGCAGATTACAAATTCAAGGCTGTCAAATGGAAACCGCCGGTATAAGGCTGGGAAGCCTTGAATCGTTTGTGCATTTTGGATCCTGATACAGTGCGGATTATGGGAACTATGAGAGCTCTCATAGTTTTGGCCAACACTGTACATAACCTGCTGTAACATCTCATGTGCGGCAGTACAACTACCTACACGCACTAGAGGCCTTCTTAATCAGGATCACAAAATTCCCCAATCGAGCAACGAAACTTGCTTGGAGTTAAAAGTAGCCCTACCATACGTATTGTAGTATATGGTTGATCTAGCGTTGATCATAGAGGGATTAACCACAAAAGCCTGCCGCGAAATTCGACTGTGTCTATTTGTGGTGTTATCCAAAAGTCTTGATCACCTTTTCACAAACATCGGCAAGTATAATGGAGTCAATTTAGGAGATTGGTAACGACTGAAGCTGTGACAAAATCATATCTAAGACCTAGATGGGCTTCATGTTTCAACTCCGCAATTTATAATCTTACCCACGCACACTGTAGGCTTGGGCGGAATCATTCAATATTAACGAGGGAAAGTACTATTCTGGTAGCACAGCACCGTAATGGTGGTATTTTTAACGACGGAAATGAAATATGCTGGCTTGGAAGTGTTGGTATAGCTAGGTCTACATAAGAAAAGCTGGGGGATCTGATGTACGAACTGAGAAGGAACCGATGGCTATAAAGAAGAAGAGACAAAAATTGCAAACATTGGACTAGACAATGATGATAAGTTACAGTGGGCGGTGGTAACAAGACAGAGAAGAGGAAGGGAAAAATAAGAAGAACGAAGTAGCCACAACACCATCCCATCCTCAAGATTCCGAATCACAATTCCAACTCCTCACCCTATTATCCCAGCGCCTGCCCCTCAAATTCGCACTCCCAGGCCACCTCAACCACTCGCTTGAGCCAAAGCAATCATCCCTGTCATAAAAACGGCACGTCTGCCTCTTGTATGGCTTGATACTCGTCGCTTTGCCCTTGAGATCGTCTGGTAGATTCGAGCACTTGTCTGGCGTAGATTTTAACTCTTTGCAGGTGCCGCCAAAATCCTTGTCGGTGCAGATGTAGATTGTGCCAGGGCCGAAGTCAATGGCGGGAGGTGCTTGGAGATTGTTCCAGTCTATGCCGTCGTGGCCGCTGGGTTTGCCGGAGGGTTTAGGAGCTGGTGGTGGAGGTGGAGGGGGAGGTGATGGTGATGCAGGAGCTGGGGGCTTGGGAGCTGGTGGAGGTGGAGGTGGAAGTGGTGCAGATGGGGTGGGGTCTGCACGTCCAATACAGCGCATGTTCATA